TCTCTCTCTCTCTCTCTCTCTCTCTCTCTCTCTCTCTCTCTCTCTCTCTCTCTCTCTCTCTCTCTCTTTCTCACACAGTCCATGCCTATCTCGATTCTCTCTCGTCGACGCAGCATCGCGCACGATTTTGCATAAGACGTCGCTCCTGCTCGCGCCTTACTACAAACAAGCAAGCGGCTACCTGGTGCTTCGTGACTCCTTAGCCCCCAGCGAAGGGAGGCGTGTCCGAAACGCGCGGCTTCTACAAAGAGAGCCCACTTCCCCCGGGTGCAGACCGTCAACTGTAGTGGGGCCCCACCACTTGGGCCTGAACCTACCCCCACTCAACAGCCAAAGTCTTATACAAGAAAAGCCAGCAGCATGGTCCAGCACGAGATCGCCAGGTAGAACTTCTCGGTCAGTTTACGCAACGCTCTCGTAGGAGACGCACGAGAAGATCTTACGAGAAGATCATAAGAGACGATTCGAAGAGCAGGAGTAAAAGATAGAAAAAGAAGATAACAGAAGAAAAAAAAGATACGAGATCAAATATTTGAAAAACAAAAAAATTGTTCTTCCACACGACTGTCAGGCCCATTTATTATGGTCTGATTTAAATTGACAATTTTTATATCTGACCGATATATATCATATACGGCAAGGAGTCAATAAACCCAAGAAGATGAGCTCATACGTGAGCTTTCAACAGTACGAGCTTTTGGATTCCGAAGGTTATGGATCGGCAAGTAGTCCGGAATCGAACCCCCAGAATTGTTGGTCTGTTCCGGAAACCGCGTATCCACAGCCTCCTAGATCGCGCGGCAGCAGCTGCGGAAGTGTCAGTTCGATCGACAGTCAGGTCCAGCAGGATTGTCAGGAATTGACCAATGGCAACTTCCCGGTGATGTCTTGCAACGGTTTTCAATTTCCGGGCGAGTGCGGAGCCGAGTTCTTCAAAGGTTATCAGGCGGGTTATCGGGCGGAGACGGGAAAGTCGCGGGAGGACGGTAAAGACGTCTTTAGGACGTCCGGTACCTGTTACGAGGAGACCTACTACCCTGAACAGAGAAAACCGGAAGTTGAGTTCTACGGACGGTGCGACTATCAGCAGGACAATTTCGCGAAGGGTTACGCCGCCAAGAGCGACGGGTACACGCCGAAGAGTGATTACTTCCAAAAGGATATTTATCTGGGCGCCGGATGTTACCCTGTTCAGAGGAACGATCAGCAGCAGCCTCAACTTCAGCCGAGGTACCAGAAGGAACTTCATCACGACTCCTTAGACTACCCTAAAGTCCATCACGGCAAGGATACTCTTCACAAGGTCAAGTCTGGTACACCGGGTGTCGAAGTTCTAAGGAAACGTAGACTGGCTGCCAACGCACGTGAACGCAGACGAATGAACAGCCTGAACGACGCCTTTGACAGGCTCAGGGACGTCGTACCGAGTCTTGGAAACGACCGGAAGCTCAGCAAGTTCGAGACGCTGCAAATGGCTCAGACGTACATATCGGCGCTGTACGAGCTTCTACAACGGGAGTGAGATAAACGTGGGAATTAGATTTATTTTCTTTTTTTTTTTTTCAAAAATTGATCACGCTCTTGTGACGAGACGAGGAGGAAACAACGAACCGGAAGTAACGTGAAGACAAAGACGAATAAGACAATCTTGTTATTTTCGACAGGTACGGGGATATCGTCAGTGTGATGAACTCTGATTGTACATAGGGCCAGTAATACGATACACAAGACTTTGTAAATAACGGTCTAGCCAAGCTTAAGTTATATTTTTCAATTAAGTAGCTAATTGTGTAAATAATTACGTGAAAGATCGATCGTCACGGAGAGGATTTTACGCTCGTGTTTCGTAATATTTTTCTTTTCGTATATCTCGCGCATGCGCAGTCCACTCTCTATACGAATTTTCAATATGGCGTCGTTATTGTCGAGCTCTCTTCTTCCTACTTTTTTTTTGTTTTCCTTCTACTTTATCACGTTCTCAAACACCCTCGACTTCTGGACGATGCAATTTTCTCAGTGCGCGTAATTAGGGATATGCAAAAATCACGGACAAATGGACGTCCTCGCCACCTCCACTTAGCAGTCAATCACAATTAAATACAATTTTGCCGGCCGCGGGCCTACGGTAATGGCGCAAAAAGAGAGCAAATTGAAATCTCCTAGCTGACAGAATGATAGATGGAACCGAGAAGAACCGTCAGTACGAGTCTCGCAGAGAATCGTCTTCGGCATCTTACATTACCGTTGCGGGTATTTCGCGTCTTTTACTGCGTCACTCTCATAACTTAAATATCTGCCAGTCGCCGTATACGAAATCGCATCAGTTTCATCGCTAAAAAAGTCAATAGCAACGAGTCTCTTAGGTTCGTGCTTACTTGATTTCACTAAGAGAGATCTTTGCTTGAATATATATATGTATATACATGAGGTATATATATATATATACCTCGTGAAAAGATCGTAAAAATCAGAACAACACTGCTATCCGTCACAGAGTGAGAAAGTCCATTGAGCATAGGCCTAGGCAGATTGCAAAAAAATCCAAAAAATTGTTTTCACATAATTTTTATTTACTCCTCTATAATTTTTTTTGTCAAATTGTCATTTTCTCGCCTGCGACTATCAGCTAAATAATCTGAAGGCAAGAAAAACCGTAATGGCGACTTCTTGTGCGGGCATACACAACACTGATTATTCGACGTAACGTCTTCATCAAGACTGCACTTTATGCCTGACGTACGTGTCTCCTCTTACTATTCTTTTTATAATTTAACATTCAGTCACACCTTCACGTTATTATTCACGCCGCGTACCGCGGTAGGAATTTTTTGTGTTCAGTGTGAAACAACCTGTAGGTCGATTGTTGTATTATCCTTGTACTGTTACGACAATCGGATTCAGTCATCCTGATAGTGATAATAGAAGGCTGGTTTTCATTCTACGAGAAACAGGACGGACGTAAATGACACTCGAGTTGCCAAGTACCTTTGTATATAAATATTAGATGCGTAACATTGACATTTCTATGTCCTCAGTATAATAAGATCGTATTAATAGACGATACTAAATTTTAAGTTTCTAAGATAAGATGAACAAATTTCCCACCAATTATGTTCCTCGTTTCAGACCAAATGTATTTAAGCAAGTGCAATCTTAATAAAAAAAAAAAACACTACAAACACGATAAAAAAAAGTTATTGATTTATATTTCTTATATTCCAATTAATTGATCGGGCGACCGATAATGGCTTGAATTAATATTGGAGGGGGTGAAGGGGGGAGGGGGGGCGTTAAAAAAATTTTCGTTTTTATATCATGGTATTCTGATATTTAAAAAAACATGGTAATCGAGGGAAAGAGAAACAAGATGAATCTCTTAGCCTTATATTCCCATCGTCCTTCGCAAAGGTTAAATGCTGTAATTGGTATCTTAGGTAGACTGTAAGGATAAATCGATCGCAGGATGTTGGGCTTTGATAGAATGCTGGATAGCGGCAGCTACAAAGCAATCTTCTACTGGACCAAGTGAAGCTGCTACCGCGAGACAAATTGATACCAGCCAACGCACTCGCTCTTCCTACCTTACCGACCGAACCAGTCGGCATAATTCCATTGAGCCGAAGCCAGGGCCGCCGAGCATTGGGAGGAAGAAAAAATGATTGAAATAAAATGACATAAAATATTAAAAAGTTTTAGCGTGAGTGCTTGGACCATGATAAATAATCGAGTATGCCACGAGTCAGGAGAACTTTCGCCATTGATGGAAAGTCCTTGGCGGGAAAAAGGTGGAAAATTTAAAATTCAAATATGTAAACTGAGAATTAAAGATAGGTAAAAATTTTTTTTCATAACTTCTAATTCTTCTACTCTTATCAACTGTAAGAGACGAGTTAACGTTAAGCCTGAAATTTATCGCATTCTTGTGGATCTGACCATAAGGATTTTGACAGTTGCATAAAATCTTTTACTGCCTCTCGTAACAGTGTTAGATACTGACCACCTACAAACTGTATATCCTGGCTGTTCTCACTCCGTAGAAGCAATTGTCATAATTGCAACAATAATAGTAATCGCAGTAATGGAGGCTTACTATTGTAAGGCTACAAGCACATTATTTTATTGTTGCGTGATTACCAGTGGCAAAGACTGCTATCGGCTACTTAAACTGACTAACTGTGAAGAACACGTAATCGAACATCATCAGATTACAGGTCTAACATTAGTCTATAGGGTGGTCCGAGATAAAAGTATTAGAAAAAAAAGGTTGGAAAATTACTACAGTCCTTCTTTACACATCTATCAAATATTTATCTAAGAGTAACCAACCGACAGTATACTCTTTGAAAGATCCTGTACCAACCTTACACTTAAGGTACACACTTGTATCTGAAAAAAAAAAATACCGGATTTTACTTTTGAACAAACAAAAAAAATCCGCTACCTACAAGGCGCATGTAGACATAATCCGCACGAGTACGAATATCTTACTTTACTTGTTCCGCATAACAGTAGGACAGGTCCGGGTCTCTTAATGACTCGATGACTCTGCGCAACGGGCAGTCTCATTGAATCGAGTGTATTCTACTTGAGGATTCTGTGTCGTTAACCCTCTTACATGAAAGCCAGCCCTATTCTGGACCAACGTGCGCACGTGTGTAAACGTAGCAAACATCTATTGTAGACAAAGGTCCTTAATAGTAATCTCAGACAGTATTGTTATTGTTGAAAATCGAAGAATGACGGTTCGAGGACGATAAGCCTTAATCGATTTAACGGTTCGAGTGGTAAGAATCGTCAAGAAGGTGGAACGACGCTAATTCGATATGAGTGCCGTAGAGAGGAATCTTTTCGCGTCATCAACGTCTAATTCATTGACCGTGGAGGGACGTCGGCGTTGCTGCTACCACTGCCGGTACAACCACGACAACCATCATCGAGAACCACCACCAACCACCGGTAGGTACAGTCAGTGCCAAAGTCCCATGAGATTTTCGCGCTGTCACTAGGTAACTGTTCGCGTGATGCTTCTTCCACGAGAGAGACAATACAGCGTCATTATTAATTCAAGTTCAAGCGTAGAAATTCTTGGAGCAACGCGGAAGCCTGGGTATTATTGCGCAATTCGCTCGGTCGAGTCTACAGGCGAAAAACAGTATCCGAAGACCGCCTCCCGTTGTTGCTTCCTCTCATTTTATCTGCCTTACAGTACTTATATATATATAGAGTATCCTCGCTGGTCCGATCTTGAGTCCAGCATCACCCACCAGCGGACCAAATCGCTTTACTCTAGCGGAAGCACCTTCCCGGGGGGCTCAGAACAGTAGTACTTTTTGTCTCGAACCCAGCGCCTCTGGGCTTAGGCGATACTTGTGGCGCTTCGCTATGCAGCGAGCGGAACTAAATGACTTCGTATTTTCCCGCCGTCCCGAACGTAGCGGCGGATCTTGGTGGAGATTTTCTATGGATCGTATCCAGTGGACGTCTTTATCGTAACTTCGTGTCTTGCGAGTCTCTCGGTGCTACCGACTGGATACATCCGCGCCGAGTAATGTGATCCGCGGGAATGTTACATCTCCGAGCAATTTTCACAATGGCGTCGTGCGCGGATACTGGTAGTGGTGGGGATCTGAAATAAAATATAAAAATGTTAGTCGACGTAAATAATATAAATAAAATAATTACAGGAATCCGAGACAAAGAGGGGGTTACGACGAATCGAATCGGAGGCGTGTTCGCGATTGGTCCGTAAGATGGTCCAACGTAAATCGATATCATCGATCTCGATCGATCGTAATAGGCAAGGAGTATTGAACAGAGTGGTGAGAAGAGGACTTGATATCAGTCGGTGGGAATCTCGGTGCCCTATAAATAGTCGCGAGTTACCCTGGTAATAACAGATCAGAAGCGATCGATCGGACAAGACGTCGTTGGGCATATCGGTAATATCGTGACTGTGGCCGAGAGCCGATAATTAAATAGGGAAGCTGCCTGAAGTTGCCGCTGGTCGGGGCGACTGCGCAAGCGCGAAAGCTCGCACGGCGATGCGAGGAATTATTTTAGTAAGTGGTACGAAAGGGGGGAGAGGAGGAATCTTGGGACTGGGGGTTGAGGGAGACTGACCGGATAGAGACATCGCTGTAGAATGTAGGGGGGCCCTGGGGCCAGTCGAGGCCCTAGAAGATCCAGATATTACATCGTAAGGCTGGCAGTGGGGCCTTGTTAAAGAGAGGGCGACTGAAATATCGACGGCGACTGGCTTTACACGTTATTTACAAGCGTGAATAAAACTGTGTATAGATATATATATATATAATCACCCTGTTAGAGCCACCCACGCTCATGCAGATTGTACATTAAGATTTCTTGTATATCCGATTTAGGTTGGATCCTGACCTCAATTCAGGAATAAACGTACGAAAGGACAGGATGTATTGCGGAAGGTGATTTTGATTTGTAGAAACAGATCGAATGGATGAAGTTTGCCTGGGGACCATGTTACCAGCCACACCTGCTTTATCTCTTGAAAGATTGAGGTTAGGTCTGCGCTCTTCGTCGACGTCCGCCGACGCCGTCCCAAGGGCGTTTGAATCAAGACTGAAGACTGAGATGGGTAAGGATCTATCTAACCAAACCTAACCTAAACTTAAATGATAGGATAAGGACGAAGGTGGAAACTGATGAAGTAGTACCGGAACACGCCTAGTTTATCAGGTGATAAATTGCCTGAATAGGTTATGATACAGGATCCATGGTCAGTGGCCCGTTGAAGAGCAGTGGCAGATCTGAGAACTGATTGTCAGGAGTTACCTTACGGTATGAGGGTTGTTACCATTCACTCCCATCCTCACTGACTGGTCCACCCCTTTTTTATATACCCTAAGGGTTATTGCAAATTATTATTCATCTCTCCTAGGAAGATGGCGCGTATCTACAGCCACGCTGCTCTTGATCGCATCTGCCTTGCGAACCTACCTGGGCTGGACGCCATCGACGAAATGATAAAAGATTCATTGCCATAGGATGCTTACTCTTTTTATCTCTATCTATATCTGAGGTATCTTTCTCTTTTTCACTCTGTATTGTCGGTACGTATTTGTATCCTTTATTTAAACTCTCATCATCCCTACATGTCTATAGGCTCCACTTAGTCCTTCTGGATCTTCTCTGTCGCTCCTATCTGCTCCGAGTTCCTGAGCTCTGCTTGCCGATGAAAGCGATTTAACGCCGCCGGTACCGATGCGTTGATTTCACTAACGAAGCCAGCAATTTATCGTGTTCCGATTGTTCGACGCTGTTCTTTAAAAAATATATATATGTATATATATACATTAATGGTCGGATAAAATGAATCGAAATACTCAGCATCGGAAGGATAAGGTTATGTGTATGATTGGTGGAGAAAAAATTGTTAATTATGAATCTTACCGGATATTGACTTTCTTCGTGGAATTTCAGTCGGAATAAAAATTTCAAAGTCTCCTAGAAGAGATCCGATACTCTCGGCGTCGTGGGTCGGACCCTCGTGGCAGGATACTATGTTAAAGTTAAGGTAGGTCGGGGCGTAACCCAGGATCGAACGAGTCAATAACTCGTTCCTTACTCCTCCACCTACAATGAGAAATCGCCGAGCGATACAATGAATGTGGGTGCACCCTTGATGTATCGCGAAGTTGGTGCGCGAAGTACGTGGCGATCTGCGCGTAGGCGAGTCGTTGCGATGTCTTCATGAAATCTTATACTAGTGAGATATATACATATGTGATTTTGCATAGTTAATTATTAGTATTGATCATTTCGAAGATCATTGGAAATAATTTTAAACAATTGTGGAGTCTGTCTTGAGAATGAGATTGCCATTTGCTGCTGAGTGTTTTTTTTTAACTGGAGTCACTAACTTTTTCTTTGGGTTGTCTAAAATTGTAACAGATAATGGGGCATCCTCGAAACATCTCGCACTTGTGTAATTCAGGGAATGAAAGGCAATGGCGCCAACCTTAGTAAATACTCCAAAAAGTACAACCCTTTTGGGAATGGCCAGGCTGTGTTATTTTCTTCTTTAGGAACCAGCAATTCCTTTTCGCTATTTCGATGCTTCCATGCTTGGGAGGAGGACCCCGGGACTTCGGGACCCAGGTCTTTGGGACCTGGTGCTCTGCGTGAGGCACGAGACAATAATTCCCCGCCTGAGGCGGCTGCCTTGCTCGCGCTTCTAATCCGCCGGCACTTTGCGCGGCAGTGAAAAAAAGCCGGGGAAAAAAGCTGAAAAAGAAGAAAAACAAACATTGGCAAAGACTCGTAAGAGTAAAATTTAAGTACATGGTAGATATATATCAACCTATTGTCTGGTTAAAAAAAATCTTGGCTGCATCTTTAGGACTGACAATTGACGCTAGACGTCATTGGATGACCGAAGATGGCAAGAGAAATCGAACACGGTGTAGCCGTTACTGAGAGCACGAACAATTCCTATTATGATTAACGCCTGGAAAGTTGTAGCAGGATCGGTGTCGTGTGAGGACTTTCTGAAAAGAATTATACTGACTACACTTTCTTTCTAAACTCCATGCAAAAGGTACGGTTGCCAATCGTTCAATTTGTTTCAATCTTCTTTACTTGCGTACAAACTTACAAAGTGTGTAGTACAATGTACTTGCGCTGGGCGGTGCTTGACATCAATTCTACAGGAAGTGGCTGATATAAATTCCGGAAGCGGAACAATTTACAATATGGCGTAACGCAGCTATCCAGGAATAATCAGATCAATTTATTTCCGGTGGTTTCTTTGAAAGAAGCGTGCCTTTTCATGAAAGAGCCTTTTCATGCGGTCATACCTAAAAAAAGGATCCAAGCAGTCGTACCAACATGTAAGCAAAAATATGTACTACATATAAAATTTTTGAGTCTTTCAAAATATTAAAAAATTTCATTTATCAACATTTAATAATAAGAAATGTAAAAATTCAAAAATCGGTCAAGAACCGAATACAAGTAATTCTTTTCGAATAATCCTCGGAACGATGCACTAATGGTGTCCGAGGGCTATCACGAAGACACAAAATTCCGCGGGCGACGATTTCGAAGTATCCAATAAGAAGGTGGAGGATAAGGAACGTGAAGAGCAGAGGTACCAAATGGGGTTTCCAGTTCCAGTGAAGTTCCTCGTAGAATTCCTACGAGATTACAAATGAAGTTAAAGAAAAATCGTGTGAGCCCCCAAGCATTTTCTCGAGTGTCTTTCTCCGCGTGTAATGCCCATTTACCTCAAGGCAGCGTCCAGAGTTCGCGATTTAATTAACAGGCCCAAAGGATCAGTGCAGCGACCAAAGCCATCGTAACAACTTAATGGAGGCCTCTTTTACGTCGGAGTCACAAAAATTACAGTCGTAAAAGGCATTGCCATTCCGAGCCGTGTAATATGGCAGTGAGCAAGCATGCAGAAAAGGGTAAAATTCCTAGATATATAATTTTTTCAAAATTGGACAAGAAATAGTTTACTCACGCATAACCTCTATAAGGTATTACGTTAAAGTCCGGCAAGAGACACACTTATGACATTATACATGTATCATCCACTAATCAAGTACGTAACGTAAATCAGCAACCTAACCTAAGAAAATCATGTTGCAATTAAAACGCGACAACGTAACCAAGAAATCACCAAGTTTAATCGCCCTTTGCGAAATTGATCGTACGACTGATTTCTGAAAATATCACAGAGCCGTCATGGCGCTATCTGAATATTTTCCCACAATCACATACGTACATAATGTCCACACGAAGCGACGCGATATCCCTGCAATCGCATTATGCATACGTGCTACACATATATACTCGGCAACGTAGTTTATATGCATATAGAACGTGTCATAGAAACGCACTGAAGATAAACTCATAAAAGAACACAAGAGGTTAACTCGGGCCGATCTCAAGCACAACTAACAGTGGCAATTAACTCGGCGAGTATGTCCTGCTCCAGGACTTGATTTACGTGCAGGCATTGCAGTTGACGTGAGTGCAAGGGAGAAAGCTGTGGAAACCAACAAGAAGAAATAAGGATTGATAAGAGATAAATGAAAAAAGAATTTAAAAAACATATTTTTCCTGAAAACATAACCTCACCATTGAAAAGGTACCTCTAATGTCAACATAACCTATACTTGACACTACTGACAGATAAAATACAAACGTAATAGACAAAGTGAGGTTATATCATTAAAATAATGTCCCTCCCTAGTTACAGAGTCTCTTTAGGTGTTAAGAACTTATCGGTGCTACTGACAGTCATTAATATAGTATTGTGAGCCCTCGACTACCTGGTGTGTTGAAGCCCTTCTTCAGTTTAATGATCCTAGCCAGGGTGAGGATCATATATGCCACTGGAATAGGTAAGTCGAATGGATATTACTATAAAAAATTGCATTCTGAATGCATAGATGCAATATAAATTTATATATATGTTCAGTGTAGATGCATTGTCAGATAGATCATAAATCATGGAACGTTCAAGGAACACGATGATTTCACCTTGGCAATGATCCAGGAAACGAGAAGATGGTCCATCGGTGTCACAAGGATTCACGTGTGACCGTCACTTTTGCGTACAAAGATCCTTAATGCCAGCGCAGTCGGACACGGACGTTTCTATTCAGTCGGAATGGCCGACGGCTTGCGGTAACGCAAGTGCAAGTGCAGCGCACGGGACAGGGACGGCGCAGCACGATGCGGCTGGACCGTTGCGCACGGTTAGATCTTGAAAGGGATGCTGCTCTTGCGAGTTCATAAGTTAAGCGTTCTTCCTCATCCTTGGGCTTTGATGCACCAGCCACCATAATGGAAGATTTATCGTGATATCATACGACTTAGCGATAATTTGTCATCTCAGAATTTTCACGTCGATTCAAAAGAAAGCGTGGACGAACTTTTTTTATCTTATAAAAAAATGTGTTATATAAATGCAGTTATGGCTTTCTATATACGAATTCGTTGTACAGTATGTGATTCTGGTGAAGATAATATTGTAGCTGTCACGTGTCTTTTATACAGTCGTTTATATTATTGCGTGTATATGTGATTAGGAAACAGTTAGGCGAGTCTTTGTAGATTGTGGATGCGGCTTGTTGATGATTTTATAAGCAAATTTTCGAGTGCATTGGAGATGAATGCTTCTGCCTTGGTAGCTTATTGATATTCTCACCCGAGGCAGAGCGATTTTTATAAATAATGATGATGCACCAGGTGCCGTCCATTGGGATGTAGGACCGCTCCCAGCATCCCGGCGTCTTAGCATCCCAATATCGAATACAATCAAAGGCCGATCGAGCACAATGCAGACGATTCACTGTTACAACTCTCATTATAATTTTGCGTGAGGGACGAGTTCGAATAATAATTATTAAAAGGGTTCACAGTCGGGCCCGTTTAAACGTCACTTTTACATCCAAACGAAATTCCAGGAAGTATTATAAATCTCTTGATAGAAGATCGATCAGACTGATCTCAATTTCCAGGAAGCTGTGGACTCCTCTTATGTTTTGCTTGTCTTATTTATCTTGATAGGAGAGGTAGTGGAATTTTTATAAGATTTATATATGCCACGTCGTATACGTCTCCCTATGCTAATTTGCTTGTCTGATATATTTATATTTTTTATTTTTTATAGAAACCACCTTAAGACACGCTACCCACGTTTCTCTTGATACGTTGTGAAACTTTCGTTTCCGCGACTCCAATGTTCTTCTTGGTGGAGAATCCAGTGCCGGAAGGATATTGCGTAAACGGAAGTGCGTGAGGACTCTTTGTCTCTTGGAGTCTTTGATGGTATCCACCTGAGGACTGTAGGGCAGAACAAAAGCCAAGAGAGGAGAATAGAGAGGATGTGGAAAATTATGAGAGTCGATCGTTTGACTCGTAAAGGGTCGACTTACTGTATTACTGCAATCAGACGTATTGGAGTTCAATTACGGATGTCAGTTTCAACCTTATGGACTCATTGATCAACTGATTATTATTAATTGATGTGATACAGTAAGTAAGAATATTTGTAATTGAAAATAATTACAAAAATATTGTTTAAGAAAATTTGTCATACGGAAGTGAATACCTCGTACGTAATAATAACATAATTTAGTGAAATATATTCAGGGAGGTAGCAAAAGAAAGAAGGAAAAGAAAATGGTCAAAACGCTGAGACTTTGTTGTATCGATCGTGACGTTATAATTCAGTTCTGTGTTTCCGCCTGGGGAGGAATCTCTTTGCCAGCCGTGCAATTACGTCATGAGATGCTACAGTTTCCGCAATGGGGTGTAAATATTAAAGGAACAAAGGAAGAAGAAACAGGAGCAGATTGTACGCAGCTTCACTTCGTCTTCCTTCCAGGAATCCTTTCAGATCGAATCGTCGCTTCCGTGCATGGGGTTGTCTTCCTTCCTATAAGAAGTATCGGGGGTACCGAACGAAGGAAAGGAAATCGAAAAATAAAAAAAATAGAGGAAGCAAGGACTCCTAGCTGAACTAACGGAACGGATCTGTTCGATATCAATCCTGGAAACAGATGGGATCGATTAAGGCAATTTAATCTCAGTATCCACATGGTTCTGGATCCTTGACTTAGCGGGATCGAAGGATCAAGGAAAACCCATTCCCTGAGAAAAGTGTTGTGACTATTGTTACCCTTAAATGGATCTAATGTGGATCATTTATCCAACCCTGGGTGGTCCACCTGCGAATATTGCTTCTGTCGAACCATGAGGTTAAAAAATTTTGACTCCGTTTATAATTTTTGGATTTTTCATTGAATTTCATAAAATCCATTTTTTTTATATACTCCAGAAATAAACGGTACAATGTAAAACTGTCGAAATTAAATATTTTGGAAATTTTATCGAATATTATATTTTTCTCTATAAGTATATCGTATATGAAGACCACACAGGAGGATTCAGCACAATACACAATAATGCCAGTCACGAAACCCTCGCGATTGAACGATCAAGACGTTCCGCCGGTTATTAGCGCGATGAACGGATTTAAAAGGGACTCCATTTTGGAGCTGTTATAACCCGCGACTTCTCTCTAGGGATTGTTAGCCATTGTTTGATCGGGGTTAAAAGTTTCTAAGCGCCCTTAAAAGCCGAGTAATTCGCTTCCTTCCGCCACCCACGTCGAAGCGCGCCGGCAGCTTGCTGCTTTCTCCGCAGGTCGTTAAACTAAAAAAAAAAAAGATTAATAAGGATCAAAAAAAATTAACGCCAGACTTAAAAGAATCCGAAACCCTTTGTAATTTTCATTCATCAAGAGTTGCGTGGTCTTTTCACTTTTTCAAATTCCCTATGCTACAGGAATCTACCTTTTCTTCAGTTTTTTTTTCTCTTCAAGTTAGACATTTTCGCGGATTATCCTTTTCATTATGTTCCAAGGTCATTCTACCTATTGTAATATACACAGTAGTCAGTGGATACCAAGCCGCAAGGATTATAACGCCCTTACAGGCATTTATGACTACTTATTCGTCTCTACCTGCCTTTTAAGGTTTTGCACAATTAGCCTCGCGCCATATTTCACCTAACTTCCAAATCGGCTGTGGTTACCCAGCGGCAATGAATTCCCTAGGTAATATTTAAGAAGATAGCAGCATATACAGTTGTAACAAAAAATACAATAAAAATCACGAGAACCAAGTATGTCCTGTTGGAATTTAAATTAGGCAAATAAAAAAAGACAAAAATTTCACTGACGCAAAATCTATAAATAGAAAAAACCTGCACGTGCCAATAAAGAATTTCGTAACGATTGTCCTAAAATATCCTTGGACGACAATGCATCTTTCGTGTAGGCATTCGGTACAGCAGCTGCAGCTGCATATGCACTTAAAACCGATAAGCAAGTGCACCTGCGCTCAACGAGAGTGAACAAGGTAATTAAATTACATAAGAAAGTGCAACAAGTGTTTGGGTAGATCAGCGTATTCAGAATTTACAAAATTTCATATTTTCATAAAACATTTTCTCGCTCATTGTTAAAAATGAAAAAAAAAATAAAAAGTTTACACGAGAAAATTCATCATCACCAATGACGTTGTACGTTTCAACGAATATTCCAATGATATATTGCCCGGCCACGCCCGGTTTGTTTTCACTTGCATGGACTGTAATTAGCAATCAGTACGTAATTGCAATTACCTGGTAGAGTTAATTGTTTAAGAGATTTAAGAGACGCCGCGATCTAGATTGAGCCAAGTCGGCAGTCTAACAGAAGACCATAATATATATATACAACATAAAAAGAAAAGTGAATCGACACGAGTAAACCAAAGACTGTGAACGAAGCCTTAAAGGTTCTAAAAGTCACTACCTGTTCTATCTGAAGAAACAACAACAACAGCTACAATACAAAACAGCTTGTTTCATGGAAACACGACCAGAGAATAAAAATGGGAGTCGGATACCTGGAGTGAAGTAAAATAGAAAATGAATCTGCAGGCTATGGATCTATTCAAAAGTTGAAGATGATTTAATTGGTTGATGCGATTTTGAAAAACCTATGGATTTTATTGTATCGTCAAGACTTTAATATACTGGGTGTTTCATAATGGGTGGTCGAATAAGGATATATATTATGTATATCCAATTACACATATCTGTACACATTGAACATATATTATATACATGACGTATCCTTGTGCAATAGTAAATGAAATATTCGCAGTAAGTAAAGAATCGACTCGTGTCTTCATTTTTTTTTTATCAGTTTCTCCAGAGTGAAGTTCGCTTTAAATGAACGGAACAGTGAACGGTACCTTAAAGCTAGTGCCATAAGCCTTTGCTCATAACCATGCATTGATTGCCTATAAGGAAATGGCAGTTAAATTAAAATTTAATTTATATCTTATTAAATTTTTGTCTACCGCCACCAAGAAGACTACCGTTCGGATCATCATTGCCATTGGCCACTGGCATTCCTGTCAGCAAGGATTTCTTGTCCTTGCACACGGTCGACGTTGATTTATTGAGACGCGCGACAACGGCGCGTTCAATGTTTCGTCAATAAAACAGTAACGGTACATTTGAGAGTACATTGGAATTTCTCCCAAAAATTCTCTTTCTTTCTCTTATAAATACTTGCTCGCTCTCTCTGTCTCTCTTTCTCTCAGAAGCCAGTCACGACTATTAAAAGACAGCCTATTTGGTTTTTATGTCAGTAAAAATAGCAAGACACAAAACAAATTGATCATTTCGACGACTGAAATCATCATTTTTGGTCTTTTCCTTTTTTTTCTCTTTCGAAATTCAAAATTGGACCGATTCTTAAGAAACGGAGACTAGGAGGTCCTTTCGCATTTGGTACGTAACGAATTCCAATGAACGGTAAGTTTCGCCAGAAGACGTAAATAAAGAAACTGATCTTCGAGAGTCACACCAATTTCGACGTGGGAGGCTTCTTCCTCTTTCCCTTCGGGAGTTTTTCTCTTTGACGAAAGTAGGAAGTCATTGTCCAAATGATTTCCAATGATTGTGTCAATGTACACTAGGTCCTCGTACCTGACCCTCGTTCCGCTACCGAATGTCATTGATCGGACCAATCGATGACTCCTGTTATGTATTGACATCTCAATTAAGGATCCTAACTTTGCTTTTCGACGAGTCATTCGGCAGACACCTTAAACAGGACGAGCAGAGTTATTGGCAAGATATATTATTTATCTTTTTTATTTTCTTTTTTTTTCCCCTCAATAACAATACTTTACAAAGACAATTACATGCCACGAACCACAAACGTACAATTACATAATATGTACCTATACTCAAAGGAGTTTCCATTGCGGTTATAAAATGAAGGTCAAAGTACAACAAAAAAAAAAAGAAAAAAATGGTGTATCCTCCTGAATATGCATTTCCCGGACATCCGTCAGGCCCAGGACTAATAACAGAGAGACCTTCCGACACGCAGATAGATAAAAAGGAGTGAATGAGAAAAAAAAGAGAATAAAGAAGAAAAAAAATAAATAAAAAAGCCAAGAGACCCCGTAAACAGCCCTTTCAGTCTAATATTCAATATTCGAAAAATTAATAAGGCACCTGTTATACGTAGACATATGGACCACTGGGGCTACTCTAGTATTTTTTGTGCTTCCGACCACAAGTTTTTTCTGAGGTTGCCCACCCTGGCCCCCTTTTTATAGATAGCTACTTCATTGATGAATATCCCCACCACACTGCTCCAACTTCTACAACCCCTTACTACGATACACGGTTCCCACACACCCCTTTACTCCATTGACCAAAACGTCTTGTATTCTTTCTTTTTCTTTCAACCCTCCACCCCCTCCCTCCCCCCCATTCTCACCGAAGCTATCGATCCGATTATTTTTTCTCAAGAATTCTTTCTCAGGCTCAGACAGCTCGGACCAGACAGTCTGCTCATCGCTTCAGACAACATATAATGGCGACATAGAGAGTAACGGTAAAGAATGATGAAAGCGTAAGAATAAGGAGACAAGTTGTAAATTTTCAATCGCACTACTGTAGATGAGTCATTACAAAAAGAATACATCGGTATAAAGGAACATGGTAATGTTATCCTTATTCATTTGTATGAGCAAACAATGTCTCGTAGTCCTATATACAATGTGTATATATAGATATATACAGTTATAGTAGCCATCAGAGTAAGTACCTACTAGAGGTACTCTTTGTCGCGGAATATTCGTAACGTTTAACCCCCATTAAATCACGTCGGGCACAGGGTGGCATAACAATAATGAACAGAGGGGCCGCCATGTCGGTCCAGAGCTGCGTAAAAATTACGGCGAGATATACGACGCTGTTACCGGGATTGGAGCTAATTACCACCCAGAAGCCACGTCCATATCCTGGCTAACAGTGAATCAACGTAGGCTGACCTCCTATCAGCGAGCGTAGATCCCGACCTCGGCATCGACCTCGTCGATTTGTTTGCTCTTTAACGAGCTAGAAAAGAAAGAAAGGACGAGATAAAGAAAAAGAGGAAAAAAGAAATTTACAGAAGGGTACATTACGTGTTAAGACAGAAGGATGGAGATGGCTGAATATGAGTAGAGAAATGTATACGATGGAGACGAGCAGAGGAGGTAGAGGAAGGCAACCGGCAACGGCGAGTTTCACGACGGTAATCATCCTCGTCATCGTCGTCATCATCATCATCATCCTTTATTGAGAAAATTCTGGCGAGCCAAAGGCGTCCCGATAGGGAGAGTCGAATGAAAAACCAGTGGCATCAAATAAAATAGGTTCCACTTCGTTCCTTCACTCTTTCGTTCCTGTATTCCTGGCATTTTATTCAAGCCTGTCCCCTGCCTTAGGGCTGATTCTCATTGCAGTTCCTGGACGACCAATGACCAGGTGTAACGGAGCTGTAAGAAAAGCATTGAATGTCTTTATTTAAGATAACGACAAATGATACTGATTGGTTACTTGTTCGTTGGAATATTTTTTTCTCTCTTATATTTGTATGGCTTTCTTCTTTTTTTGTTTCCTTGCCTTTCATCCTTCTATAATCTCGGTAACCTTGCGCAATGGACGCCATGGAAACGGGAATTGCTGTGAGAGTCAATTCGTCGTTGATACTTTGCTTAGCAATTGGAAGACTGAAACTTTGTCGAAAATTTATTTAAAACGTATTCGGTACGATTTGTCGCGCGTGTATCGTCACGAGTGCGTAAATGCAAATGGGATCTTAAAGGCGGTAAAGTTTCTTTCTAATATGAAATGACCTTGAGTCTGGCTTTGACAGAAAAATAGAGAAGTTCTTAAGCGGCGATTATGAAAATTCATGGATATACTATAATGTTCATAAAAACTTGAAGGAGATAGGCCAAGTTTAAAATGACGATGAAAACGCGGATCTCTATGCGGTTGGTTTGAAGATATTTTAAGAAAACTCTCAACAATTTCTCCCAAGCGACCCTCGAGTCGCGCATGCGCATTGGTATCGGACATGTCCATGGCTCCCAGGGGAAACCGGAATAAACGGCGCAATTACGTATATTAAATGCCAGCGATTTGGAGTAGATTTTAAACTGGATTCCGACAATACCAGGAGCGCCAGAAGGAACGATTGGTTTTATACTGTGCGATCCGCATATTTCCTGGGAGTCGTGTGAACCGAGCATAGCGAGCCACGCGTGAACCAACATTATGGATAGAATAATTCTGTAGTCATCAATGAAAAATTAGACCAGATGTAAAGATCCATGAGTCCCATCATCGGTACGGTTAAGTATTAAATGATGCACATGCGAGATGGGAGAGAAAGTCTTCTGATCTGTAAAATAAAAATGTAAATTATAGAAATCATAGCTACGTATCTAGCAATTGCTTGTAGCTATATCGCGGTTGGCAGTATTTAAAAGAACAGTAACCCACCTTCAGGCAGTGCCTACTCTTACCAATTACCGTGGATAACTATTCATATCGCCATGAGTAATCTGCAGTCCGTAAATGGATATACTCAGGAAATCTCTGATGTCGGCAAAGCTTACAGGAGTTGCACGTGTACGCGCCATTGGTATTTCGCCTAGTGGCAAACGACGTTTCTCGACGACTCGGTAAGTGCATTATTTCGCAGAGATCATTTTTAATGGCGTCTTGAATTTCAGTTAAATAAAAAAAAAGTGTCCGATAAATGACGTAAATAACTTAATGACCTGCGACGAAATTTTCATGAGAATTAGAAGAAAAAAAAGTATCACATTTAAGACACCATACCTTATATGGAATCGATGGTACTAAGATATTCCATGATTTGAGTATGGTCTTTTATAATGTGGCCAACCTGTAAAGCGCAGCCAAAGATAAGGACTGCACAGTGAACGGTCAAGCTGGTCGCTGGTTGTCCGGTTCTCCTGTTGCTGGCACGTTTCATCCCATGAGCGAGGACTCCCGCTCGGTTTTTCAAGCCAGCGAGAGAAGAGGAGGGTCTGATTGCGCGGGATTCCCGCTTTGAAGTGGCACCGCCAATGTTCCCAGCCATCTCGACTCGTTACCACCATACCGACTATGGGGATTACGGGACTTGACTGTAACCAACCCTCAAGTGGAACAAGTATACAGTCTTGCATCCCTTAAACATACAAAAGTAAAATAGGTTACAACGAATCGAAGACGGGATCGAGGTATCGAGAGATCGTGAGCTCGAGTCGCTCGCGACTCGTGGCAAAGTCGAAAATCTCAATCGTGCCGTGAGCCACTTTTCAATTTCTCACCCTATGGCAAAAAGGAGACCTCGGTATGGCGTGATGAGTGTTGGGCATTCGCGTGGCTTCTTACCTGCGTGTACACAGCCGGATTAATACTTGAATTCACCCAGAGAGGGCGCCTCGAGCGTCGTCGTACTGCGCATGCGCGCAACTAATGTCCCGCGACACAGGAAGAGCAACAGAATGATAAAGAGAAGCCCCTTTCTGCCGCTCGCGGATGGTTGCACCACGTTGCAGCACGATCAGCAACACCGGTGAACACTAAGCAGTCCATCCTGGCTAATTGCAGGCGACGCATCTCTCGCTCGTATATCACGCCGCGATCCCCTGTCAATGGAACATCGCTCACTTCTTCGCCTAAAGTCACCACTTCTACAAGTTACCTAACCTCTCGCTCACTCGCTCCTTCAAGTCTGTCACATCTTTTTACTCGTATACGTTATTTCTCACTGTCTCGCTGTACAATGTCTTTTTTATTTTTCATTCGCTCGTACTCTCCAGGTCACTTACGTATCCCTTGACTGATACGTGCCACGGCACGGTAGGTATTTAAATTTGGTAACGGCCGTGCGTCGTGAGCCGTTACAAGATGGCTGGCCGGGACCACTATACGTAAAGTCAGATCCAAGGGTTACTCGTGGCAGAGACAAACAGGGAGATACGGGATGGGGTCCAAGAGAAGAAGATAGCCAGTATTGACAAAGAGAAAGGATGCGCTCGGAGGGTATCGCGGAATCCGCGTGGCGCACGGGTGTAGCAAGAAGATAATGCGCCCTCCGAACATTTCGGATTCCTCGCGCAGTCAAGCCGAGAATAAGATTCTTGCGGCTCCTACAACGGCTCCTGCGGGTTCCTTGACTCCCGGATAATTATGTCCCCGGCCCTTGTTCCATGGGTTCGACTTCGAGAACCTCTCCATAAACGTATCGAAACTCTCCACTGTTCTTCTATCTCTTTCTCTCTCTCTCTCTTTCTTTCTTCTTCTTCTTCTTCTTCTTCTCTCTACCCTTACGCTCATACTCCTACCTCCCTCCGATCTACTACCTTCTTCTCGGCTACTCGCCTGGACTCTCCTACCTTATTTCTCTTACCTTCCTCTATCTGTGTCCAGCACCAGGGGGATACGTGCCGTTGTTCAACCGCGGACGTGACACTTCGTGCCTCCATCAATTTCAACCAAAAGAGAAGAAGCCTTTACTCTTCTCTGCTAACCTCTTTGCCGTTTTTCGACACTTCACCACCGACTTCGCCTGGCTTGGTTGCTTTAGGAAATCGACCTCAGCTGAACTCTTGTTCCAGTAAAAAAAATGAAGTTTCACGGGATCCATTTAAAAAGATAGGCAGGTACAGCTGGTAGTAAAGATACTCGTCCAAATACTATTTTAAATTAATGCCATTATATTATCAACAGGAAGGACGATTATTGGTCGCTAGTGTATTTACTTGTCTTGCATCATACACAACAGTGCACTAGTATCGATTGAATTCATGGTGTTCCAAAAAACGAAAACTTCATTCGTATCAACAGATTAATCATAAAGGGAGGAACAATTTGACGAAAATATCCACGTCCACGTGTAACAGAGGTTGCCCAGCGGATGCACGTTGAGCCATCGTAAATTCCGTGAGGTGAGCACTTCTTGCGTCCTCCATTACTCCCGACGATGATTCGAGATATATAAGGCAAAAGGTAAACCCGGCCGCGGCGAGCACGAATTTCCAGCGTCGCGATGCCGTCGCACACCGGCAATTACATCGGAGAACAATTACAGGTTGGCACGTTCAGCTCGGTGCCATCGCGAGTTTTTTCTACCGCGGGATTCCATCTACGAAGAACGAGAGGAAATCTTCTTTTTCAAAGCGGACATACCTAACCTATAAACGTACGTATACCGCAAGTACCAAACAGTACAGAGAATCATATCCTACGGATAACCTATACTTTTTTGCTTGAATATTCATTTTTTTAACGCTATATATTTTTATTATTTACGTCGCCATCGCCCTGATACTCATTTTTTTGAAAAATTGGAATGTTCACAGATAACGCGTTGCATATAACCAGGTGCAAGTGCCTTACCAGAGAGGAAATAAAGCCCTAGCCATTGGGCACGCCTCTCCTTCTCGTTGGGTGCAGAGGTTAAACCGTCTAGAGGAAGAAGAAGAAGAAGAAGATGAATAGCAGAAGGAAGAAAATTTCCAGTTACTGGATTCTCGGTGTATTCCACATTTAAAATCTGTGAAATGAGAAATCTCAAGATCCTTTTCTATCTCGGGGCAGTTTTATTACGATTACACGTAACAGATAAGGGAAGCAAAAGTCAAAGCAGAGAAAGATAACAATAACGCGGATGAACTCTGCCGATAAGGTAGAGATACCTACGAAGAATAACAAATTCAATTAACCACGATGCTTTATGGATATTGTCTCAAGTACACGTGAAAATATCCGAAAATACCTCGACCTCGCCGGGGATTCCCCTCGTATAATAAATCAAAGAGCACGCGCTATTTAATTCGTCCTTTATAATAAGGAAATTAAATTACGCCAACGCCCTTCAGAGCCGACCTGCAATTACCGTTAATTGCAGACGATTCCTCGATTATTCACGCTCGAGAGATCGTAGTTTTTCACATATGAGGAGGATCGATCGATCGATCGATCGATACCCATACATACATCTATATATAAAGGGTTATCCGACTCAAAGAAATTACTGGATCATATAGGTATCGAAAATCATTTAAAAATTCAAAAATTCTACTTACCCCTAAGAGTAGCTTAAACAAATTTTAGATCTATCGATCGATCGATCCATTGTATACATATCTATTATATAGATAAATTCACTTTATTCCGTATGTGAAAGCTTGAATATATAATGCTACATTAACGTAACGTAATTCCAGCTGAATGCGACCTTGGTACCGAGTTAGGTTACGGCCTAGGCTGGTTCAAAGGTCATGCGTTATACCGATACACCGATGATTGGCGGAATGCGCCGTTTTACGACTGCCACTACGACCAGCTACGACGAGCGTTGAATACGAGCATGTGGCCGGCTGCGCAGCGTTCATGGGAAGCATCATCGCTACGATCTAACCTACCCTCGAAGGACAGAAAGAAAGAAAGGAAACAGCGCGCGTAATTACCCGAAGCCAGTTATAATTTCATCGAACACGATCATAAATGAGATTACGAGCATAAAAGTCATGGATTCTCCTCGAACGATCCGAGCTAAGCTTTTGCATACCGATAGTTAAAAAAAAAAAAAAATCACGTACCACCAACACGGTAACACCACACCCTGGAAATATGTAAAATGGCGGCCGAAAGGTCACCGGTAAAAGTTCGTTATCGCCTTTACCCGATTTAACCAAAAACTTAGCACGATCATTTCGAATGCCCTGGATCAGATTAGTAGCTCCCATCCAAAATCAGCACTGGGCTATCGATAGAATCCAAGTTTCAACGCTGCGGATCATGGTACACGACTGATTTTTAGGTATGAACGAAAAGGGAGGCTATATTAAAAAAAAAGAACGTAAACAAAAAAAAATTTTTAAAGAAAAAAAATTACCAACCTGCTACGAGAGAAAGCCGTAAACAAACTCCGTCCATCCCCTTCCCTCCCACCGACAACAAATCAAGCAGACACCTCCTCAGCGATACCAGCAATTTGCTAAAACCCGATAACAACATAATACGTGGTTCCATGCCTGATATCAAACAAAGTGTTAACCACTTAATTCAAGCTAATAAGGGGAGTTTCATAGGTGCGAACGGCGATTGCGATTGGTCGAGGAAGGTTGCAAATTCTCAAAGGCAGATCAATTACCAGGTAATAATCGTTACGCAGCCCATATGCGCGTCTTTATACCATTTACCTTGAAAGTACCTGTATGCACTTAAAGCCTACGTCCACACCACTCATCCAATGCACATGGACGCAGTGAAGAAAAAAAAAAGAAGTCCATAAACCAATAATTCCTAGGGTAGAAACAAAATTTCAAAAAATCCCTAGAATCTAGTTCGATCTGAACCGATCGTGAAGAATTCATTTTTCGTTCACCCTTTTCTTTGCATTCTACAAGAAAATATTCCCATCTCACCCCCTCCCCCCTCCCCTTTCCTGCTCGTCCTCTCGAATGCAGCAATTGCATTAGTCCGTAATTCGCAGTGCATATATATATATATATATATATATATGTATATATATATATGTACCTAAGGCCCATTAGAGCTATCGGGTCCACTCCATGAGAATAAAGAGTATAGAATACCTAAGGTCGAGGTCGAATCGTACCTCGTTTCTTCGCGTCTTCCTACCACCCTTCATACCCCCCCTCCCTTGGCACCCACTACCCCCCGCTTCTCTTCAACCATTCTCACCATGTTCCAGGACTCCTCGAGTTTCCAGCAATAACGCAACGCCAGGTACCAGTTACGCGTCTTTATCGCTACCTCTCTCAGATTGCTGCCATAGGCACCTATATATATATATATATATATATATATATATATGCGTGTGTATACACACCTGAATACCTATAGCTATACGGATTGCTAGGCAGTTACTTACGAGCACGCCGTGAAATATGGCCGGCTGAACCCGGACGCGTCCACCGACTACTACTACTGCCCGAGTAGACTTAACAAAGGGCAAAAAGATACCGCTAATTATCCACACCAGAGCCGTGCCACATGAGCGGGCTACAGTTCGCTGCATGCGCGGCCGGCTTAATGATCCCTATGGGAGAAACGGTATAAAATCGTCGACCCAACGGGATCGACTGTCGATTGGTATCTGATTGTGAGATAGGAAAATTCAAAATTCGACTGGACACGCGTGTTAACTTTGAACGAAGTATACGCACGTATATAAACACACGCGTATAGTCATAAGTATGAATTAAAATCGAGATGATGAAGGAACGTTAATTAAAGACGGTGGAAATAAAGTGATAACAGTAAGTACCGTACGTATGGGACTATGATGCATGATTACCAGCACTGCGTGTCCGCCCTGTAGACACGTGACTTATGCCCGGTGGGTAATTCATAGAAAAAAAAAAAAAAAAAAAAAAAAAAAAAAAAAAAAAAAACTTTATTCCCATCTCGTCGGTATAAGAATAAATCGCGAGGATGCTTTATTATGAAATCGGAAATTGGCGTCGATCTTCGGGCGAAGATTAAGTAACCCCTGTCAGAAGAGTTGAAGATATTTGCATGGATCAGAATAATTAGCGAATCCCTTTCTGAGGGGACGCGCGTGTGTGTAAGTCGTTATCTTTGCAGTTACGATATCCACGCACGTGGTACGAAGGAGTCCTGGTAGATGAAAGGCCACGTGGATGCAACAGGTGACTCTGTCGTGCGTTGGTAAGCGCGCCAGCGAAGCTCGAGGTGACGTTGTGAATGCACCTTAAAAAAAAGGAATAGAATTGCGCCAAAGGAGTACCGGGTACGAAGTATCTGGAGGGGAAGGTGCAGGAAGGTGAAGAGTGTCCGAGCGCATAGATCATCCTTCGACTCCGGGATGCTGTGGATGCTGCGGAGGTGGAGCAAATAATACCTCCGCGCACGTAGCATTGTTCGAATGACTTATGGGAGGCACTTTGAGCCTTTACAATAATACTCGCGTTTACGGCCAACGATGTGAATTATCGACGGCATTAATAACGCTCTTAACCCTGCCCCGGTTACGGAGATACTTGTTGCCCATCAAGAATACTAGTGGGTCCAATGGTGAGCTGAGCCATTGTCGAAATAGCTTATAACAGTTTTGTTAGAGATATATGTAATTGTGAGATGGATATTTTCGTACGTGACGTAGGAGGACATTGCGTATGAATTTGTAGGATAGTCATGGATGGACACGGCTAGAGGGGGCGAATGGGGAGGTCGGAGAATAGAGGGGCAAAAAATTGAGGATGTCGTCCGTGATTTGGAGGTTAATCGATTCCTGAGAAAAATCTCGCAGAATCCCAAAGGACTCTTTGGGACTGCACGCATGGCGTTTCCGTTCACGTTGAGGTGTCGTGACGTGAGAAAAAAAATAAAGCTGAAAAAAGTCGTCACGGCAATTTACTACAGAGACCGCAAGACCCGGGAGAAACGGGTCAGGGGGCTATCGTGTGCGAGAGAGAAGGAGCGACGGAGACGGAGAGAGAGTGAGAGGGATAAGATACAAGCGTAAAATAACTACCAAATGACAGGCCACCTTCTGTAACGTAATAAATTGGGCACATAACCACAACGTTGGATTCGTTCGTGTCTCCTCGACACCCTTGACTGTTGGGTGGCATTTAGGAATTTTCAATTTTACAGAAAAGTGTGTGGCAGGCTTGAGGAAAACGTTGTACTCCGAAGATAAGGATATTTCTACCTTACCGACGGGCCGTAGGTATCCGTCTATACTAGCCTATAAGTTTTGTCGCTGCGGCTGACGTTTCTTGAGTGTTCGCGATCGATGATTGATTTCAACGCGAATAATCTCTGGAAGTAACTTTTGGTGACGTAAACTCACGAAGAATTCTTAAAAGAATTCGTATGCTCAAGAGCATTCGTATCTTGCTGATGTATTTATACCGTTCTCCTGTAACTTTAAGGTACGGCAGTCGTTTCTCATAATATACAAGACAGTGGTATTCCTTCGGCTGTCCGTAAGTACGAGCAACGGCGGAATCGCCCAGGAGATTCACAGGCGGAAGAGAGGGTCTCTAGTACTCGTGTTAACGTTCGTACTTACATCTTGACGATGTTTTATGATTCTAAACGACACGTATATCATTCGCGGATGAATGTGCCGTTTGCACGTTATTCCGCGCGAAATTTATCACCATCATGGAAAGGAGCCGCGCATAGAGATGAACAGAGAGAGAGATAGAGAGTGAGAGAGAAGAGGTAAGCACTGAGTAAGTGATAGAAAGAGAAAGAACTAGAAATATTTTTGAATCCCCGGAACTTGACCCAGAGAATAACGGAACGATCTGTCAACCTTCAACGATTTCTTCTGTCTTCGCCATAGGTACAGGCACGAGGTGTACCAGTCCTTTTGTGTTTCTTCTGAGATCAAATTGAGATTGAATCGCGAGAACAAGACTCGCACAGTCACTAGAGGGAAGTACCAAAGGAAAGCACCCGTGTATTGAAGAAAGAAAGAAAGAGAAAATAGAATTCCACAACGGTAATAGGCAGGACGTTCGACTCTGCTCTCGTAGAAGAGCCACCACGTGTATGGATGATCGAGAACGTCTGTCAGTTTAAAAAAAAAGACATACGAGGTAAATGAAAATAAATAAATGGAGGACGAGCTGGAACCGCAAGTTTCTGAGTCTGGAGGATCCAGAAAGACTCGAATTAACGCCTAATGCCCTATTGTCCGTAGGAAGACATGGCGGATCAATGAATACAAAAATGAGAGAGGAGTCGCTCCTGGAAAAAGATCAAGAAACTTTATCTTTTCAAATTACAGCGCACATGAGCCTCGCGTTTCCATTCAATATTCATACAGTCGGAGTGTTAGGCACGCTATACGTCACGCCATGCCTGGCACTGTCTACCAACTCTTAATCACTGAATTATTAGAATCACCAAAAAATCACTAGAATCAGTCTAGTGACTTTTTGCTTGGTTTTACCTAAATTTTTTGTTCTTCCTTTCTTGTGGCTTAGAGAACGACGTGTTCGTTGCGAACGCGAACGAATCACTGTAACGTGTGGAAGTAACAATACCTTTTCTTTGTTTCGTTTTTTCTCTCTCGCTTTCTCAATAGTCTCTAATAACATATCATTCAAATCAAATCATTACGTCATACAATAAAACTGTCCGATTATTTACAATGTCTATTCACTATTGCCATAACTATTGTACATTGACTACACAATAATAAATGACTGTCAAAACCCCAGGAGCCCATATGCTAATCCGTCAACCTTCACTACATACGATACTATAGTTACAAGGTAGGATCGGCAAGAACGATGACGTTGATTGTCATTGACGCAATATAATATACAACAGAAGACAATTCGAGTGACGACGCCGCGACGTCAAGGCGCGTGGCGTCCATTACGCGAAATCCAAACGGTACAGTGATCACGCCATAAAAAATACTTTATAGTCATATAAGACGACTGTATTTGCCGAGTCGTCATCAATTAGGTGCATAACCTTAACCTTTGCGAATAGATACATATGCAAATAGGGTAATATTATGTTAATGCTAATACTTCGAGTACTATTTCTATTTCCTTTCATACACCTACTTCCACTACAATTAGATGGTGCCGGCGCGGAATTTGAAAATTTGCCTTACTAAAATAAACACTGTGTGGTCATTCCGAACTGAAGAATTTAAGTGAATACAAAATGGCGGTTTGCTCGTAATTCGAGCTCGTCTTGATCCACGACGAGCGACATAACAAAGTCCACTGTGGATTTTAACCTCAAAATGACTTAAAGTCACGACTAGACGTGACATTCTTTGTCGCATAAATCATTTTACCGAAGTAATATTGCCGTGTATTATTTGACAGTACAGTTGCGTATTCTCTCGGGAATAAAAAAGAAGAAAAAAAGGCGGAAAATGAAAATAATTTAAAAATCATTCCTGTCTGGGGTAACCGGAGGATATGGTATACAAATACATATATATATATATATATATATATATATAGAAGCGGCAAAGATGGCGAATCGTTTAATGCGAAGTAACGCGTTTCGCAACGGGACGAGAGCCTCGGCATTAATTCGCTAATTAATCAGTGTAACCGTATTCCCCGGCGCGAGCAAGGGGCGCAGCCGTGATTCACGGTCTTGTACGAATTATGAAAAATCGCCAAGTGCCCGAGTGTGTATGGTACCGGTTCGACGTTAGTACTTGTAGATCCGTAACGATCGTATGGCGCTCGTGTATTAATACCGCATAGGATTGCGAGTATAGTCTGCAAGGCACGATTTCCTTGTAAGGAGAACCATTCAATTGTCCGTGAGACAAGTTAATTACGTGGATAATCTTGGGGATTCGCATCGGTATAGTATAGCTGACGACCAGTGCGCAGGCGCACGCCTCCGTACCTAAAAGTTTAACAAGTACGGGGATACAGGTACCCTAAGTACATCGACACACTGGATGGAAGGAGAAAACATTAATTTCTCAAAGGTTTCATACTAATCGTGAGAACCGTCAGAAATTGAAATTCAAATATCCCGCGTTGAATCGATATGAAAAACGGCGCCACCGTCGCCTCTTAGTTAACCGACATAGCCGCGGTTCTAACCTAAAGAGCCGATCGTCTGCGACAAAAGGAGATCTCAAGAGATCGAAAGCTATCGTCGATCAGTTGATGTATGATCGAAGCAGAAATGGCTGTCGGGGCGAGAGCGCGTCCCGATAAATCTCCCAGGTTTTTAACCGCGGGACTTGTCGTTCGCGTATAAATATATCGTTTTCATCAATATTTATGCCGGCCGACCAATTGGACCGAAGTTCTCCGGTCGGAGCGACGGTAAAACGGACTCCGTGAGAGAAGTTGCGTGGACCCAAGATGTACATAGAGAGAAGAGATGGAGAGAGAGAGAGAGAGAGAGAGAGAGAGAAGGAAAAGAGACGAGAAGTCTGTGCTTGAACGTACGCAGCCGATTTCAACTTCCACTGGCCGAACGAGCTCTCCTCGATAATAAAGATATCCATTACTCAGTTGTGCTCCGTGCAAATATTTTGTTTTGCTCATCTATACCGATCTCTATATCGAGCCTCTTTTCCTGGAGGGGATATATTCTCCTACCTTTGATATCAATATCCGAGCAACGAGGTAACGGGGAAGGGACGACCACGACGCTGGCTCTACGGATGCCGAGTGTCACTTTGCGAAGACTCGAGGACACCCAGTGAGTCATAAATGTGACATCCACGGGAAACGGAACAGCCGCCCGGAAAGAAATACGTGAAAGAAACTTTAGTCCTGGATCGTACGGAATGCGTAAAGTGTCTGTTGGAAAACTCTAAAGTACGCGGAGACGGTCGAAAGCATTGCCAATGCCGGTGTAACGAAGAAATAGGAGAAGCTGTCGAGTGCGCATGCGCGCAATCAATTTTTCGTAAGATTACGCGCGCTGTACGAGCATCACTTTCGAACCGGTTTTTTATCGTTTCTGATATTTGGTATACTTGTGAAAAATTCGACAGAGAAATTGCTTACCAGTTTATTTCACTAATTCTTAATAGCGAGACAAAGGGCAGTGGAATGATGCTAAAATAAAAAAGGTTGCACTTTTCTGATCCAGACCTCGCCACGGGTTCTCGTACCACGGAGGCAAATGGCGGCGTGAGCTGAATGGAGCATTCGACGTCCGATATCATTGACGGCGATTACGATGCAGCCGGCCGTCTCTTCGAGAATGTTTTCTTCTGGCGGGCCGCCGCCGACGGCCCCTTTATTGGATTTAGTCCCCTAATGATTTTGTCAAGCGAAGAAGAGACCTGCCAACATTCCGGGGGACCACGCTCTGCATTCGAATTTGGCGCTCCGAGGGAGCGCGACTTCGACGACGAGTTTACCAATCTCATCAATTATAAATGCCTCGACGCCATGAATCATTCTTTTGGATTAAGAATCAATTACGAATTACGTATACGGGCCGTCGTTATTATCAGTTTTACTAATTACCCAAAGACAGCACGATATCGCCACACGTCAACAGCTACGTAATTACAATTAATGAGGAAATTTTTTTCGTCGTACTTACCGTAATGTTTCTATGCGTAAACAAAATTTATTTATGAATATAAAAACAAAATTGCATGTTTTTATCATCTTCCAATTCGCTTCTACGACGTGTATGGTATTAATTACGTATACGATGCATGCTGATTAATTTTTTACGATAAGCACGCCGAAAACGTGTAGCCCCGGAGAGCGACCCTCGTCTACACGTCAGCGATCGTCAACTCTAAATGGAAATGTCTTAATTATCAGGGCACGTATCCCTCAGCACGAGTGTCCTGCAAAAAAGCATCCCTCGCATCCCGACTCCTGTCACTATACGGACTGTAAGGAACTGCTTATACAGACTGCAGGTCGGAACCGTTGTAGTCCACGGACTACAAAAGAGATACATGCATGAGTATGGTATACGTTATATGTATATATTTATATATATGGACCTCACTAACGAAATCAAAGACGTTTATTATTCAAAGGACTGACGAAAACTCGAGGCGCGCGATACTTTTTGAAAACAAACAGTACCGACTATCGCAAATCATTACAACTTATTCGGAACACAGCGTGACTCCTGGTCGGACATTTGCAAGCAGTTGGATATCACGTATAAGCCTCCGTTCTTCCTTTCTTACAGATGATAAATAACTATTCTCGGTAAAACAGCTTAGCAACAGCACTATCTCTTAGTATTGTTTTTTTTTAACGATTTTTACAGTACTTTATGGGACCGTAACAAATTGCGTATATGTAGCTATGATACCGTGTACAATAAATTAGTACACTTTACAACCGACACTAAAAACTCATTATCGACAGTCGGTAACTGTTGTTTGTTGCTTTGTATGAGGGTGATAAAAGCGTTTTTTTTTAATTACGTGAAACAGATATTATCGTTTTTTAAAACATAAAAAAAACAGTAAACTAATGATCAAGATATTATCAAAGATATCAATCAACTTGTGAAGGAAATACATATAATTTGTTTATATTGAAAAGTGAGTTCGTGTCTGGGCTATCCTAATTACTGTATTAATTAACAAATGAAGAACAAATGTGCATACCTGTGATTCTGGTACCAAAGTGAATTCTGCACTTATCGTATAACGACCAAAGTCGTCGATGCCGATGCTAAAGGCGACCCCGCATGAAAGGCGTCCAGCTCGTCTGCGCATGCGCAACTAAATTGGAAGTCGCTCGACCATTTTCAGCAATGACGCGCGACGTGGATACGCGACGACGTTCGGGAATCTCAACGAGATTGAAATAAATCCGGAACATCGCGGAGTGAATCTCTCGCGAGAGCGACACTCGTAAAAGACTGAATTTCTAGAAAGTGACAAGGATGGCAGATGCTTTATTAGAGATGGACAAGGACAGTACAAAGGACTACGAAACACACTGGCCTGAAATAATACCAGTGCCATCTTGAAATCAGCTGTCACCAGCAGACGATACGCAGGTGGGGGATATTTTTTTTTATTGATATTATCCTTTGGCTTTGTGGCTAAGTTTATTGATCACCGCTTTTTCTCCATTTGATCAAGATCAGGTACCACTGACGTAACAAAGTATATCATCTCTTTGAAAATAAATAGATTTTCAGTTAAAAAATCTAGCCCATCAACGTCTCTTGATTAAACCGTGTGTAATTGAGATTTACTCGTGTAAAATTAAATCACTTAATTTTGATATTTATTTTTTTTTATAATAACACTGTTCCATCCCACTAACGACTGCTTAGTCTCTGACGTAATTGCGAAAGAACTTCGATGATATCGAATTATCTGTTTCTCGTTTCAGCGGGAACTGTTTGACATCGTGGTGTTACAGGGACATGGAAATAAATCGTGCTGATCTAAGGATAGGTGAATCGTCTTCAGACTTGATCCCCGTGTACGTGAAGCCAGAGGATCAAGAGCGAGATTCAGAGTCGAGCGATGCGGAAGTCATCACGGAGGCCAATCACTTTTGTGCAATAGAGATAAAGGAGAGTAATAATAACTCGAGAGGATCGACGATACGCGAGGAAATAACCACCTGCGACTTTAGCGGTTTAAGTTCATTAGATTCGAGCATAAGTAACGAACAGCAGACAGACGTGACCGCCTTAACCAGCGTTCTGTCGGATCCGATAAATTTAAGAGCACTAGATTCAGATTTTATAAGCGAGGAGCTGCAGAGGCGAATGAATCAAGCGACGGAGGTGTTTGTTGACGGTGAGGATCACATTCACACATCGAATTACAGTATCCCGACAGTGACAATCCCAAATGAATTTCTGGAGGGTTTAAATCTCAACATAAAGAGAGAAGGAATCGGAAACGAGACGACCTACACCGCGGAATGGTTGTGCGAGGCGAACGAGGATCCAGGACTGCGTTTGAAGATCTCAAAGGGTGGTAAGCAGCACCGATTAGATGCGTCAGGCACAGACCCACACTCAACAATAGCGCCCTTGGCCAAGCGCAAGGGCATACTGCGGGTGAGCTGCGTGGAGAGTTACAAAGGAAACGAGAGCAAGTTAAACGGGACGGAGAAGCCAAAGCGCAGAGCGCGAATAAAGGCAAAGCCCCGTCAGGATTACAGGGAAAGATTGAGAAGGAAAGCAGAGTGCATGAGAGAGAAGAGGAAGAAGCTATCGGAAGAAGAAAGCGAGGAGCAGCGGCTACAGAGGTTAGCGAAGGAGGCTGCCAAGAGGAGGGAAATGAGAATGTATTACGAGACACCGGAGCAGAGACGCAAGAGACTGGATACCGAGGCTGCACGTAAACGAGAATACAGGATGTACAATGAGACGCCGGAAGAGAGAAGAAAGAGATTGGATAGGGAAGCCGAGAGGAGGAGGTTCAAGAGGATGACCTTGTACGCGAGTGAGACCCCGGAACAACGTAGAGAACGATTGGATAGAGAATCTGCCAAGAGACGGGAGGCAAGGCTAAATCAATACGCCAAGGAGACCGAGGAGCAGAGACGCGAGAGACTGCGTCGGGACGCCCAGAGAGCTCAGGAGATGCGGTTCACCAGGTCTGCCATTGAAACTGAGGAGGAGCGCAGGCAAAGGTTAGTAAAAGACGCCCGTAGAAAGAAGGAATTAAGGATGCATGGCGCCAATTCGGCAAGCAATTTCACTGAGCTTCAAACCGTTCGCAGTTTTGAAGAGTTAAACAATGTGCAGATGAGGGACGATCCTGATAATCAATTGGGCAGCCACTACCTGAGCAACTGGATGATGTGGTTTCAAAATACCTTGACTCAGCCTATACACATCGGAGAGCAGACTATCGAGCCCCAGTCTCAAAATAACGGATGAACGCTCCTTTGTATTAGCTGAGTCCCATTGCAATTATGGGAGACACAAGGTGCATTCGCAGGATTCATCGACGAGTACGTTGATCGCTTGAGACACGTCACGAAGAGACACAAGAGAAACTACATCAGTCCGATGAAGATTTATAAATCACGTGTCAACGATGTGTGCTCGTTGGTCGGAAATCGAGAGGAGCAATGACAAAAAAAGATATATATGACGATTATAAGATAATCGAATTAATCAAGAGTCGCACGTGATCAAATGCACTGTGTATTTATTTTACGATAGTTTGCATACGAATTTATCGATAATCGTACGTCCTAGCAAGATTTTTTCTCTTTATCGTACCGAGGAGTTGTGCGATTGTTTATTAGACTTTTTCTCGGCCGCAATTCAATGATAAATATTCCTCCGCGTTTCTGACACAGATGGACATTGAAGGATATGACTGAGTCGATCGCTGAAGATTCTTGCTGGACAAACGAAGACAAGAGTGTCTGACAAAAAAAAATAATACTTAATTATCAGTGCCTTTAGTTTCGTTATTCCTAACTGGTGGAAGAGAGAAAATAGGAATTTTGAGAAAGAAAAAAAACAGGTAAAAACAGACGGATATGCTTTTTCCGCCTGAACGTGCAGTACCGGCCGAATTAAAATGTTCTAAAAATTCGGTCGTCTCTTCAGCACTATGTAAAACTACTGTGTAGTTTATTTGACAGTTCCTCTTTTTATTGAACAACCAGGGACAGAGCAATGGGAAGATGCGTGATTCCTTGGAATCCCCTTAGCGCGATTGCTTCTTTAATGTGTACAAGTTTTCGTTAACGATAAAACTTGTTCGATTCTCGCAAAATGATAATTTGTGGGAGATGCGCAAAAAAGAACTTGTACAGTGTATTATTGAGTTTTTATGTTAATAATTCTACTCCACTTTCTGTTACACTAATATAACTAGTTATTGGCTGCATTTATACACGAGACTAGAGACTAATTCAGAGTAGTTTGAGATATACTCGTTAGCACGATCTTGTCCTCGCTCCTTTTCAAAAGAGGAGGATATGCTGATTGCGAAAATTTTATTAAGGACCCTTCAATTTTCACCCTGATTCAATTTTAGGAACAAAGTAACTATTATATCAAATCCAAGAACGAATTTGTTTTTGAATAAAGATATTTCAATGACTTGTATATCAGTGTTGTATCAATGTTCTATCCAGTTTCATAACCCTGCACGTACTAATACATTGCAGTATTTTGGTGCACCCTGTATATTGCAAATACGAGTATTTGACGTCAGCAAACGGAAAAGCACCAATGAAAATGTTGCATTTCCTTTAGAGCGCGGAACCATAGTACATACCGATACCACGTGGGCTTGGTAACCTCATTCAAGAAGTTGTTTATGTTGAGATTGAATGAATCGAGAAATACTCTATTTAATATTTAATGTGATACAAGTAATAAAGTGGCCATTTTTGAAGGAAGTTTATACTAAACTATTGCTAATAAAAAAAAATAGATTACAGAAAAAGTTTGAGGCCTAGCTACAGAATCAAGATTTTTGTGATATACACATGCAATTCTTGAGTAGTGTACAAAATGGGATTGACAAAGCAATATCTGCGTTATGTTCCTGCCGGTAATTTAAATATAATAGCTAGTCCTAAGTGCAATGTGGTTTTCGTAACATTAGAAGGACAAGAAGGTAGATTTGTGGCTGCTGGAGCCTGTGAACATGTGTTAATATGGGACTTGCGACTGGGAGAAAAGGTAGATTTATATTTTATTTAACACCTGTTGTCTTGCTAATTGTTTCATTATGTTAAGAATATTTTTTAAGTTTTTAATAAAATTCTTATTAATTATATTGTGTCACAGGCTCAGGTACTGATAGGAGAAAATACAGATGCAACATGCATAGCTGCGTCACCTAATAAACGTCATGTTGCTGTTGGTTATGCTGATGGTTCAGTAAGAACGTTTGATCTGAGATCAGGAGAGAATATTAGTACATTTATGGGTCATAGGTCTGAAATTACATCTCTGGCTTATGATAAATTTGGTCACCGTCTTGCTTCTGGATCAAAGGTACATTGAAAATTAGTAATATGATTGCTAAATGTTTACCAAACATTTGATTTTTAGGATACTGATATTATTGTGTGGGATGTTGTGGCAGAAACTGGTGTATGTCGATTGTCTGGTCATAAAGGCATTATAACTAAAGCTGTTTTTATGAAAGAACATAATATTCTTATAAGCTCCAGTAAAGATACATATGTCAAGTTTTGGGATCTTGATACTCAACATAATTTCAGAACACTTGTTGGGCACAGATCAGAGGTAGAAATAAAATACTGTTCAACTAAATTATGCATTGTTCGCACAATTATGAAAGTATAATGTTTGTAATATGTACTTAGGTTTGGGGTCTAACGTTAGTAAAAGACGACCGGTATTTGGTGACTGGTTGCAACGACAATGAACTACGTGTATGGAAAGTATACTTTATTGATACCAAGAAAGGTGACTTGAGTGCTGCTGTTAATGATTTGACAATTAACAACGAAGATGAAGTTCACGACAACGTAAAGTATCTCTACTCTAATTTCATTAATGCAAATCATTGCTTAAATCTACTTTAACCATAATCAATAATTTTATTAGAATTATCCCCTACGCTGTGAGAAATTTGGTAGCATTCTAAGATCTGGTCGCGGACGAGTTGTTTCCTTAGGAGCAGATGCTACTGGTCAAATCGTGGCTTCTCATGGCGTGGATAATACAGTGGAATTATTTCGCCTCTTACCGCAAAAGGAGGTTGAAATGCGATTAGCAAAACGGTTGAAAAAAGAAAGAAAGAAGGCTACAAAGTATGTTCTATTAAAAAATAATTTTTTATTAAGCATACAATTCCAGGAAAAATTATTTCATTTATCTTTTGCACAGGGAAGGTAACTCCACAGAGGACGTCATACCTGACCTATCATCATCATCATCATCTTTGAAAGATGAAGTGAAGAGACTTCCGCCTATCAAAGTAGAAAACAAAGCTAAAGGATTGGACCTAATAATAGGAAAAGGAGAAGAACTTCGAGTAAGTTAAAAATGAATAATAAATTTCTTTCCTTTCCTATTAAAACAAAATTCGATCCGTATTATCGTTTTTATAGGTTTGTGTGGCAATTAATAATAACAGTATCGAATTACACTCAATAATGACAGCAGATAATGATCCAGAAGTGAGGTGTTTACGTACAATTACTTCACATGGTCATCGCAAAGATGTCAGAGCAGTTTGCTTCAGCTCTGACAATCTAGCTTTTGCAACTGCCAGTGGAGATTCCGTTAAATTATGGAATCGGTGAGTATCCAAAAATGACAAAACTAATCAGGTACTCCTAATATAATTTCTCAACACGATATACCCTTTATGCAGACCATCATTAGCTTGTTTGCGAACTGTGCCATGTGGTTACGCCCTAACAGCAACATTCGTCCCGGGTGACCGACATTTAATAGTTGGATTAAAAGATGGAAAAATGCTGATCATTGACATAGCTTCCGGTGACATACTAGAGGAAGTGCCTGCCCATTCTAAAGAATTGTGGAGTGTCACGCTCTTTCCGGATATGGTAAGTCAAAATTTTTTAAATATTCACAATCGAAAATCTCTTAATATACGCACAAGGATAATTTTCTTCTCAGAGAGGAGTAGCTAGTGGTGGAGGAGACCAAACAGTAAAATTTTGGAATTTTGAACTCGTGGATGATCCTGATAGTCAATCAAAAGCCAAGGTCCTGTCTGTATTACACTCAAGAACTCTAAAACTGGAAGAGAGTGTACTCTGTGTCAGAATTAGTCCTAACAGTCGCTTTGTTGCTGTTTCGTTACTCGATTCCACTGTCAAAGTATTCTTCTTGGATACGTTCAAGGTAATAGTCGTCATTAAGAAAATATAAATCTAATTAATAATTAATCATATTCTATTCCCAGTTCTTCATCTCACTCTACGGTCACAAACTTCCGGTTCTTTGTATGGATATATCCAGCGATTCTACTCTAATAGCAACTGGGTCAGCTGATCGCAATATTAAAATTTGGGGCATGGATTATGGAGACTGTCACAAGTCTATTTTTGCTCACGATGACTCTGTCACTGGTCTTGCGTTCGTTTCGAAGACTCATTATTTATTTACATGTGGTAAAGATGGAAAAGTCAAACAGTGGGATGCTGACAATTTCCAAAAAATCATAACGCTGCAAGTAAGCAATGAGTAATTGTGAAATATCCAATTTTAAAAAATACTATTAGCGCTCCAAGTTAATTATGATATACAAATTTTTGTAATCCAAGGGCCACTCGGGTGAAGCTTGGAACTGTGCAGTATCTCCTAATGGAATATACGTCGCGTCATGTGGATCTGACAAAGTAGTTAGATTGTATGAAAGATCATCAGAACCTTTAGTTTTGGAAGATGAAGCAGAAGAGGAACGCGAGAAACAAGAGAAGGAATTAGTAACTGGAGAAACAACAGTGGTTCAAGGACAGAAGCAGCAGCTTCTTCCATCGAGGAAAACTGTGAACAGTGAAAAAGCGGTAAGAAATGATATATTCTGTAAACTGCAGTAATATAAATTTTAATGCAAATTCTGTTCTCAGGCGGAACTGATATTAGAGTGTTTAGAGGTGTCGAAAGCATATGAAGAAGAATTGGCAGGTGTTGTACCTCCAAAGCATCCACCACCACCGCCAGCATTGATGCAAGCTCTAAATTGCACAAATACCCAAGAATATTTTTTGGAAACTATGAAACGTGTTAAAGCAAGGTAACTAGCTACTTACTGTGCGAAGGAAATAATTTAATATTAATGGATTTCAATAATCTCGATAATTTACAGTGATCTAGAAGAAGCTTTACTTTTGCTACCGTATTCCGCAGCCTGTGAAATCTTACGCATGCTTCCAAAGCTATTGGAAAGTGAATATCAGAGTGAATTATTAGCCAGACTATCTTTGTGCTTGATACAGGCACATCATGGACCTATAGTTGCTAGCCAGGAACTACTTTCTACTTTAGAAACTGTCAAGGCTCTTGCTATGCAACGAATAGCAACGTTGAGAGTAATGTTTTTTTATTATGATTAAATTTACTACTGCAATTAATAACTGAGGTCAGTGGTACAATAAATTATTAACATTTATTTCAGGACACTGTAGGTTACAATTTGCATGGTATGGCATATGTACAACGTATAATAGAAGATCGTGATGGAATTCAATTGTTCAAAGATGCATCCAGAAACAGAAGGCAGAAAAATAAGAACAGGCGTAACAAAGAAAAGGCTCTCAAGAGAGCAATAATGACTTTATAATATTTTAGTATCTGTTTTATAATACATAACCTATGAATATAAGTGTACCAAAATATAAGGCATATGCGAATCCTATTTCATCCAATGATTCTTTATTTACGTTCTTGCTATTTCAAAACTCGTTGGCAATTATAAATTTGTCAAAAATTTTAAAAATCATATTTTTCCATATCGAGATAAGTGGTATCTCGTATTCGATAGTAATCGATCAGTGATTGCAAGCTTGATATTTTCGAGCAGACGACTTATTATTGTGAAAATTAAAAAACATGTTAATAGATTTTTTTAGTCGATTCTCTTCACCAACAATAATAATTTATCTTATACACTGTGTAAAGACTTTATAACATTTATCAATTTCTAATAAAAGAGGAAACACTTAGATGAGTATATTCTTTATTGATTATCTTGTGAAACCATAACCTTAAAAGGATCTATTTACCGCGAAACGTGAGTTTGAGCGATGAGCTACTGTATTTTCGTGGAATATTTTAATAAAATGCCAAAATAAAGAATGGATCACGAGGAAGAGTTTCTAAATACATTTTTCACTCAAGTGACTCAACTTTGCTTCGACAAGGCAAAGGAGTCAGTGGTATGTAAGCTTCTGTATAAGTTTCATAATCAGAGATAAGAAGCTAAATCACAATCTGTAGTAAATTTCCATTTTTTGTTTACATTTTCAGGAAAAAGAGAGGGAATCATGTCGTTTGTTACAAATGGGACCTTGGGGAATGCTTTTACTGCATCTTCCCCAAGTAGCAGTTGCAGAGCGCTCTTATACTGATTTAGGTTTTCTTCATACAAAAAACAAAGGCTTCCTTAGAAAAGATGTAAACAATATTTCCTGAAATTATCTACAACCATTTGGTTGGACTGTTTATAAATTTATCTACTCGTAACTTGGCAGAATTCCTTGAAAACTATGTATGAAGCCTTGAGAGCTGATCTACGTAGATTAGAAGAAATGACCAGTGGTACAAATGCTGTGGGTGCGACAGTGGCTGAAGTCTCAAGCCAACTTTGTCAATTCATAGCAGCAAGAATACAACTCATAGATTTGTTAGTACTAAATTTCCAATTGCTAATTGGTTATCTATGTCCTAAGTTTGATTTTGATATACATTATTTACAGCTATGAAAAAATGTACAATATGAGCATTAACAGTAAGGTAATGAGGCACCAGGACTTACTACAATCAATTGAAGCGATTGTAGAGACACATTCCTTATCATGTTCTCATTTGGCACTTACTGCAATCAAAGCTGCTTTAACGTAAGTTGACAGAGTATGGTACTTATGAGAATATATCAAACGGCATATTATCATTTTATTGTACATTTTACAGGCTGGAATGTGAAATACTAGTGCAGCTTATAAAAGCACACGTGGAAGTACAAAATTGGAGATTTCTGCCATCACTCATGGCTCTTTACGGAGCACAAACTAGAATGTCAGCTTGGGAACGAACTTTACAAAGCAGAGAAGTATGTAAACTCAAATTATAAATAATACAAAATTTGCATATTGTTAAATAATGTATTCTGATTTTAGTCATGGAAGAGAGGATTTGGCGCTACATTCTTAAAAGCTAACCAACAACCAGCACTCTATCAATGGCTTGTAAAATTACGCAGTGCCATTTTAGCAAAATGTTCATTATACTTTCATACGACACTAAGTCAACAAGCGAGCCCTGGCGAGATGAGAAGTATCATGAGCAAACAAAATGTTGACTATTATCATAAGTACGTATGATTTTCTTAAGTAAAGTAATTTGTATTTTATCTAATATATACTTTTAGATTGCAAAGTTTCCAAAGAAAATATGACGTGATAGCCGTCTTAATAGTTTTTGACTCTAGAGGAGCAGAGAATTCAGGTCCTGGGTATAAACATCCGAAAAGAGAACCTGACATATCTGAAAGCTTTTCAATAGTAGTTAGCTGTCCTAGTGTAAGCTACAAAAAGCAGATATTGAACACAGATCATTTGTACTGAAATATTAATGAATCTAATTTTACCTTGTTTTAGATGTTTATGCAAAAACCATCAGTTCACTGGGATAATATTAGGAAGGGTATAAAAGAACGCCATGCAGATCTTCTTGCTGTAGATAAGATTGTTTATAATAAGAGTTTAAAGGTATGCAACCTCTGTTTTATAACTATTGCACTTATGATGTGAAGTAATATCATATAATATTATTTTTACAGGATTTATGTTCATATGCCATGTATAATATTGATCCCAGAATGACATTAGTGACAGCATTTGAAAGTAGTAAACAAAGGGACAAAGAATCACACGTGACAAGCTTCATGTCTGACTTATGTATGCAACTTAGGTGCAACAAGGTTTACGAATGTTTAAAATTATCAAAATGAAGCAAGCAAAAACAAAAAAATTACTCGGAGGTATTATAATCTGGTAATCAAAAGACATTCCTCAACCTGTAGGATCATATAACAAAAATATAACACTCTGAGTAAATAATATGTTACTAATTCTAAATATAAACATTCAAAAGTGTTAATTGAACTTAAAAAGAAATCAAAATTATGTCGAATGTGATTTTAGTTTTTGCTGAAGAAACAAAAGCAGGATGTAAATATATTTTTTTTAACTTAACAGAGCCAAGTACTTGCGAGTCAGAATTAAAAAATTTTAAACTGCAGTTGAGCTACAGTGTCATACATAAGTAAGTAGTTGCATAAACTCATCTGAAATCACTTAAATATTTTGATAATTTAAGCTAGGAAAAATCAAATGGTCTTCGTTTCAATTGCCAACAATTCTGTGTAATATTGACATTATCAGCATAATGCAACTCACCACGCGGCCGGACAAAAAATACGTGACATCGTGCCGAGAATACTCATGCACTCGTATAAAAGTGCCATATTGTAATAATGTAAAATAAATATTTTTACACTTACCCATCATCTTAATTGTTGAGTTAATTCTTCAGAAGTTTCGCACACAAAGATGATCTAATCCACGGATCTGATACACTTCGTTAAATAAAATATGAAATGATCGCTGCATTCCGGAAAAGCACTATTTTCACATTATATCGTAAAAATTAAACTATTCTTAACAGATCGCGTTACGTTATGTAAAAATCACTTGAATAATTCACTGATACTACGAAATGTAACGACGAATGCGTATTATAAAAATTAGGAACAAATTGACAAAGAATTTGTCTTTCTACGAAATTTGAAAACGCCATAACCGAAACATCAACGCTCTCTGACGGCAAGTTTGAAAATCTAACGCAGATCTCTCGTGACGTCATTTGGCGTGAGTTTACGAAAAGTACATTACGTTGTGGAAAGTGTCAACTTGTGATTTTGAGTTGAAATATTTCTAAATATCTAACAATGACGGATAATAAAAGCGATAAGTCGAAAGTGGATTTGGGTTTGCTCGAGGAAGATGACGAGTTCGAGGAATTCCCTGCAGAAGGTAAGAATATTGCTAGATTGACAATGATTCTTTTGTGTACCGGGTTAGCTTAACCTAAAACTTGCTGATTCACGAATTAGATTGGACGGCTAAGGATGAAGACAACGAGGATATCAGTGTCTGGGAGGATAACTGGGACGATGATGATGTGGAGGATGACTTTAATCAACAATTAAGGTAGGTTGACATAGATCTATCTTATTGGTACCATTGATATGGAACGTCTTTATTACATGATGCAATTTTGAACTAATTTCAGAGCACAACTTGAGAAGCAAAAGGCTCAGGGTGATCCACCTGCCAAGGATAATTAATTTGGTGTGTGATAAATATTCCAGAATGATACGAAGAAAAAAAATGGAATTAGTGCGAATAAAATAACAGAGTACTACTGTTTCCATCGTGTTAATATATTTCATAATCTTTGGATTATGCTGGTACTGCCAGAGAGATTAACAAGTATCTTACAAGTTATCTAAAACACCAATAAAACTTTTATACAAAACATAGTCCTGATGTAATGTAACAAATACCAAATTGATATTTTATACACAGATCTGCTGATAACCGAGACAATTGTAAAACAATAATTTCATTTTGTCATTTGGGGATGTCGCATTTATCTATGATACAAAATATTTTTGTTCTTTTTGCAACAATACTACAGTCAGGTACATGACCCTTTAGCACATTAAACTATTGAAATTAAATTTTTTTTTCAAATGAAAATAAGTAATTACTAAATAATATCAAATTTGCAATATTCTTATTTCTTTTCGAATCGAATTGCTAAAGGAATGTTGAATATTTCATATGAAGTTATGGCACATTACTTACACACAGTGTCAATAATCTCGGTATAAATTATGCGCTTATATAAATGCAAACAAAAATACTCATAAATAATAACTTACCGAAGAATTGCACCTTAATCATGGAGTTGAATTATGATGATCTGATCTACATGATGCCAACAGCTGCGATGCCAATACATCTAATATTTGTAGACTGAAATCTTGATTGATTTTCTTCACCTCCAATGATCCCAACAAAAATCGTAGACCTTCCCTCATGTCATCTTCTCCAACTAATAATTTCACGTCAGACGGAATTTTATCCATAAGTAATCGCACTAATTTTTCCTTCAAAGAATCTATTGACTCTTTTGATTCATCCGTTTGGCTGGTCGAGAATAGCGTCAAGTTACTGAATTTATTTGACAGTCGAAGAATGATATTCTAGAAGAAAAAAATAGAAAAACTGACTCGTTGGTCTTGAAATGTGTTATTGAATATAAAATCATGTGTTCATGGATTACTTGTAAAACTGGTTCAATGACATTTCCAAATAGCAATTTTGTCCATCGTACAACAGCTTCCTGCTGCAGGGTATTGTTGCTACCGATACCTGCTAATACCTCGCATATAAGATCTATGCTTACACGGGTCAAGGTCAAATTACAGTCCAATTCCTCTAGTTCTTCTGTTATAGGAAATCGCAATAAGTTTACAGAAAATTGAGTTTTGTCTCAGAAAATTAAGAAAAATCAAAACTAACCATCATAGGGAGTATTGACAGTATCCAACCAATGAGAGAGTAGTTCTGAATCCCCACTACCTTCTACAGAATCGACTGCTTCATAAGCAGTATCTACAGAACAGTAGTCTATTCTTTCAGCAACCAGTTGTTGGAGTTCCACTGCCACACTCCTCTGTATTATTAATTTAAAAAAATATAAATTATGATTTTATAAAGCATTTAAAAAACTTATAATTATTGTACAATATTTAAATACCGATTTAACATCTTCCACGAATCTCCATGGAATGTCTGCTAGTGGCATCAAAGTTGGCAGTGGAACAACGTCTTCTTCTTGATCCATTTCAAAACCAGGAACAACGGTCTTCAAAGTATTAAACATTCCACTGACAGTTTTCGCCAGGAACCTATCTAATCTTGGCACCACGACGTCTGCCTTTTTTCCGACGCCACTGCTGGGACGAAGAAAATGTCGAAGCTGTGGTGGCGACTCTATTGACAAGCGTGTGCAAAGAGTCTTCAAATAATTTTCCATTTCCACACGTCCTCCTTCTGGTAAAGACATGTCAGACATGATGCCCGATAAGGACGGTACCTGAAAATAATTGTGCAATTGAATTTAAGTTTAAAAACATTATCCTACAGATTCTCAATTTGTTTTTTACTACCTCTTCCAAACTGCCATGAAGCTGCACGAAGTCGGAGTACTGTCTTCTAACTGTTGCTGTTGTTGTTTCAAACATATCAACACCATGTTGTTCCACATCATCAAATTGTATACAATACAAGAGTTGTTGAGAGCCATCCGGAGCAGTATAAAATTCTGTCCACGGAATAGCGAGATTTGTGAATTGGCTACCTTCGTATACGGTACAGGATTTCTCTTCGACTTGACTAAAACAGAAGTAATATATACAGGCCTACTTTATTTTTGGTGACATAAGTAATGATGGGGAGTAAGATTGTTTACAGTGGTGTTGTAGCCGTCGACTTTTGTTGTAAGAGATTTCTAAGTCTGGCAATGGTTGTAGCGAAATCTGTTGGCTCTTCGTACACTGGCGATAAACGATCTTCGTCCAATTCAGAATCTGGCTCTGAAATACTGACATCACCCCAGAGACCTCGATGACTAATAGCAAGGCCCTCTAGGCATAAGGAAGACCTTTCTGCATTTTGAGATGATATAGTTTGATTTTCACTTTTGGAATCGGTAGATGTGCTTAAAGCTGAATTTTGTTTTGGTAATGGTCGTGGAATCACAGCAGCTGTTGCGGATGCAATTCCACCACCCAAAGCTTGCGATACAATTCCCTAAAATAATAAATTAGGAATATCTTCAAGTTGATGAAAACAAAGTTGAAATAAATATAGATATGTGAGGGATATATAATCGTACGTGATTCGTTACGGCTGTGGTTCCATTTTCCGTTGGCGCAGCGCTCAATAGCACCACTAATTTTTCATAGATCAAATTGGGACAACTGGCAGTGTGAATTCCCTGCAACAGTCTACTGGCTAAAATAGACAAGAGTAATTTGCAAGGCAGCGAGCTGGTCAGTTCCCACTGTAAGAACTCTCTTGCTAATATAGTGACCAGTCGATGCAATGTGTGTTCTAAAGCAGTTGTGCTTCGTGATCCTGGATGCACACAGCGATATGCTTCTTCTAAGTTTGATGCTGTTCCTTTTTTTACTCTTCGTAGAGCTCTGAGAAATAAATAGGAGGATGAGAAAAATATATGGAATGCAAATTTATGATATTTTACCTTCGATACTCCTTCAAATGCAGCAATAAAACATCAGCAAGTTTACTTGTCAATTTTATTTTATCCAATGAGGTTACTTGGTGTTGCAATCTGTTTAGTAATTTTCTTAATAACCCTTTTGCTTCATCAGGAAATGTCTTATCACTGCTTAAATTCTTATACCAACTACTAATAAACTTCACATCGATCTGTATTACTAATCTGTCAAGATCCAATTTTCTTATGATAGAAGCGTTGTCCACTTTTCCTGTCTTTAATTCATTTTGGCTTTGTTTACAATATAACTGCTGAGTGCCTTTGTCATCCTTTGCAACGTTGTTACTGATTCTTTGAACATTTGTTGATTGTATATCATTTACTTCTTTGTTGTTATGTATAGCACCTTTAGACTTAGCAACAGTTTCAATATTACATGTTAAATAATTCTCCAAACGATCTCGTATCCAGCCAGTAATTAGTTCTATATTAATTGGAGTAGTGGCTTTCAACGCAAGTCTCAGGAGGAAACAACTGAGCCACGTAGATAATATAGTAATGAAAATTGCCCACAAAATTGGGATATATACTGGTAGAGATCTGTTCCCAAACCATTCTGAGATAATTATAGATAGAACTGCAGAAACGATACTTAGCAATAATAACATTTGGTTCAACCAACTCATTGGTATAACTTTCTCCATTTTGAGCACTTGTTTTGTATAGATTACAAATTATAGCATTATTAATTTACATTTTACTACATAGAGATACACAAATGAAGTGTAATCCAGGCCACTGTCAAATTGTTATGTCCTTTGACAATCATTTAATACAGTAACCTCAATACGTTATCCGTTATTCGTAGATTGTCAAGACGTTTAAAAGCTCCGAAAATACGATTATTCTATTCACAAATAAAGTCATTGTATCCATTGTCACTTAATGGACTAGAATAAAATTTTTATACAATCCTGACTTGTTGAATATACGTGTTAGGTTGAATATCAATTGTAAAATGACGTATCGAACGTTCACCGCTTGCACGTACGGCAGACATTAGTCACTTTTGTAATCACCCATGTAGCCTAATCTATTTCATTCAGTCTTAAGAAATTCCAATAAAACAATATTATCTAGAATATAACGTGACATACTATTACGTAATATCACTTTACATTGTTAAAAGGAAGCCGTTTCACCGAAACCATTCATAAATACCAAGAAGAATATATGTAAGCGAAGCCAAATACTAACAATTGTCCCCTTTCCGCGCATAAAGTTTCGAGCCGGTCAGTGCACCAAAATTCCAAATTTATGTTGGATAGCACCCAAGAGTCAAATTCTCCAAAACATATATTACAACATTTACGAATCCAAGTATTGTCAAACTATTATCTTAAGTAGTAATACGCCGATAAAGATCTTTCAGTCTTAACTGAATATCACACGCATCGGACGCCATATTAATTTCCCATATAAGAAACAACATTATGATTAAAAGTATCTTCTATCTAAATTTAGGCTGTAAATATAGATAAATAGTAAATTAATACTTTATTATAATATTTAAGTTTCTAATCTTTTACCACTCTCAGAGACTCTTATATTGCCAAAGCTCTTATTCCAAGTAACGTCAACATCCCTCATGCAAAAAAAATGATGAACAATGTAGGAAGAGGGATGCAACAAGTAAAAACCCAGAGCTGCTAACAGCTGTTAAAGGACGAGAGACGTGAAAAGTGATGAGAATCTGGCTAGACGCCCAGGTTTTACTAAAGACGATAAAAAGAATGGTAAGCATCATCAAGAGACATCGCGACGCTTTTACGGTGATGGTTAAGATAATTCTTCCCTGTATGTTTTTATTTTGAAAAAAATGAGGTTAAGTTTTTAGTTCGACCGACCCAGCCGGACGTTGCACTTTTAGGACTGACATTGAATTCTCTCCTATTTGGCCAAACGAAATCGATTAGTCAGTTGGAATCGATCCCAGATGACGGTTCATTACGTATATGCGGTATAAGCTAACCGGACAATGAGGATCCTCTTCGTCGTGGCGCATTGGACGATCCTGGTGTAGCTCTGAGTACATCGAAACGACGCCGGCCGTCTCTTCCTGCTAATTTTAGCGTCGCGTGAGAATAAACATAAGTTACCACGTCGTGAGGGGCCTTGTAAGGCTAGGCGCAGCTGGGGTCCACACGCTGCGTCGGTTACAGCATCCCAACCCGGGGGCAGAGACTCTATTTTTACTATTTCTTAATTTGTCTCAGAGTTTTGCCGCTCGTGTTGGGTTACGTTACTCCCGACGACTATGAGAAAGAAGCATTCGAGCTTCCAACACGTGGATACCACATGGATATCGTCGACCTCATCTTATTCTTATTTCTCATCTGCATCCTCGTTATCTTCGAGAATCTGCAACTCTATGCATGGCGGAGGGTCATGGTGGATTTTAAGAAAATATATATATAGAATATGCTCAGAAACATCTCGGAATGGATATATAAACTTTCACTGGTGTTTTGGATATTTTTAGAAAAAAAATATTTTACTTTTCTTAACCTATCAACACAAAGGACTTACAAGGCACCATATGGCTTGTTCACTTGAATAGTAATTTGTTTGAAATTTTATCTTTTTTTGCTTTTTTTTATTTTTTCATCATTCACTGATGTTTTTCTATATTTGTCTAAGATACTTGGAACGATTATAGGCGTATCTACTGTCAGAATATTATTTTATGAGCGACTGGCTCTTTGCCAATGTAGAAAACTTTTGAATCCGCTTATCTTTCACTCAGAAAATTCTATTTTGTCCAAATCTTCTGGGAATCTTATCAGCGTCTTCTGCTCCTTATGAGTTTCTAGAATGTCGTATACGTATTACAAATTGTAATACAGTGAAAACGGCAGCTCGTGATTAAATTTATATATAATTTTTTATTATTTATAAGGTATAAGAAGAACGATTCGCTAGGCTGCAATATGAGCCAGCGTTGATAAGTCTAGTGTTCTTTTGTTGTTGTTTTTCATTAAACGATAATACGTACATGCGATCTAGAGTCTCGAAGACCAAAGAGATTGCGTTACAATAATGAGGAATAGTAATAAATTATTAATGTTAATAACAAATAGTCATGTTGTATAAACTACGTAGTACAATACAGTCTGATAAATGTGTATAATAAAGGCACTTGAGTAGTTTTTCTCTTTTCCTTATCTTTTTTTTGGTTGTTGCGTATCTTCGTTCGGTGAAGTGAAGTTTGGTCTGGTTGATGATTGGAAAGGTAATTCGTATAGAAAGGTCAAGCCGTTTAGAAGCACTTGCGGTGAACAATTCCAGGACCGGACTCATCATACTCCTGCTTGGAGATCCACATCTGTTGGAAGGTGGATAGGGAAGCCAGGATGGATCCACCGATCCACACGGAGTACTTCCTCTCAGGGGGAGCGATGATCTTGATCTTGATGGTGGATGGAGCCAGGGCGGTGATTTCCTTCTGCATACGGTCAGCAATACCGGGGTACATGGTGGTACCACCGGAAAGGACAGTGTTGGCGTACAGGTCCTTACGGATGTCAACGTCGCACTTCATGATGGAGTTGTAGACGGTCTCGTGGATACCGCAGGATTCCATACCCAAGAAGGAAGGCTGGAAGAGAGCCTCAGGGCAACGGAACCTCTCGTTGCCGATGGTGATGACCTGACCGTCGGGAAGCTCGTAGCTCTTCTCGAGGGAGGTGCTGGCGGCAGCCGTGGCCATTTCCTGTTCGAAGTCCAGGGCGACATAGCAGAGCTTCTCCTTGATGTCACGAACGATTTCACGCTCAGCGGTGGTGGTGAAGGAGTAACCTCTCTCGGTGAGGATCTTCATGAGGTAGTCGGTAAGATCGCGACCAGCCAAGTCCAGACGGAGGATGGCGTGGGGAAGGGCATAACCTTCGTAGATGGGGACGGTGTGGGAGACACCATCTCCGGAGTCCAGGACGATACCGGTGGTACGACCGGAAGCGTACAGGGAGAGGACGGCCTGGATGGCGACGTACATGGCTGGGCTGTTGAAGGTCTCAAACATGATCTGGGTCATCTTTTCACGGTTAGCCTTGGGGTTGAGGGGAGCCTCGGTCAGGAGAACGGGGTGTTCCTCGGGGGCCACACGGAGTTCATTGTAGAAGGTGTGGTGCCAGATCTTCTCCATATCATCCCAGTTAGTGATGATTCCGTGCTCAATGGGGTACTTCAGGGTGAGGATACCTCTCTTGCTCTGGGCTTCATCACCGACGTAGGAGTCCTTCTGTCCCATACCGACCATCACACCCTATAACAAAAGAACCATTTGTTATTCCTCTCCATCTTTAATGACCAGCTCAATACTTCTTTATTCTTCATCATATGAAATATACATATACGCCTTATCATTACTAACCTGATGACGAGGACGGCCGACGATGCTAGGAAACACAGCACGTGGAGCATCATCTCCGGCGAATCCGGCCTTGCACATGCCGGAGCCGTTGTCCACGACCAGTGCCGCAACATCATCATCACACATATTGATGGAGGTTTAGATTACCTTTCTGCGAACAATCAATCACTATAACAATGAATGATACTCAAAAACACACGACTTCATCAAACTAATTCACTTAATAAAACACATTCTCTGTACAATAATTAATAATAATTTTCACAAAACCACACTTCACGTCTATTAAAAAAAAAAATCGTTATCCATCAAAAGTATCTACAATCGTACAAATGTATTTCAGTAAAAGAGCGACCAATCAGTTGTACAACCAACCCTTCAACCAAATACATCCCCCTTCAAAGTATTCTGAATATCCAAAATATTTCGTCTAAAATACCACGAGTGGGTACGACAAAAAAGAGGTAGTGATTAAAAATAACATTTTTTCCCAATCACGTAACACTGCAGTTAAAGCCATTGTTTTATTGCTAATCAAGCCAAACAAAATTATTTACCTCACAAAGGAAATTTTGCAATCAAATTATTTGATGCGACAGTAACAAAACGAGGTAGCACAAAAAAAGGTATTGAGACAAAGAAACTGTGAAATCGTTGGATAAGCAATTGTAAACTGTACTACAATACAACGTACCGTGTAAATTCGAAAAAAACGGGCGACACGCTGAAGGCGTTCGTCGTGCAAGAGACCAAGCAGCGAGTGGCGCATTGCAGCCAGTGTGAGGTCCCTTTATCCATATCGGTCGCTGCCCAAAATAGCGATCCGCCCCTTACATGGAAATCTGCCGTTACATACGCACTGCCTCCACTAGGCATAGTCCTTAGTCGCCCTAAGGAGAGTAACGACGCCGGGCGTCGCATCAACGCCGGCGACGCCCCCTGATCCCAAATAAGGTTTCGTTCCCCACCACGTCATCTGCCCTCGTGGAGACTTCGCCAGGGACGAAACTGCTCATCGTGATTTGCAAGCCGAGTTTTAACCCCGCACTCTTTGTGCGTGAACTTTCCTTCGCTTTCCCTTATATGTGTACGGGCGCTTGCAGATGCGCTTACAGATCTCGAAATTCTTCATTATAATTTATCGATATTGTGCCTTTCGGGGAATTTGTCATCTCGAGTATACGGGGTGAGAGTCACGTATATATATATATATATATATATATATATTCATCCCTTGAGGGGAGTGTTTTTTAACTATCAAGAAACAATGGGTTCACTGAAGAGTCAAAGTTCATCGCTGGACGATACCATGCAGGGAAGTATCCATTGCGAGAAAAAGGGGTGCCTGGTAAATTTTTCTACAAATTTCTTGCGTTTGTTACATGATCAACCCTGCATGACGAATCAATTAAAATTATTATTGACCTCACCTATTTTGTATTTATGTATGTTTTTGATGATTACATGATCCTGATGCAATTATGATAATCATGTATCTTTGATGATATAAAATATTAGCAGGTTTATATATTTTGTCTTTGTATGAATTTTTATGTTTAATTTATAATTCTTGAAAAAAATTCAATAAATAGATCAATGAATCATATGTGACTAATGTGCATTCTATATATCCTTGACTATTTTTAAAATGCATACAATCATCACGGATGCTCCGGCTACATTCGTAGTATTGAGCCAGGTTAATTATTTTCTTAGATATAAATGATCGAGGACGTCGATTCGCTGAAATTTCAACCTGTTTTATGGAAACGTCCATTCGAGGTCGATATATATGTATTTCGTAGAGGAAATTCTGTTTGGGGAGTGTGGGGGGCGGCGGAAAATTTTCACGAGAACGCCATCGTACGAGGGATGAATGCAAGGTAATGACAATGCAATTTGATCGGAGAGACTCTTTGTTGTAAAATCATATTTTATTGAGTGTTTTTCTTTTATGTACCTCAAATGGACATTTGGTGTTATTATGTGTGATTAGTCGCACACAAAAGACCTTCCCCTCTTTCCATATGCCGCATGGATTTTTTTTTTAAATCAGTCCAAGAAAAAATTTAATTCATATTACGATGATCCTTTGACTAGAATTCTCGATTGAGATTAATTGAATGAAAAGAAATTCAAAAACAATGAATGATTATGTATCTAGTCGAATATCGAGAACGTGACAAGGACTATCAAATGAAAAAAATATGAATTGAACCGCTCTAAGAATATAAGATTATATTTATTCCATAGATGTAAACTTATATACAAAAGATGACGTTTGCGTTTTAATGATGGCCGTCGCCACGAAACTCGCTACATACAAAAAGTAATAGTAGTAGAGTAAGTGATGAAGCATTGCGGCAGTGTGGCATTTTGGGGAAGGTATAGTATAAGGTGTTTTTGAGTTAAACTGCTTAGAAGCACTTGCGGTGGACGATGCCAGGGCCGGACTCATCGTACTCCTGCTTGGAGATCCACATCTGTTGGAAGGTGGACAGGGAAGCCAGGATGGATCCACCGATCCATACGGAGTACTTCCTCTCAGGGGGAGCGATGATCTTGATCTTGATGGTGGATGGAGCCAGGGCGGTGATTTCCTTCTGCATACGGTCAGCAATACCGGGGTACATGGTGGTACCACCGGAGAGGACATTGTTGGCGTACAGGTCCTTACGGATGTCGACGTCGCACTTCATGATGGAGTTGTAGACGGTCTCATGGATACCGCAGGATTCCATACCCAAGAAGGAAGGTTGGAAGAGAGCCTCGGGGGTACGGAACCTCTCGTTGCCGATGGTGATGACCTGACCGTCGGGAAGCTCGTAGCTCTTCTCGAGGGAGGTGCTGGCGGCAGCGGTGGCCATTTCCTGTTCGAAGTCCAGGGCGACATAGCAGAGCTTCTCCTTGATGTCACGAACGATTTCACGCTCAGCGGTGGTGGTGAAGGAGTAACCTCTCTCGGTGAGGATCTTCATGAGGTAGTCGGTAAGATCGCGACCAGCCAAGTCCAGACGGAGGATGGCGTGGGGAAGGGCATAACCTTCGTAGATGGGGACGGTGTGGGAGACACCATCTCCGGAGTCCAGGACGATACCGGTGGTACGACCGGAAGCGTACAGGGAGAGGACGGCCTGGATGGCGACGTACATGGCTGGGCTGTTGAAGGTCTCAAACATGATCTGGGTCATCTTTTCACGGTTAGCCTTGGGGTTGAGGGGAGCCTCGGTCAGGAGAACGGGGTGTTCCTCGGGGGCCACACGGAGTTCATTGTAGAAGGTGTGGTGCCAGATCTTCTCCATATCATCCCAGTTAGTGATGATTCCGTGCTCAATGGGGTACTTCAGGGTGAGGATACCTCTCTTGCTCTGGGCCTCATCACCGACGTAGGAGTCCTTCTGTCCCATACCGACCATCACACCCTGGTGACGGGGGCGACCGACGATGGATGGGAAGACGGCGCGGGGAGCGTCGTCTCCGGCGAAACCGGCCTTGCACATACCGGAGCCATTGTCTACGACCAGAGCTGCTACTTCGTCGTCACACATCTTGTTTTCTTTTTAATGTCTCTGTAAAAGAAAATAACGTCCGTTATAACTGCGCCTTTTGGTTCAGTCTAAAATAATGGTTTTCGTTATGTATTGACAGATGATCGGTATCATATTTTTTGAAATCACGTAACGTGAAAAACAAAACTCATGAGATTCTTAAAATTCAAAATTTTAGTAAAACTATAGTTTCTAGACTAAACTATACTTTCTAATTTTCCGTTTTTTGCAATTTTTTGCTGTCGTTATTTTTTTTAGTCTGATAAGAATGTATTAACATTTTTATGTCAATGCATGGTCTATTTTTCAGCAGAATAGTATTCTCAAAACTGGTTCAAAAGAAATAATCCATTCGAGATAAAAATTATCAGCAAATTTTCAAAAAAGCAGTAAATATCCAAAAAATACTAAATGAAGATTCATATAAAAAGAAAATGTACAAATCCACATAAGAAAACTGTGCCCCAGGTATTTTCACAGTTCTCCAATATTTCCATAATCCCCAGTACACGATAGTTCACAATTTCAAAAAAAAAAGTCACTGTTTCCGAAAATCTCCATCAATTCCAAAAGATTCCCAGATACTGTCAATGTCGATCACTCAGTCTCGTTACCGATTGCAGGTAACTAAAAATGATGAATTCTGGACAGGATTGGTATTTGGTATCGGAATTAAGGTAAAGAAGCAGACATAGCATAAAATCAATTGATAATAACAATAAAAAGACTGGACTAAACGGAGGCGTAAAAATATTTAAAAAATCTCAATCTTAGCCCAATTAGGGAATAAAAATAATTTCAATAATTACAAATTTTTTAAATCCAAAAAAGTTTCCTTACACAGAATCGAAGGATTCGAAAATTTAATGTAAAGATTCTAATAACCAGATTATAAAAATTTTCAAGACCAGTATACGATTTGCCAGAATTCTATGGTTGCCCTGAAGGAGTACTAACCGTGGGGGGTGGGTTGTGAATCGGCGGGCGGCTGCGGAGCGGCTGAGGTCTGGAAGCGTCGCGACGCCAGATATAACGTCCGCTCAAGAGCCGACGCTACCCAACATGGGCACGGCGACGCTCCAGGGCTGGCCAAAGGTTCTGCCCACGCGAATGGCCCACGCCCGCCAGTTCGGGAAGCACGAAAAAGCTCGAAAATATTGGGCTACCCGTGAGCTTTGGGAAGACGCCCATTGGACGCCCCTGAATAGACGCCGAGGGCGCCGTCGCGCGAAACTATGCGCCTTCAACCTCCCCCTGTGGTGCCTTTTTGGTTTTATGTTCTGAAACAATAATTAACGTTTCCTTTAATTTTCCAATAACATTCAGCTACGCATCTCTTTTTTCTTGAATCTACCTATATCGATACCCTTCTTCCTCTGACTTTATCTATTTCACTACAAATATGCACAAAAATTTGATATTCTTTTTTTTTCAAATGCAAAAATCAAATTTTTTTGTAACCATTACAATTTCTAAAAAAATAACTGACGTTTAAAGGTTTCTTTTTATTTCAGAATCATCTTCGTGTCACGTGAAAACATTCGAAAATTTGGAGGATCTTTAGTATTCCTAATTTTGATACCGATAAAATCAGAAAGAGGTGCAACAGTAAAATCAGGAAAAAGTGGAATAATAGTCATAAATTATTTAACAAAAATTTCTAATCTTTATATTAGTTTCTTTTAATTTATTAGGTTGTCAAATATTTTCTAAATTTAATTTTACTAATTTTCCAGGTTCCTTCAAGAATTGACCCAGTTGCCTATAAAGCGATAGGCGTTGAAGAAACAGCGGGCGTCGCGGCGCTATTTTAAGTAAGCCGATGCTAAATGTAGACGGACGCGAGATCGCGACGCTCCCTATAAGTGCAAGCACGGCTTATGGACCCCGACGCCTCCGCCGCGGCGGCGGATAAAGCATAACAGGGTACGCGTGCCAAAATTATACTGAAAGAACGTAATTGCGTAAACAGTACAAAGACCCGTAATGACCATTTGCTTTGGAACTTATGGATTTCTTTTTTCTATTCGAAGAGACTCAACTTTCTTTCCTTGGGAAAGTTTCATATTTTTCAAAAAGTCAAATACTCTTGGCAAAATGTAAATAAGTTTAACGATTTTACTCCTAATCAACAAGCTACTGAATACTTTTATTTCTACTCCATATCAATTCTTTGGATGACTAAAAGAATTTTGAATATTAAAAAAAATTGATTTCTAATATAATGAAAAATCGTAAAATCAGTAAATTATACAATATTATATCAATATTAATGATAACTTGAATACTTGGATACCATTGGATGTATACGCGTAAAACAAATTTTTTTAAGTGGTAAGCAGATTCAAGATTACAACTTTTTGGAAAAGATACAAATTAAAATTGAATTCATCGACGAAAGACTAGTATTTATAAAATCAAAAGAATACCATCGAAACAGTCAAAAAGCTGATACACGTATTTTCAAAGTGACTCCATAATAATGCATTTTTTTTCTATAAATTAAAAAAACAAAAGTTTCATTAAACTCAATTTGAGTATCACTTGGCCGAATATCACCACGATGGAATCCAATAAATTCACACAAAACAATCCAGAAGTTGAACTCTGAAGAAATATGTCGTCCTGTCCAATATCACTATTATGTCCAATTTCCAAACACGGTCGTCGCAACGGTACGATCCACAAGTATCCAATAATATCCAAGTGTCTCGAGGATGATCGAATAATTCAGACCTGGTGAGCAGGGTCTACTACGTACCGTGCACGGGACAGAGTGGAGTGGCGTCTGTGCCGAGGAGCGTCGCGACGTCGAATATATGCTCTCGTCCAGACGCCCCCGCATCACCATGCGATGGGGCATGTCCGACAGGCACGAAAAAGGCTCGCGTCTCGGGGCGTCGCGACGCTTTCCGAACTAGGCGGTCAGGCCCTACGCATACCGCAGAATATGCCACTTTTGAATCGACAACCTGCTCTCTGGTAACGCACTACCTTATTCTTCCTCTTGATCATCAGCATCATCTTCCTAGATCTTCTATCTTCTCTTCATTGATATCGACTTCCATTCGTTTCCTCAGCTACTATCAAATATCAAAAATGTATTAAATAATAATTTTTCTCTTATACTATAATCGTAGATTGCAAGTGGACATTTTTAAGTAACAAAATCATTCTCTATTCGAGTCTTATCCATATCTCTTGGTCTTGGATGATTTTTGGTGAAAAGACAAGAAGATGGTTGTCTTCTCTATGGAGTGTTGTTCCACGTGTACAGTATCACAGATTTTTTTTTACTCACTTCTAGAACTGGTTAAAACGTCCCGAGAATCATGGTTTGCTTTTTGAACCAAGGGAGAGATTCTGGAGATAGATGAGACTGAGATGCTTCCGTCTTTTTTTATCCTGTGATATTATTTGACTTGTAATCTCGCATGGATGAGCTTTCTATAAAGTTAAGAAAAAATCATACATTAATTTCGTATATTTTTCAGATTCGTTTTCAGAATCATTACCACAACAGTAACTCTGCAAATTTCTCGACCTTGATAGCTAAATTTATTCTTGCGCGGATTAACGCGAACGGCGGTTCCGGTTACCTTGTACATAACAGGGTCGCCATTAATATGTGAAATTATTTTTTCCTTCAAAAAAATCAGCACCCATTTATTCTTCTCTCTATTTTTGTTTGTTATAGCAAGGCCTCTTGATTTTCTTAAGACTCATTCTTTTAGGCTACCGGGCATAAGAGAAGTTTGGGTATGATTGACACCAGGGTTCACTACCAAAATAACCACATGGTGCTTAATTTGTACTGGCCTCACCGTTATATGAAAACAAACAGCCATAGTATCCAGCATCTCTCCCAATATTTAATATTCAAGCAGTATTTGTTATGCCAGGGAAAATATTTTCAATGCTTCAAACATTCATGAATTATTTTTTTGACACTTGCATTTTGATCCTCAAAGTTGCCTGTTGTCTCTAACAAAACTGTAGTTAAGATCTTCAATCCTAGATACCAAAAAAGCAGACAGGAAATTCATAGTAGGAACCTTTAGGTGGTATCCAAAAAAGGCATTTGGCCTACGCGAAGGGGTTGCGTGGGGTTGTAGCACAGGGTGGCTGCAATGCTTTCAGATTACGTGTCCTAACGGAAATAACTGGCGATGAGTGTGAGCTTTAGTGTATACAGGGAAGCTCCAACGAGTGAATTTGAACGAGCCAAGAAGAATCTATATACCTATTATATAGGATCTATAGGTTATAGGTTACATAGTTAGAATTTTTTTAAATATTTATCTTTGATATTTTGAGTTTTTAATGAGTGTTGAATGAGATGAAATGATGTTGCAACAATTTTACAATTGTATATAAGAAATTATAAATCAGTTCTTAGATAATTGTTATCATAAACTAATTATCAAAAAATACCTAGATGAATTTCCTGGTGTATTGTCTATTAGGGATTTTACTAAGTGTGGAAGAGGAACGAAAATACTTTTCGCGTTCAAGTGTCTGGCAAATAGTACTGGGCCAAGGTCAACCGTTTAGTCGTACGTCACAACAATAGTTATTTTAAAATATCTTGAGAAGCTAGGAAGGTACATCCAAAGTCAAATTCGGCAGTGGTGAGTCGCGGTATACGAACCGAGAAGTGTACATACAGGTAGAATTTTATAAGCTTTCAGATACAAAAGATACAATTTAAATTTCGTCTAACCTGAGAAAAATTTACGTTTCTTTCAACGTGATTAAATTTGAAAAAGTATCAATTCCCGCCACTGTACTGACAACTACAATCATGGACTACAATGCTGGAAATTATATATCTAATATGGCCGAATTAGTTAAATGTGGTCGTCGAATAAACCATCAATATGTGGATAAAAGTGAGGTTAGAAGATCTTGTGGACTACGAGCCAGTGTTCCTTTAATCTCTACACGAAATTATTATGGTCCGGGTATTTCCAGCTGACCGATATACATATATCGTGGTACAACCTAACCTCACCGGTTTAGCTAGAACAGCTTCTATCTCATTTCATAATTTTGCCCTCTTCTTGGTTTATTTTATCTTTCTAATTTTTTCACTCTACCTATCTCTCTCTTTCTCTCTACCTCTATTGCTACTACTATTATTACTAGTGATACTACTATTAGAATCGTTTTGTATCTCACGTCAGGGGAGTTTTTCCTTCGTAGATCATACATGATTGCTGTATTACACTACGGAAATAGAAACTGTACGGATCCACTTGGCAGAGCAGCTTCTTCAAATATATCACAGAAATTCTAGAAAGCGGCCAAACGTAGAAGAACCTCGCAAACTGCGAAGCACTCCATATCGAGGGTATCATGTTCTCGTAGACGCTGAGTGAATTCCGGTCGGTAAAAATTGTGTAACAGGTACAGAACAGTGGTAGGTAACACAGAGGGCCAAAAACAGCCTACCAAACTTTCGATTGAGTTTCTGTTCATGTGGCGGGAGATATCAAATTCACATAATATTGCCAGGACATAAATGCTGAAATGGTGACAAGTATTTTTGAAATATAAATACTTTAGGGAACGATACGAAAGATTGGACGTAAGTGAAAATTTTAACTATTTTAAAAATTTATTTCAACTGATAGTAGATAAGAATGCCTAGGAGTATATTGAACCCACGAAAGGGACTATATATGGGACATATAAATATTTGAATTTATAAATGAGGATAATGGTGTGAGATAATGTATATTTGCCTTGACTTTGACGTATAACAATAATAATGTATAATATTTACAAAATAAATTAAAATAGTATATTGGTGGTTTTGCTTTTGTTAGCAGACTAGTATAGACTTAGTTACGATTACAAGATAATTTTCAGGCGTTGTGAAACCTCTCGCGAGACAGAAAGCCAGCGTCGCGCCGCCTGGAGTCAGAGGGGCTCGACCTGGCGCCCTCATGATGATCTCCTGCGTCCAAGAAGTCCCGCTGATGAACGGAATAGCAGGGAAATAATTCTTCATAATATTGGATGTCGCTGTTCTATTAATAGAACGTTCTTGGTATCAGGTTGAGCCTAACCCCCTTCAGGTAGCGCGCTGTACGGAGAGCCACCGCCGCCGTCCGCTTTTTTCGTAGCTCTGTGCGTGTCAAAGAAATTCGTCGCTTCTTTGGGAGCTTTTCGAGACAAGGTGAGAATGTGATTGATGGCGTCGTCACCGTAGAACGATGGCGATCGTGATGGTGATTCGATGAATGGTGACGTTGATGATAGATGTTGTTGATGTGTTTTCGTAGTAGCTTGTTGTTGAAGGGATGAAGTTGGTATATTCCCTTGTTGGGTCGTGGTATTCTTTTGAAGTATGTAATGGTTGCAAAGTACTTAGAAGCACTTGCGGTGGACGATGCCAGGGCCGGACTCATCGTACTCCTGCTTGGAGATCCACATCTGTTGGAAGGTGGACAGGGAAGCCAGGATGGATCCACCGATCCATACGGAGTACTTCCTCTCAGGGGGAGCGATGATCTTGATCTTGATGGTGGATGGAGCCAGGGCGGTGATTTCCTTCTGCATACGGTCAGCAATACCGGGGTACATGGTGGTACCACCGGAGAGGACATTGTTGGCGTACAGGTCCTTACGGATGTCAACGTCGCACTTCATGATGGAGTTGTAGACGGTCTCATGGATACCGCAGGATTCCATACCCAAGAAGGAAGGCTGGAAGAGAGCCTCGGGGGTACGGAACCTCTCGTTGCCGATGGTGATGACCTGACCGTCGGGAAGCTCGTAGCTCTTCTCGAGGGAGGTGCTGGCGGCAGCGGTGGCCATTTCCTGTTCGAAGTCCAGGGCGACATAGCAGAGCTTCTCCTTGATGTCACGAACGATTTCACGCTCAGCGGTGGTGGTGAAGGAGTAACCTCTCTCGGTGAGGATCTTCATGAGGTAGTCGGTAAGATCGCGACCAGCCAAGTCCAGACGGAGGATGGCGTGGGGAAGGGCATAACCTTCGTAGATGGGGACGGTGTGGGAGACACCATCTCCGGAGTCCAGGACGATACCGGTGGTACGACCGGAAGCGTACAGGGAGAGGACGGCCTGGATGGCGACGTACATGGCTGGGCTGTTGAAGGTCTCAAACATGATCTGGGTCATCTTTTCACGGTTAGCCTTGGGGTTGAGGGGAGCCTCGGTCAGGAGAACGGGGTGTTCCTCGGGGGCCACACGGAGTTCATTGTAGAAGGTGTGGTGCCAGATCTTCTCCATATCATCCCAGTTAGTGATGATTCCGTGCTCAATGGGGTACTTCAGGGTGAGGATACCTCTCTTGCTCTGGGCCTCATCACCGACGTAGGAGTCCTTCTGTCCCATACCGACCATCACACCCTGGTGACGGGGGCGACCGACGATGGATGGGAAGACGGCGCGGGGAGCGTCGTCTCCGGCGAAACCGGCCTTGCACATACCGGAGCCATTGTCTACGACCAGAGCTGCTACTTCGTCGTCACACATCTTGTTTTCTTTTTAATGTCTCTGTAAAAGAAAATAACGTCCGTTATAACTGCGCCTTTTGGTTCAGTCTAAAATAATGGTTTTCGTTATGTATTGACAGATGATCGGTATCATATTTTTTGAAATCACGTAACGTGAAAAACAAAACTCATGAGATTCTTAAAATTCAAAATTTTAGTAAAACTATAGTTTCTAGACTAAACTATACTTTCTAATTTTCCGTTTTTTGCAATTTTTTGCTGTCGTTATTTTTTTTAGTCTGATAAGAATGTATTAACATTTTTATGTCAATGCATGGTCTATTTTTCAGCAGAATAGTATTCTCAAAACTGGTTCAAAAGAAATAATCCATTCGAGATAAAAATTATCAGCAAATTTTCAAAAAAGCAGTAAATATCCAAAAAATACTAAATGAAGATTCATATAAAAAGAAAATGTACAAATCCACATAAGAAAACTGTGCCCCAGGTATTTTCACAGTTCTCCAATATTTCCATAATCCCCAGTACACGATAGTTCACAATTTCAAAAAAAAAAGTCACTGTTTCCGAAAATCTCCATCAATTCCAAAAGATTCCCAGATACTGTCAATGTCGATCACTCAGTCTCGTTACCGATTGCAGGTAACTAAAAATGATGAATTCTGGACAGGATTGGTATTTGGTATCGGAATTAAGGTAAAGAAGCAGACATAGCATAAAATCAATTGATAATAACAATAAAAAGACTGGACTAAACGGAGGCGTAAAAATATTTAAAAAATCTCAATCTTAGCCCAATTAGGGAATAAAAATAATTTCAATAATTACAAATTTTTTAAATCCAAAAAAGTTTCCTTACACAGAATCGAAGGATTCGAAAATTTAATGTAAAGATTCTAATAACCAGATTATAAAAATTTTCAAGACCAGTATACGATTTGCCAGAATTCTATGGTTGCCCTGAAGGAGTACTAACCGTGGGGGGTGGGTTGTGAATCGGCGGGCGGCTGCGGAGCGGCTGAGGTCTGGAAGCGTCGCGACGCCAGATATAACGTCCGCTCAAGAGCCGACGCTACCCAACATGGGCACGGCGACGCTCCAGGGCTGGCCAAAGGTTCTGCCCACGCGAATGGCCCACGCCCGCCAGTTCGGGAAGCACGAAAAAGCTCGAAAATATTGGGCTACCCGTGAGCTTTGGGAAGACGCCCATTGGACGCCCCTGAATAGACGCCGAGGGCGCCGTCGCGCGAAACTATGCGCCTTCAACCTCCCCCGCTACTTCATCTTCCTCTTCATCATCCTTTTCTTATTCTTCCTTCTCTTCATCAGCACTTATCGGTCTCTTCTTTAAAGTCAATTTCTTTTACTTCTTATTCCTGCACCTTTGATTTTCAATGACTAACGAGCTGTTAATGATGATTTTTACCTGAGACGTTTCAACGTCATCACAGTCCAGTCCTCTCGTCACTTTCAAACCCTGATCCCTGTGAAAAAGTACAAAGGAAAATTATTGAGGTCACTTTTAAAATACAAACAAAAATCATTACCAATGCTAATTTATCATTAAAAATATCACAGTCACCAATATAAATAGAAATTAATCGTAATAGAGATATTGGCAATAAAAACTAATACCACGAGGACGTTTACGTAATAATCTAGAAAACTTAAGAAAAAGAGGGAAATCTCGTATTCACCTTGTCCTGGGAAAATAATGAGTTCGAGTACATATTTGGCTTGTAAAAATTATTTTACAAATTTTTTTCTTGTTTTCCTTCGCAGAGTCTCCCTGTTTACAAACTTTAGTATCTTAATAGTATACCAGTTTGCCCAATGATTCATACGTCCTACACGTGAATACGAACTGTCTTTCAAAAACGGAGGAAGACAAATTTTTTATTATTAACCCATACACCGAAAATAGTCTACAGATAGTGAAGGTCTAAAAATGACATTGTCAAATAAGCCATAAGACACTGTATGGTAATTCTGATTGTACAGAATAATAAGACGCATAATCATGAGGCTTAAGGCAGCCATGCTTAACGATTCAATGACTTTTTCACATCGATTCGTGTGACTGACAACAATCGTGTGTAAGAGGAAGAACGATGGAGAATTTAGCCCAAGGGAAAAAAGTGATACGTGGAGAATTGTTAATACGAACGAAACAAAATAAAGAAAATAAAGTCATCGGCAGACTGAAGTTGATCGGATGACGCCGATCTTAGAAGGACAAACGTAATTGATCAGGAATGCAAAACTGGTCGCCGAAACTGTAAGCAGATGCATATACAATGAATGAGAACGAGGTCATTAATGGCAACGATTTAAAAACGAAGAACATAGAAATTGTAAAATTTCATAATTTTAGATATATATATTTTCATTACTTAAATTATGCGATTACGCATTAAATGAACAGAAAATGGATTTAGAACTTTTTTGGATTAAACAATATTGATAATGGCAAATTCCGTGACGTTGCTCAACCTTATCAGATTTATTATCCATACATATATTGACTATTTGATATGATTTATTGATTATATATATATTTACTTAGAAACCAACATATATTTTCTCGGTTTATTCCGTTGTTACTTTGTTTTATCCAGCTAAATACTACGTCGAGATTATATGCTAAGATAAACGGCACTCCCCGAGTCACCGAGTCTTCAGGATTGTCACCGACTGCTTGTCAACGATAATATTTTATTCGAGAGGATATCTCAAGGTGGAGATCGGCCATTGCCCTACCTAAGAGCGTCGACTTCAATGGAAACGAAGTGTTATGTCGCAATGTACTAGATCTAGTCATATAATATTCGTTTTAACATATTAATTTTAGTCATCAATAAAATAACTAACAATTAAATTTAAATCACGTTTCCACTGCCGTGATAAGAGTGAGGGACACTTCTCTACTTCAAAAAGGTTCTGTCGAGTATCATTAGCCATTAACATAATAAATACATTGTTACAAATTTTTCATAGAAACAGAAAATGCTCATGACTCGACCTAATACTATGTTGTTGCAGACTTCACGTGACACTCATAATTTCACAGTTGTGTTTGCGTATATGGACTTAATGATTTAAGAAACAGTGTAAGACGTACGTATTATGAAATCTCTACTGTCATACGGTGAGAGTTGCTTTATATTGTATTAGATACCGTTATATTATACTCCTGCTAGATTTGATCAGATCTTGTGGTGATAGAAAATTGTTAAACTTGTAACCATAAAACGAAACTTCAGATGCAGATGACAAATTATGAATTTTTAAGTTGAATCGTAGTTTAAGGAATTTAGCAAGGGTTCGTGAGAAAAAAAATATAGCGGTAAGAGAAAGTTACTTATATGGCGAGGCATAACGATTGGCTGTCTTGTATCTTGCGCCATCTATACAAATCGTCTGCAGTTAAGAACCGTCAGTTGTGGTTTCTATTTCCGGCTGTCATGTAGCATACGAAAACGTAAATAGCAAAAAATTATCTGTCTTTGTAAAGGATTGCTTTTAATTCATACCAATTTCATGAAAATTCAACATCGATTAGCCTGAAAGGACTAACCTCAAAATCTCGTCGACCTAACGTTCAAGGAAACGACTTGGAGACTTATGAAAAGTTTCGTCAGATACGTTCAGGACATTTTTGGTAAGAATTTCCTGGCAGTTGATGCTGAAATTATCCGCGTAGCTGCTTCACGGCGTATCGGCTCTGCCTCTTCGTTGGTTTATAATAAACTTTGCTCCACGCAAGCCTCTTAAACGGTCCGCCAACCAAGAAGGAACGCACGAAATAGTTTCTGTGTGTTACAGTTTATCTCCCTTGAAATGCTCCCCTTGAGACTAACCCACAACCATTTTAGAAGTGGCGTAAAAGAAATACGTATTTACATGACTACGGTTCATAACCAAAAAACCGTGACGGCGTTAATGAACTGATCAGTTAAAAAAAATATATAGCTCACAGATCAATTCCTATAAAGATAGAAAAGGTCAAATAATTTAATCAATCTATCACTTATAAATCACTGTTCTTCGTTTGTCTACGTACTATAAAGTTGAATTAAAACCTGAAGCTATAGAATCATTAATTTTAGACATTACATAATACAATTATATCTTACTTATTATGAAACATTTTCACTCATTCGAATAATGATCATCTGAGATACAGAGTGAAAGATATAATTTTTTTAAATCCTAGTATTCTCTATATACAGTGACACGTTGGTTATGTCACTTCGTAGTCAATAAAAGTTTTAATTAATTAATTATTAACAATATTATACAAGATGCATCAGCATGGAGAACCCCTGTGATAAAATGCATATAGTATAAGAATGCAGTAAATGCACTTTGTAAGCATATCTATACGTATAGATAACTAGTATAAGTTAACACCCAAGGTTGGGTAGGTAGGATACTCGATGTAAATTACATGGTTTTCGACATGTAGTATACTAGGTATTTTACGTCCCAAGTTTTTTACATTATGTAGTCTACGTTGAGCGACGTAGGCGCCCCTTCAGGTCGTTAATGCAACTATATGCATCTGCAACCTGCATGTGATCTGCATCACATACACATTAATTGTTTGTTTGTTGATTTGTATTTACGGAAAATTCACATAGAACCAAGTAATAAGAAACAAAGTTCATATAATTTTTGATTACTTACACGACCCTTAGTCTTGGCACTCTTGGCACTCATCATTTCATCCACAAACTTTTCTCAAGATTGACAATTTATAAAAAGTATAAAAAATATTAATCATTGCCCATTGCTATACAGTTTAGATGTGCTTTAAATGAGGTTAGGTTGGTTGTTGACGTATTCGACGTTTTCTAAATTTTCGACGTATAATACCAGGTAGTCTACATGACATGTTAAAAACCCTATATATCATCATTTTACCCAACCCTGTTAACACCTAACTTGACAGCTTTACTTCTTTTATAAAGACTATAAGCACATATACATATATAGTAATGCCGAGTAGAAATAAAATTGTAACTCACTGCTTAATGACGATCATCCGGTCTTCAACTCGTTTCAATTGACTTTCCAACCTTAAGGATAAAATAATTTCAATACCTGTACGTGATAAATTACAGGAAGATCCCCAAATGATATGTTCCTTCAATTATTATTTATTATATGTATACACTTGTACAGCAATTTCAAGTGGGAATGAATTTTTTAGTTTTTCCCCATACGTAGGGAGAATTGGGTCAAAATTGATACAAAATGGTACCCGGGGAAAAAACGAAAAATCACGCTTGATAATTCCAAATTACTGGAAAAATATAGTCTGCGGATTTCTGATATTTTCTACGGATAAGCAAAGTTTGGAGATAAACATTTGATCATAAAATTACAAAAAAAAAAAATGTTGGTCTCTATTGATTTGCTGTTTTTGACGCAAATAGACTTTATTTCTTATATAACTGTATTGATATAAGGTATCGACAGTCTCTTTGCCCGTTGTATACTCAGCTGCCCCCAGGTACCCGTTCTGCCCCCGTACGCCTAAATACAGTGACATACGTCATTACGTTTAAACAATAATTGCGCAAAACAATAATTGTCCTTCCGTCCCATATGATCACTGGAACGTTAAACAAATGACCACAATATTTCTTTACAGGTCATTAAACTTGAAAACGGTTTTCATTAGTTTTTGATTAACCTCAGTCGTTTCATTTGGATCAATTGTATTTATAAGAGAAGATAAAATTAAATATTGGTATGTATCTCTTGGTATTATATATTTATATTGTTACAATTGTTTACTATACTATGAGGTGTTACAGTGTATATGGATATATACCGTACTGAGTGGATATATAAAAACGAGAAATGATCAAGAGAAGGACCAATACGATTTAACAGAAAGTGAACAGGAAAGGGGCAAGAAAGTGGCGGAGTGGGGAGAACGCATAAAAGACAGTCGAACACACTCCTGTGGAAGCACTTGGTAGCTGACTAGTCCTTACAAAGTAGTGTCGTGAAAACAATAAAATATTCCGTGTTTAGGTCAAAGTATAATAGAGATAGAGAGGGGAGGATATACAGGATATCCAATAACACCTGCGATCAGAACGCAAAATGTTGCGTGTGTGAGTAATTAAAATAAACAAAGAAATAATAATTATATTATTATATTAATAAATATTTATTATTAGAAATAGAGTAATTACTACACCCGTCGAGTTTTCTGCGAAATTAATGTTTTGGGATACAAAATGTTATTCTTTTTTATAGAGGAAAATTGTAAAATTTAAGTTTTTCATTGAGTAACTTAATTGGAAGTTAACTTGTTAAATTCGACTGGCGATATCGTTACCGCACTCAGTATGTAATCATTGTTGTGCCTGAGTTGGTTTGCTTGACGATGCTAAATGGCAAACAGACGTAATTTTAACGGTCGCTAAACAGGAATTGATTTGATAACGGCATTTTTGTATTTCCTGCATCTTACGTCACTATGTACTGATATAAATAGAAAGAGAAATGCTTTTGGGGGATAATAGAAAATGAAAGCTGAAAGAGGAAATTACCAGCGATATCTGTTAATAGAGAAAGATTCAAGTAAACCGAAAACTTACGCAAACGTCTTTACGTAAGAATGTCATATATAAAGATTGTATCTTTTTATTATATAAATAAAAAATATAATGTTTGCTCCGCAATTAATTGTTGTATGTGATTGGAGGTTTTTTACGCATTAGAAAAATATAATCCCTCTGTATTATCACGAGAGAAACGTCATTGTGTGACTTACGCGAGACAAGTGTTCGATTAAAGAAAATAAAAATTAAATGAAAAGAAACTGTGCATCACTTAACCAATATGTAAATTCTACGTAGTACATAAATATATAAAGTTCTTTCTTGAGGAGTTGGCGATAATGTTTTTAGCGTATTTATAATATTTACCAAAATGACAAATGCATTGAAAAATTGTTAACTGCATAAACCTTGAGCGTCGTTTGGTAATAAGATAAATGTTTTTAGGATCCTCCTGGTGGTCGCGGCTATTCTGGTCGTAGGATTTCCTTCAGATGAATCTTCTTCAACCACAGAGTCGCCAGAGCAAACAAGGCTTAAGGATGCCAAGAAACTATTGAATAAGATTAATAAGGAGTCTGGATTGTGGAACAATAAGGTCACAATAGCTTCCTGGAATTATGCGTCGAATTTGACCAAAGAAAATCTTGCGACTAAGGTAAACGTGTCGCTACAATCTGCTGACTACGTGAAAAAGATGTGGCGGCAGGTTGCAGAATATCCTTGGCAGAATCTGTCAGATCCTGATCTTAGGAGACAGTTCCAGAAACTTAGTGTACCTGGATTGGCGGTTTTGCCAGATGCGGTAAAAAAAATGTTTTTTTGACCTTCCAAATTTAAGAAAGATCTTATTTTTATGATAAAAATGAACCATTTCAGGCGTACGAGGAACATCAAAACATCGTCAGCAGCATGGAAAATACTTACAGTACTGCAAAGATTTGTGAATATAAAAATCCAAATAATTGTGATCTTGCACTTGAACCAGAAATTACGGAGCTTCTGGCGAATAGTCAAGATCCGGAACAACTCAAGTACCTTTGGGTAGAATGGAGGAAGGCTTCCGGTGAAAAAGTCAAATCGCTATACCCCAGATATGTGGAACTGAGTAACACTGCTGCTCAATTGAATAATCTGTCCAATTATGCTCAATATTGGTTGAAGGATTATGAAGCTGATGACTTTCCAGAACAAGTTGGTAAGGAAATTATGTTTATAAGCTTATCCTTCAACACTTCCGGTATCTAACTTCTTTATGATCTCCAGATGCTCTCTGGCAGCAACTGAAGCCTCTTTACTTGCAACTACATGCTTATGTAAGACGACAACTCAGAGAAAAATATGGCCCAGAAATTGTATCTGAGGACGGGCCCATACCGGCTCATCTTTTAGGAAATATGTGGGCCCAAGAGTGGGGAAGTGTCAGTAAAATTTCAGTTCCATTTCCGGGAAAGCAGATCCCGGACGTCACTGCAAGAATGGTAGAGCAAGGTGAGTCACCAAGGGATAATCGAAATTAATAAATTTTATACACCTACCCTGACTTTTTATAATTTTCATATTTCAAGGATACAACGCCACAAGGATTTTCCGTCTCGCTGAAGAATTTTTTGTCTCCTTAAACCTAACCAGAATGCCAGATCTCTTCTGGAAGAATTCAATTTTAGAGAAACCTAATGATCGTGAGATAGTCTGTCACGCAAGTGCTTGGGACTTTTATGATGGCAAGGATTTCAGAATCAAACAGTGCACCAGAGTTACTATGGATCATCTCCTGACAGCTCATCACGAGATGGGACACATCGAATATTATTTGCAGTACAAGGATCAGCCAATAGTTTATAGAGAAGGTGCTAATCCGGGATTCCACGAGGCTATAGGTGACGTTATGGCGCTGAGTGCTTCAACACCAGGACACTTTAAGAAAATAGGATTGCTGGATGATGATTCAGTGGATACTGAAGCAATCATTAATAATTTGTATGTTAAGGGACTAGAAAAAATAGCCTTCCTACCATTTGCTTATGCAATGGATCGTTGGCGCTGGAGTGTTTTCCAAGGAAAGATAAAATCTGACGAATACAACTGCAGATGGTCCGTAAATAATATTACAAAACTTATTATTTTTGTTTTTACTCATAGCGAAAATTGTCTGTTGATAAAATAGGTGGGATATTGCAGAGGAGTATCAAGGTATAGAACCACCAGTTGATAGATCTGAAGAAGACTTTGATCCTGGAGCAAAATACCACATAGTAGCTGATGTCGAATACATTAGATATTATGTCAGCTTTGTTATACAGTTCCAATTTCACAAAGCTCTTTGCGAAAGAGCTGGACAATATGATCCGCAGAATCCAAAACTCAAGCCACTGCATCAATGTGATATTTATCAAAGTAAAGATGCTGGTGCACTTCTTGGGTGAGCGATACAATGGATCTTTTCTATCTTTTCTTATGGCTGCATCCTCCTATGAGGAGATATGCCAAGGATAAAATAGATATTCTATCAATTAAGAAAGGAGACAATTGAAGGAAGAAAATTTAAGAGATTCTTGTATGGAAGAGAATAAAGTCATTCTTATTTTAGATCTATGCTCCAATTGGGCTCTTCAAAACCATGGCAGGATGCCATGGAGCTTATCTCAGGTCAAAGGGTAATGGATGCCAGTGGCCTTTTGGAGTACTTTAACCCATTGATAGAATGGCTCACAGCTGAGAACCAGAAGACTAACGAATACATTGGTTGGAAACCAACTACAAAACGTAAGTACAGTAGCCAATTAAATTGGGATACTATTAGAAATATTTTATTGTTTGAATTAATATCATTTACACAATAGATAAATTTAGAGCAAGTTAACTTATAATCTCACTTCTTCATTAACAAATCAGTAATTTTTGTGAATATTCGCATCTTTTTACAGGTTGTGTCAAGACCCGAGCTGAATTAATAAAGTCCAATAAAACGAATTCTGACTGTAAATGATTGAGTCTCAAGGAAACTTAATCGAAGCAATTGAATGATTTTTATGTGCAATGCGATGATTAAACAAGGCGTATATATATTCCTGTCAGGCGCTGCTGAAAATATGCAGACAATTTATATATAACAAACACCTATGACTTATTCTAAACCCTTAAGTTGTTCCTAAATATTGATAATATTCATACCTCTTTAATAAAAATAACATTCCATTTTTTGAGAATTGTCGTTATTATTTTCCTTTGCCACGACCTTTACCCCGACCTTTCCCACGTTTGCTGGATCCCGCTTCATTTGTAGTCGTAGATACTACTTTCTTGGATGCTACTGATTTTTTGGGCTGAATAACATGAGGATGTTAGATATTGTACAGACATGCTTATGCAATTTCAAATAATTACCTTAATCATCTTATCCATATCTAGATTATCTTCATCGTCTTCTTCAGAAAGTTGCGCACCTTCCTCATTCTCATCTTCCATATAGTCATCGTCCTGTGAAGTTTTATTTTTTTTCTTTATCGTACCACTGTTTATAGAGTATGGGGTTAGTACTGAACTTTTGTTATATGTTCTCGTGAACGCAGCTTTCACCTGCAATAATTAAAAAATACAATAAGAAGGTTTTGTATGGATAAATAAGACAAATTGTCACAAAGAACTACGATTACTAACTTTGCTGTCAAGAGCCTGCATAGGATCTCGCTGTCCTGGCCATGTAGAAAGTTCTAATATAGAATCCAAGTCTTCCCTAAATAATAAGTTTAATTAATTTCATTAAATTATATGCGATTATAATTAGAAATTGAAGTATTACCTCATAAGATGATAATCATTCATGATTTTCACTGACGATTCCACACCTTCTATACCATTATTAATCATTGGCTTAATGATAAAATCTCTTAAATATGTTAAGTAATCCAAATTTATAGCATCTTTACTGGCAGAAGTAGCCAATCGCGTATGAATAGAAACTTCTTGTCGTAATCTAAAAATATATGTATGTAGTATGTATTAACCAATTAAAATAAAGTATTATTAAACGATACAAGATTTTTTATCTTACCTATCAAATTTTCCACTTTTGGAATTGCGACCCAGCCAAGATGGAAAATTAATTTGTGACGTAATTCGACCAGACATGACAGTCCCTGGTATTACAGATGAGAAACAAGCTTGCACAGGTAACAGAGACCATGCATTTGACTGACGAATATTCTTCTCAATAATATCACCCATTGCTAAACTGTGAGCAGCTTTAGCAACTCTCTCCATTAGTTCGGCCCTAAAGCAATCATTAAATTACTATAGCGTTCTGTTAATATACTTAGGACTTAAATCAGCTTTTACTTACTTTGGAGCTTGCGGTACCACAGAAAGATAATTCTCTTGTACAAATAATGCCGCTATATTATAATCATGGAAAAATAAGCCGCTTTTATCGTGTATACTCATATTCTTATGTTCCTCAGCACTGAAGACTTTCCGTACAACATCCCAAGGACCTAATCTCAGGTCCTTGTTAGATTTATGATTTTCCGATTCGATTTTAGTTTGGGAATTTTCTGTGAGCAATGCTAAATGATTTATGATTTGACGAATGTCACGATTTGTCGCTGTTATCAAACGGTCCAGTTCTTCCTTGTCTATTTTGATATTTTCTTTATGACAAATTGATAACATGGCTCCCTATAAGTTCATTAAAGAGATACGTTAATAATTGATACTCCGTTAATTATCCAGCAGTCTATAATTTGTAAGTATCCTTGAATTACTTTGATTTGAGCGTGATTGGGCTGGTGAAAACGTAAATCGTAAGTATAATTTGCGAGCGTCCTCATTTTTGGATGGTTTCTGTCGTTACAAATACAAATAATTGGTACTTCCGTGGATTTGATCAAAGCAATCAATTCTTGTAAACCACCTCGATCTTCATTACCAGCCATACCATCCACTTCGTCCATTACGAGAACATGTTTGGCTGCTGGCTTCTCTTTGTTATCTCCTGCAAGGCCAGGTATCAATGACCGATTAGTTAACAAAGATAGGTTACTGAAATATGCTTTCTCCGAACTGAGACAATACTCACCAGTGAAGTAACCTTTCATCGTTGTATTGTTCAGTAACTCAGAAACTCCTTCCTTTAATAAACGTTTACTTCTTGTATCAGAGGCATTGTATTCTAACAAATCCAAACCCAATTCTTTGCAAACTACTTGGACTGTTGTAGTTTTTCCAATACCTGGTGGTCCAGAGAGTAGAGCAGCTTTGAAGAAAGCTCCATCATCATTTTTCGCCCATGGACCTGCAAAGTTTGTAAAGGAACAATAAATGTTGTTAAAGGAAATTTGAATTAATTGTACTCACTTGGCTTTTTATGTGTGACGTTGCCACTGTGATTTCTATGCCAATTTTTCAGCCAATTTAATAATTTCTTAGCATTACTTTTCTCTCCTTGTTGGCCAATAATTTTATTCAACGCTGTTGGTCTGTATTTCTCAACCAATGCTTGTCCACTATCTTCGCTAAGTGACTAAAAAAATGTATAATATAGTAATTACGTTAAATGTAGAAGATACACTTTCATCAGGGGTGAATATCGTGGATTCTAAATTATTTGCAGATTTATTTACAATTTTCGGTTCTTCTTCGTTTTCCAATTCTTTTTCTTTTGTGTCTTTCTTAACATGTGATTGTGTAGGGCTTGATTTTTCAAACTGTGGTTCAGGTGACGATAATTTTTCATCTTTCCGTATTCTGTGATGCGTTTCTTTTACTTCTGATGCTTTTCCAGAAGGTCGAGTTCGAATCAAATCTAACAGATCATCTTCCGATATTTGTTTCACTCTTAAACTTTTTGCCTAAAATAGTAAGATACCTTGGTCGCAAATAATATAATTGTAAGACAACCAAAATGGATGTAGAAATTGTATAGTAAATTAAATGACCTTATCTAGTTTTGAAACACCTGGTTCATCCCCAACTATGATATAATCAGTTTTTCTCGACACGGATTGTACGACGCGGCCTCCGTATTTCTTAATAAGTTCAGTAGCTTCATCTCTTTCTAACGAATCCAAAACACCGGTTATCACGAAACTCAATCCAGCTAAACAATACTCAGCTCCCTACAATTGATTAATGATGGTACATTATGGCAGAACTTAGAAATATTTTTCTAATAGTTTGATTTGATTACTTCAAATATCTTTATGATAATTTTATAAAACTACCTCAGGTATTGTTTTGGAGCCTGGATTTCGTGCACCACCTCTATTAAGATATTGTTGATACAAAGCAACTTGTTGTTTCTTTTTTTCAATTCTTTCCTCATATGGATCCAATGATTTATCCTTTTTAGGGCTTTGACTTTTTTTACGTTTCTTCTCCACTTCCATGTGAGAGATACCTTTAGTTCTTTTCGGTGCATGTTTGCTTTGTGTTTCCTTACGATTTTGAGATTTCAAACTGTTTTCTGGTTCAAAATTTATATCCTCTATGGAAGAATTACTAGATTTACTCTTTTTCTGTGCAGAAGAATCCTTTTTGCTATCTGAACTTGAGATTTTATTTCCATTTTTGTTTTTCTCATTCTTTGTTTCCTTCTTTTCAGGTGATGCATGTGATGATATTTCTGATATATCTTGATCTTCATTTTTTATTCCATCCTTCACAAGTTTTAAATTTTTATCTTTCTCCAACTTTGAAAAATACTCTACTTCAATGTGTGACGTATCTAATTCCTTAAGACAATCATTATCATCCTCCCATTTCCCTTCCTTAAAAAATAGTTCAGTCTAATTCCAACATAATTATACAATATTAATTCATTCACTTTCCAAAATGTTATACCTTCTTAATTTTTGGAGCTGCAACTCTCTTAACAGGAGCACTACCAAAGATGTCACGAGGAGAAACTGCTTTTTTTTCATAGTCTTCTTTATTGGGTGATTTTATTAGAGAAGCTGGTTTCTTTATACTGATTATTTCTTCATCCGAATCGGATAGAGTATGATGACGGTTGCGTTTCTTATTAACCTATTAACATTTTTGTTAGTGAAAAATATCTGAATACAAATAATAACACGTCCAGCTGCACAACATTCATGTTTAATTTGAAACCTTGACTTTTTTAGATGGCGAATTCTTCTTTGGCTCATCTTCATCTGAAGATATAACACGGCGTTTTCTATTATTTTTTGGCTCTTCACTGGTATTACCTTTTTTCGTATTAACAACAGGAAACCATGATCGAATATCCTAAAAATATATAATTATGAGCTTATAGCAATCCCATAACCTAAGGTATTTCTTCAACGCACCCTACTAAAGAATATTTTAAAGTTGATCTACCTTCGGCATTTTACCCGTACACAAATAAAGCACAATTTATATATTTCTTCTGACAACTTTAGAAAATTTGCCCTTTGTAGCAGATAAGCATTAATAATACTAGAGGTGTTAATACTGCTGAATCTTGCTGAATTGTTGATTATACGTTTGCTTGAGAAAAACGATCTCGGCGTAATTTTGGCGCAATTGATTTCATTGGGCTTTTCAAGGGGTTCTCACGTTCGTTAGTTTTCCGCTTAAAATCAATTAAAGTAACGATACATATATATATTTTTTCATATTTACATGCCGCTCAGACACGATAAGATGCGTCTTTATGTTGTTTACTATTAAGTTCGTGGACAAAATAATTTAAAGAATGATTCTAATTGTAAATCTTATTTGTGTTTCAATGTTACTTCCATGCGTTCCATTAGCTGCCTTCTCTGATAACTTGTAGAGATGATACTGGATAATACCACCACGTGTCAGGAAAACACGTGTGTGCAAAAGTGTACGATAAAACAGAGATATTCGCAAAACAGTTAATTTTGATACGCATAGTATACCTTCCAGATATTCTTGTGTGAACAAAAATCAGTTTATTGTGGTTTATTGCAAGTATTTGGAAGTTTTTTGTATATACATAATAAATCGTCTTGCAGTGCAGAACAGTGCAGACATTATAACCTTTATCATGGTTAAGGAACAGTACAGAGAAACCGATGTTGCTCGTAAAATGTTTGTATCAAGAATTTTTTCATTCATTTATAATTGTTCCGGATTGAATTTGTTCAATATTTATATTTAATAATTGATGTATGTGATTGACAGAGCATGATATTAATTGAGGCCATGCTTTTCAATTCCCTATCTTATGTTAAATGTTGAATAGATTATGAATACCTTTTTTTTTTAAACATTAGCTCTCATGTATCCTTTGGAGTGGACAGCCGTCATAATATGGAACGGCAGGCCCATATCCATGTTGTAGCCAAGAATCTGTATAGTCAAGATAGTCAGCGCACTCCTGTTCAGTATGGTGTACTTGATAAGAGAATGGTAATTTGTGACTATATTTCACCATTTAGTTTATTTTTTAATATATGCTATTTCCTATAGGGTACATGTTCCAATGCAAGTAACTGCACAACTTGTGGGAAGTCTCTAAACGAATGCATTGGTCACTTTGGATATATAGACTTGGAACTACCAGTATTTCATGTGGGATATTTTAGATCAGTTATTTGTATTTTACAATCAATATGCAAGGTATTTCTTTATTGACATTGTTCAACATTAATCAAAATTGAACAGAGATACCTATAATTTTTTTCATCCATTGTAGAAATGTTCACATGTTATGCTAAATGATACTGATAAAAAGCACTACTTAACTCGTGTCTTGAATCCCAATTTGGGCTACCTAAGCCGTAAAGCATTAAGAAAACAGATTCTGGAAAAGGCAAAGAAAACTTCAGTATGCCCCAATTGCAAAGATTTAAATGGCACAGTCAAAAAAGCTGGTTTACTCAAGATCGTACATGAAAAGTACAAAGCCAAGAAGAAGATCGATGCTGTAGTACAAGAAAAACTAGCTGAATATAATAATGTTCTGGAAGACAATAAGCAGCTGGAAGGAATTTTGCAAAGTGGTCTAGTTAATATTTTAAATCCATTGGAGGTAAAACTTGATATAACACACTGCAATACATAATCTATCAGAATTTTCTTAAACTCTGTATTTCCTAGGTACAAGGTATTCTAGAACGAATCCCAATATACGATATACCTTTACTTCTTATGAATCCAAACTGCGGTCTACCGAAGGATTTAATATTAACTCGAATTCCGGTACCACCAATTTGTATAAGGCCCAGTGTTGTATCTGATTTGAAAGCTGGTACAAATGAGGACAATCTCACTATGAAATTATCCGAAATTGTTTTTATCAATGACGTGATACAAAAGCATAGACAAAGTGGAGCCAAAGTACAGATGTATAATGAGGATTGGGAATTTCTGCAATTACATTGTGCGCTTTACATGAACAGTGAAATGTCTGGTATTCCATTAAACATGCAGGTAAATAGTCAATTATAATATTGAAATATCTGCACATTTCACCCAAGTAATTATATTAGCGTTATCTCAAATATTGCTCCACAGCCGAAAAAGTCTGGCAGAGGTTTAGTTCAGAGATTGAAGGGAAAACAGGGTCGATTTCGTGGGAATTTATCCGGGAAGCGTGTAGATTTTTCAAGTAGAACAGTCATCTCTCCAGATCCAAACCTCCGTATTGAGCAGGTAAACAATTGCATCCAGTTGTCAACCGTTCATTGAAGCCAAAAGATTGACTTTAAATTTCTCAGGTCGGCGTGCCAATTCACGTGGCGAAGATTTTGACATATCCAGAAAGAGTGAATCCTTGGAACATAGAATTGATGCGTAAATTGGTACAGAATGGACCGGATGTTCATCCTGGCGCAAATTTCGTACAGCAGGGCAAAACTCAATTTAAGAAATTTCTACGTTATGGTAACCGACAGAAGATTGCTCAAGATTTACAGGTAATTTTCGCAAAAATTTGTAGGTAAATAATCCGAATTTGTGTCATCGACGAATTATAATTTTTCCATTCCACAGTATGGGGACATCGTTGAAAGACATCTTCGGGATGACGACGTTGTATTATTTAATCGTCAACCATCTTTGCACAAACTTAGTATAATGGCTCACAAAGCCAAAGTATTAGAGCATAGAACATTTCGATTTAATGAATGTGTCTGCACCCCTTACAATGCTGATTTCGATGGGGATGAAATGAATTTGCATTTACCACAAACGGAAGAAGCCAGAGCAGAAGCGTTGGTTCTTATGGGGGTAAGTAGTAGATTTTATTACTTTCATAACGCAAAACATATTTTAACCTGAATCTAATCATTGAATTATTTTTAGAACAAAGCTAATCTAGTTACACCACGCAATGGAGAATTACTTATTGCTGCAACTCAGGATTTTATCACCGGTGGTTATTTGCTTACTCAAAAAGACACATTCCTGAATAAATCTCAAGCTTCTCAATTAGCCAGTTGTCTATTAGCTGGACCGGATGCCAATATGAATATAACACTTCCGCCACCAGCCATACTGAAACCATATAAGCTGTGGACTGGAAAACAAATTTTTAGTTTAATTCTAAAACCCAATGATAAATGTCACATAAAAGCTAACTTGAAGACCAAGGGTAAAGCATATACCAGCAACGAAGAACTGTGCATCAATGATTCCTGTATGAAGTGAAAGAAAAATAACGATTCTTTTCGTTTTACTATACCCGATGAATTTTTACAAAAATATACATTTCAGATGTTATCATTCGCAATTCCGAGCTTCTGGCAGGATCCATGGATAAGTCTACACTAGGTTCAGGTTCTAAACAAAACATTTTCTACGTCCTTCTTCGAGATTGGGGCGAGGACGCTTCAACTACTGCTATGTGGCGTTTGGCCAGGATTGCTAGTTACTACCTAATGAACAGAGGCTTCTCCATAGGTATTGGGGACGTAACACCAGGTCAAGGATTACTTAAAGCGAAACAGGAGCTTCTAAATGCAGGGTGAGTATTGAGAAGCATCTCATTAAAAGTTCTATATGAAAATATATTTTATATGCTTTCAGCTACTCCAAGTGTACAGAGTATATTCGTCAAATGGAACAAGGTCGTCTAGTTTGTCAACCTGGATGTACCGAGGAGGAGACACTCGAGGCGATGATCCTCAGGGAACTCTCAGTGATCCGTGATCACGCTGGTAAAGCGTGTCTGAAAGAACTTCATCCTAGTAACAGTCCACTGATAATGGCTTTATCGGGTAGCAAAGGCAGTTTCATCAATATTTCTCAAATGATTGGTAAGTATCAATCAAACTGATGCCGGAATCAAGAATTTTATTGAAATTTTTTTCTAGCCTGTGTGGGTCAACAGGCCATTAGTGGTCATCGTGTACCCAATGGATTCGAAGATCGTGCACTGCCTCATTTTGAAAGACACTCTAAGATCCCAGCAGCTAAAGGCTTTGTTGAGAATTCATTTTACTCGGGTCTTACTCCAACAGAATTTTTCTTTCATACCATGGGTGGTAGAGAAGGTCTTGTTGATACGGCTGTAAAAACTGCAGAGACTGGATACATGCAGAGGAGACTTGTCAAGAGTTTAGAGGATCTTTGTCTCCATTACGATATGACTGTTAGAAATTCTGTAGGTGACATCATTCAGGTTCTATACGGTGGCGATGCATTGGATCCTACTTATATGGAGGGCAAAGATTGCCCAGTAGATTACAAAAGAGTTCTGGACCATGTGAGAGCAAAATCGCCGTATAAGAACGAAGAACCTTTAGATGGTGCAAACGTGATAAAAGCTACTAGCGAACTTCTGAGCTCGGATGATTATTCGTGTCTAAGCGTTGAATTTAAACAGGAATTAGAGTGAGTATGATACTAATAGTTTAATGATAAGTACTAGAACTTGCTGTATTTATTATGTGAGATATTTTTGTAGAACATTCTTAAAATCTGTGGCGCGAAAAATTGCACGGTTACGACAAAATTTTGACTCAAGCTCACCAGTAACTTTGCAACTGGAACGTCTCACTGTCTCGCAGTTGGTTGAGTTTATTCATATTTGTAAGGAAAAGTATATGAGAGCTAAAATTGAGCCAGGAACAGCTGTAGGTGCACTGGCGGCGCAAAGTATTGGTGAACCCGGTACTCAGATGACTTTGAAAACCTTTCATTTTGCTGGTGTCGCTTCTATGAATATTACTCAAGGTGTACCGCGCATCAAGGAAATCATCAATGCCAATCCTAAAATTAGTACCCCCATTATCACGGCAGCGCTGGTATGTGAACTAGACGTAGATATGATTATGAAGAATTTAATTAACTTAATGATATTTTTAGGAAATCGATTCTGACCCTGAATATGCAAGGCAAGTCAAGGGTAGGATAGAAAAAACAACTCTAGGAGAAGTAACTGAATATATTGAAGAAGTTTATTTGCCGGATGACTGTTTCCTGTTAATAAAACTGGATGTTGATAGAATTAAATTATTGAAACTGGAAGTGGATGTTAATTCGATTAGATACTCGTAAGTATATTTGTTGCTAAAAAAAAAATTGATAAGACATTATTATGATCATAATACGTATATTTCAGAATCTGTACCTCAAGGCTTAGATTAAATCCAAAATTGGTGAATGTCAGAGGAGATTCAATCATCACTGTGACTCCCAGTAAACAAAAGTGTAGCTTAAATTACGCTCTCACACAATTGAAAGAAACGGTACCAAACATTGTCATTAAGGTAAATAGAAAATAGCGTATAAAATATAAGTTTTTTCAATAGCCATGAAAATGGATATTAACTTGATATTTTCTCAGGGTTTGCCATCTGTTGCCAGAGCAGTTATTCACAATGATGACTCTAGTGGAAAAACTAAATATAAACTCTTCGTAGAAGGTGATAACATGCGAGAAGTAATGGCTACGATGGGAGTTTTAGGGCGCAAGACAACTTCAAATAATACTATTGAGGTACAATGATAGATGGTATTATCTCTGATTTGTTGTACAATTTTGAAATTATTTAGGTATTCAGAACTCTGGGCATCGAAGCTGCAAGAGCAACGATTATGACAGAAATTAAATTAGTCATGGAAAATCATGGTATGAGTATCGATAGGCGTCATCCAATGTTGGTGGCTGATCTAATGACAAGCAGAGGAGAAGTGCTTGGTATTACCAGGCAGGGCCTGGCTAAAATGAAGGAATCTGTATTAAATTTAGCTTCGGTAATGTATTTTTCCTTGATAATTAATTGAAAAAAATAATGCTGATTCTATTACAATTAATTTATCAACAGTTTGAGAAAACAGCTGATCATCTATTCGATGCAGCATACTATGGGCAGAAGGATGCAATTTGCGGTGTGTCGGAATCCATTATAATGGGTATTCCAGTTCCAGTGGGAACAGGAATCTTCAAACTACTTCACAAATATCCTTCTCTATAATTTTAATAACTTATTCATTGCATATATGTAATAATCTTATTTGTTATCATCATATACTGCATATTTTCCTTAATAATTTAACACAGCTGAGAAGGATGAGCCACAAAAGAGGAAATTAATATTCGACGATCCACAATTCCACAAGAAAATTACAGGAACCTAACTGTTAAATATTTGTACATTTGTGATTTCTTCACACATAAGAGAATATTATTCAAATACACATTTTATTTGACTCTTATTGTATACTTATGGTTATAAAATGTCCATGCAAATCCATACTTCCATAACCATGATCTGTTGCCAAGGTGTCAGAAATTGTTTGATCAAAATTTATCCAATATCCAATATTTTAGCCTCAAATAGTTCTAGTTAAATTATATTCTCTCACGCATTTCCTAACCAGCCTTCAACTCATGCTAACAAAACTGTGACATGATTTATTTAAGTGTTTATGGAATAACGATTCACTGTGAGAAATACAGAATCCTCGAATTTTTTCTCACAATATCGTGAAGCGAAAGGAAAAATATCCTCGGAGGAAAATAATATTTAGAAAATGGTAAACGAAAAAGAATTTTGGACAGAAATCCGTAAAGACATTCCTAAATACAGGAAAAGAAAGCCAAGAGTAGTACCTGCTTTTACTATTCAAGCTCTGCAGGTAAGTTTTGATAATGAATTTCCTTCCCGCCTCATTTCTCAGTATAAAAGTATATTCTAACTTTATTTAGGATAACACAGTGGTCGCCAAACCACCGCGGTGTGGTTTATACAAACCGCGACCACCTAAACCGTCAGCATTTAGAAAATTTTACGACCGTGGTGTGTTTCCTATATCTTTAGAAAATGATGGTTTTGGTCCAAAGATAACATGGAAAGTGAATATAGAGGATCTGGATTTTCATCATTACTTACCTATGTTCTTTGATGGACTAACAGAAACCGAACATCCTTACAAATTTTTAGTAGAACAAGGAATATCCGATATGCTGGCCCAGGGTGGTTCAAAAATTCTTCCCGTAGTTCCACAATTAATCATACCCATAAAAGGTAAAGTTTAAATTTGGCTTTATTATGAGAAAAGATATTAAACTAACAAGATTTTATTGATTATATTAAATAGGTGCTCTAAATACAAAGGTACCTGAAATCATTTGTACCACAATGAGAGCTTTGCAAAGACTTGTGCGTTCAGCTGACTGTGTTGGCGAAGCTCTAGTTCCTTATTTCAGACAAATTCTACCAGTTCTGAATTTACTGAAGGATAGAAATGGTACTTTAATTAATTTCTGTACTGTTTTAGTCTATGTCATCACACCGTTATGCTTTTTTTAATTTCAGTGAATCTTGGAGAGGGTATAGATTACTCGCAGCAGAAGGGAGAAAATGTTGCGGACCTGATACAAGAGACTTTAGAAGTTTTAGAACGATACGGTGGTGAAGATGCTTTCATTAATATAAAATATATGGTTCCTACTTACGAGTCTTGCATAATGAATTGAAAAACAGTTCCAACTTCGATTAGAATTCGAGAGTGGTAGAATTTTATAAGCACCTCTTTACACTCTTACATATGTAATGTAGGGTCTGGTGGAAATTTGATAGCAAACAAAAATTATATATTTGTTAAACTTACTTGCATTCATCAAACAATCACGCTCTTGTAACACTTACAAATCTTAAATACTTTATTGTCTTTAATTTCGCATTTTCACAGCTTGCCAGCATCTTCCTTCAGTGTTACAGTTCTATTGAACACCAGCTGAATAATGAAAATAATTTATTAAAATTACTGTAATAAAATAATATATTTGCTCTCTTCTTAACACATACCCTGTCTGGTTTATTGTCAAAGTCGACTGAAAAAAATCCAATTCTCTCAAACTGGAATTTGGCTAGAGGCTTTGCCACATTTACTAAACTTGCATCCACGTAACCAACGACTTCTTTTTTACTGGCAGAATTAATGTCGCTGAGAAACCCATTAGGAACTTCATTAGGGTCTTCAGGATTTTTGTGTTTAAAACTATAAATAAAACGTGTACATTTTCAAGGCAAGTTAAAACGATACAGATTTTCAGCATTCATATAACTTACAGCTTTTCGTAGAGTCTCACGGAAACTAACGTGGGTTTAGAGACCCAGTGTATAAATGCCTTAGGCTTATTTTTATCGGATACCGGTTCCTGTTTTACAACTAAATTTGTAATATTTCCATGAGCATCTTTTTCTACGCACTGAAGGGTAATAACCACTCCGGCATACCTAAGACCTACTGACTGGTTTGGAGTAAGCCTCCGGAAGCTCTTCTCATCGTTCTGTATTATGAAGATGTATCGATATTAATACTTAATGATAATGCAAATAGAAAATATGAATGACACATACTTCTCTGAAGTCAGAGGCTTCGATATAAATGACTTCATCAAAAATAATTTGATGCTCTCCCTTCTCTGGCTCATTTGGGAAATCGGGTACCGTGAGAACCATCGGTTTATCTTTTCGATAGTTGCTAATAGTTACTTTAATTGGATCAAGAACTGCCATAACTCGAGGTGCAGTAATGTTAAGAACGTCTCTCACGCCAGCTTCTAAAGAAGCTGGATCGACAACTGCCTGAGCACCAGTTACTCCCATTTGGGCACAAAAATTATTAATGGCTTCGGGTGGGAAACCACGTCTACGTAAAGCTGTTAGAGTGAACAATCTGCAAGACAGAAATAATGGCTAAAGTATTTTATCCCAACGTTGCGCTAAATGCAAAATGCTTTATGTGCCATTATTCTTTTAACAGTTGCATACTTTAGCAAGACCGGTTTAAGAGGTAGGCAAAAAATGTGAATACCTAGGATCATCCCAATCGGCGACGATACCTTCATCTATCAGTTTAGCGATTTTTCTTTTAGAAACAACTGTATAGCTGACATTTAATCTACCATATTCCCACTGCACTGGACAATAGATATCCAGGGCGTTACATAACCAGTAGTAGGAGGATCTTCTGGATTGGAATTCCTTAGTACAAAGAGAATGGGTAATGTGTTCAATACTGTCACAGAGACAGTGCGTGAAATCATATGTAGGATATATGCACCACTGGTCCCCGGTTCTGTGATGTGGTACATATTTTATTCTGTATGCAACAGGATCCTGCTTACCCTCTTCTAGGGTGAGTTTCATGCGTAATGTTGCCTCACCTTCCTCTAATTTACCATTTTTCATATCCTAAGATAAAAGTATATTATAGTTTACAATTATAATTGAAAAAAAAGACATTTGCTGACCTGAAACAGTTGTAGACTTTCAGCTATAGGTCTTTCTCTCCATGGACTCGGAGGAGGATTAAAGCCTTTCATTTCATCGCTCGTCTGATGGCATACATAGGCTAAACCCTTTTCTATTAAAGCAATTGCCCATTCGTATAATTGTTGAAAATAATCAGAAGAATGAGTTATTTTTGCTGGTTTATAACCAAGCCACTCGACCATCTCTCGAATTCCAGTAAAAAACTTCTCTTCCTCCTTTTCTGGATTTGTATCATCGTAACGCAAGAAGCAGATACCATTATGAGCTGCTGCATATCTATGGATGATGAGTTTTAAATTTCAGGATCTCTGTTAGAATCTAGGGTAGATACAATATATACCCAAAATTAATATTAATAGCTTTGGCATGACCAATGTGAAGAATTCCATTAGGTTCAGGTGGAAATCTAGTCCTAACTTGTCCACCCGTAATTTTAAGATGCTCTTGAAGAAGGCGATGAGTATTTGGAGTGACAACATATCCCTCGGTCTTATAATTTTCCCCAGGTTTATGAAAGTGCACTTTTGTCTTCATTAATTCACTTATTGTTTGAGCTCCTTTATTATCATCCACATCTATGGAATCCAAAATCAAGACACTATTTACATGTATTTTTTTTAGAAACATTAAAGAATAACATACCATCCTTCTTATTTTCTTTCTTTTCAGTTGCCTTGGCCTTGGGTTGCTTGGGTTGTTTAGCCAATGGTGCTAAATCTGTATCAGTTTTTGGACCCAATAGATCTAACAATTGTACATCTACTTCATTCTTCACTGCCTTTCCATCAGCCCATTTCAAGACATTACGAACTTCTTGCATCAGTGGTCCAGAGTTAAAACGGTACCTATAATTTACATATCCCTCAATATCCTACTGTAAAGCTTTTGTCAATTTCTTTACCAAAATCAATCACAAACCGTTTTTCAATGATTTCATCTTTATTTTTCTTTATTAGCTTTTCAACTTCTTGCTCGATCTCTTCCGGAGTTATCACAACTCCTACACCACATGCTTTCTCAAATTCTACAGTATTTATAGGTCCCTTGATATTATTTAAAAGATATACCAGGGCAGCATCCACCCTTTGTGTCGTATCCAATTTCTGCTGTGCTATGTACCCAGCTACAAGTGGTATCTTGTCAGCAATTTGTACCTTAATCTTAGAAGCAAGATGGTAAAGTAAGGTTCCAATATCTGCATTAATGCTACTGTGTTTACCAGCCTTTATGAAAGAATATTAATATTTAAATCATCCTGATAAGTATAGCACATGCAGAGCCTCATAGGTTAAACCCGTACCTCAGTGATTGCAAATTTTAAATGTTTAGTGACCTGAGAATTTTTGAGTGTCTCTTTAGCCTTCTGTTCACTCAAGCCAAGTTTCATTAATAATTGCACATCGTTCTCCACTCCAGCACTCATGATTACCGGCTTGCAATCAAAATATAACCAAAAATCTAATAGCCCATATGGAGCACCAACGAGGAATATGAGTAATTGAAATTCTTGTCAGTAGGTGCTGAAATTGGAGCCACAAGAGCATTAATAATGATATTACCAACTTTCTGGATAATTAAGTGTCTTATAAATTGACTAAAAATCCAAAAAATCCATATCATGCAATAAGAGGCAGACGCGGGAATAAAGGAACAATATTCATGAAAGAAAACAGGTTGATTTTGTGAAAGAAATGTATGGTTTGATGGAACGAAGTTACGACGAATATTCTATAGCCGTGAGTGCATTTGAACGGATCCGCAATACAACCGCAAATGGCAACTTGTTCAAGTGTTGAGGATTTCTGTCAAAAATCTATAAAAACGTGGGCTGTTTTTGAACAGAACAATGCAATTTTTGGTTAAACCAATGTGTCTATAGTATACTGAAAGGCATAGTTCAATTTTCAAAAGTGATATACGTGTGAAAAGCGTGTATTACGTTGTGAAAACCGGTTTTCCAATTGTTACACTTTAAAGGCTGCCTCTGGTTGTACGAATCGAGTTCAAGTGAAAGTATGCAGAAAAATGTTTAGTTTAGCAGAATTCGAAGTCTTCATAGTTATTATCAAGTTGGCCGAACACGAGACTTAACGAAAATGCCATCAGGATTGAGCAAGTTTAGCTCTGTCTCTCATAAATCTTGCTACTTGTTCTCTAACCTAATTGCATCCTGGTCCCTTTTTCATTGATGAAATTTGGGTTCTACGACCTCGAGGATATCTACATTTCAACGCTACATTCAACAGTTTCATAAACAATATCTTGAGTTTATAACCTTACAAAATGGCTCTAACAAACAATTGGGAGAATAGCTGCAGACTTTGCTCTGAGCAGAAGAGTGAAATGTTACCTATATTTGGAGAAGAGGGTCTTCAACGTAAGGTTGCTCAGAAGTTACGAGCATGCTTACCGGTAATGGTTTACAAAACCGATCCACTGCCTAAACAAATTTGTCAGTTTTGTGCAGCGAGATTAGACGATGCGTATGAATTTAGAGAGTATTGCTTGAATGTTTATAAGAGTATGCATATAAAACTACTTACACTCAGAGAGTCTGAATCAGTGCAAATATTTTTGGATGCTATGAGAAACTCTCCAGATCCTTGTCAGGTACTTATTTTAATGACATAGTTTCATGAAAGAATTTATGTTTCAATCTTATATCAATAAGATTTTCATTCTAGGTACAACTGTGCAAAGAGAAATCTAGAGCTCCACCACCATTGGTTCCTTTACCAGCAACACTGCCAATTGAAAGTCCTTCTACTCCAGTCAATTTTATGGATACCGTTCAATCAAATAGTTGTATCGAACCTTTGCCAGAATTACCATGTGAGGTTCAAATAAAAGAAGAACCCACAGATGCAATTCTTAAAGATGATATAGCAACAGAAGATTTGCCTGATTTTGAGAGAAGTTCGAGAAGTATATTTGATGAAACAGGATCCATGGAAGACAATAATATACTGCTTGAGGATCGTCTGAATGATCCTCAAAATGGAAAATCAAATACCAAAAGGGAAGAGAAGCGAACTAGCATATTAGAACAGGTGCTAACGGGTAGTTTAACATTAAACGACCGTAAAGAATTGAAACCAAGGGTTGGTCTTAGTTCCCAATGGTGGTGTTCACCATGTAATAATTATTATAGGTATATTGTAACTCTATCTTTGAATGCTTGACATATATTGCGCATGAATTTTAACAAATTTATTCCTCTCGTATTCAGAACAAAGGAGAGCTTAATGAAACACATGAATCTAAATTGTCCTCGTAAATATACGTGTAAAACGTGTAACTCCGTCTTCGAAACAGTGGAAGATCTTGCGAAACATGAGGGTAGTGATCACCTAAAAATTATTCTAGACTTCGAGAAATCCCTCAAATCATGTAATCAGTGTGATCGTGAATTCGTTAGCTGGGAAATGTTGCGACATCACAGACTACGTGATCACCAATCCACCACGTCGGTACTTGGATCGAATACCTGGTGCCCACTTTGCAATAGGTATTAAATTTGACTACATGGTCTCATATCGGTAATACATAAATCAATATTCCCTATCAATAGATTTTTTCCAAATGCCGAATTGTACGAAGTCCACAAGATGCTTCATGAACCAGAATCTCTTTCACAGTCATCGATACTACCCACAATTTCAGTTCCTCCAGTAGAAGAGCTACAGCGAGAGCTTAAAAGAGATCATTTTGCTGAATGTGTCAAGTCACTAACTTGTCCCACCTGTGGAAAGGTACTAAAAACTTTTAAATCAATTGATATACAAAGTTCAAAGTATTCTTTGGTATTCATGTAAAAATTTGGATCTTGCTTCAGGTATGTACGCAGCAGAGTGCACTATCTAATCACATGCGAACTCACGAGCCAAAAAAATACAAGTGTGAAACCTGTGGCCGTTCTTTTGGACTTTTTATACGGTTAGCAGCACATCGACTTAGTGAGCATAATCAGCAGCCAGTGATGACTCCTGTTATGGCTAGTGTAGAACAGGAAGAAGCTCTGAATGCTGAAAGAGAAGCTAGGGAAGCTAGGGAAGCCAGAACTCGTGGAAGAACTAGGACTTATTCAGAGGTAATTTACTGTCAGTAAGCTCACTTATTTTTTTAAATCCATTTTTAATTATTCATCTGCTTTTTCTAACGATCCTCTAGATTGTAGAAGACAACGGCGTTCCTATCGACGGTCAACCATCTGCAAAGCGTAACAGTCAATTAAATAGTAGTGGATCAAAGAACGTAGCGCGCTGTGGTATCTGTTCGCAATGGTTCAGCGATCACACAACGATGTTGACCCACTTGCAGACTCACTCGGATAGTTACGTGTACAAGAGTTTCAGTTGTCGTGTGTGCAAAAAGAGTTTTAAAGAAAAATGGCAGCTTCTCAGGCACGAGGTGAGTATCCAAGGATGTTGAACAAAAAACTGTTGGAACCAAAGAGCAAATTACACTGGTCTCCATTTCAGGTGTCTCATAAACGTGGAAGTTTAACTGTCCATTCATGTTCCACGTGTAATAAAACCTTCACGGATAAGGCACAGCACAAAGCACACGTAGCTACGCATATTGTTGATAAGACCTATCACTGTCCGAAGTGCAATAAGATTTTCTTCAAAGAATTATCATTAATGGCACATCAGTGTCCTGGGAAGCCACTGTTTGGTAAGAGGTCTGCTTCGCAGAAATCTCAGTCCCAGTTTAGTACCTCGAAGAACAGATATAAGTGCTCCAAATGCAGTGCCACTTTCACGAATTCACAATCTAGGAATTCTCATATGAGAGTGCATACAGAGGCTCACGCGATGGTAGGTACTGCGGAAGAATGACGCCGTCAGGATTTCCTATTGAGTCAGACTAATTATTTTTTTTTTTTTTTTTTAATTGAACTTGTGCAGATGCAAGTGAAGAAGCAAGAATTAAAAAAGGAATTAGGAATGGAATCGATGCCAAAACTTTCACCGGAATCATCCCCCGGTACATCAATGCTACTTGAACCTAAAGTAGAAATTAAAGAAGAAAGTACACCAACACCTGTCAAAAGGACACTCATAAGAACACCTGGAGGGTATATAAATCTTTTATATTAAGCAAATATCTTAGCGTATCCGATTCGGATTTTTAAATTTATTTTTCTATTTCAGATATCGTTGTGGTGTCTGTCAGTCGCCATTTGTTCTACGCGAATTAGCTGTGGCTCATTTAAGATCAGCTCATCCTGTGATGCCGTATCAATGTCCATATTGTAAAAAGCGGTTCACAACACAGTATACATTTACGCATCATATTAAGACAGATCATCCAGACGAGTCTGAGAAGTAAAAAATCAATGGTTTTAATTCTTTTTACATGTTTATGAAAAACAAAAGGGTTTAACGTAGAGCGCACTAATGAGCATTCGAATAGGCAGGCTTTTCACGTCTATGTCAGAAAATCAGGAAACTGCAGAAGTTTACATAAAAAAAAATGGATTCAAAGTTTTATTCTTTTTCTTTTCAAATTAATGACAATATTCTTATATGATATTGGTGTTCGCATGTTAACTACAAGAAATACTTAAAAACGTAGTATGGTTGACATATCTTGATATTGTGGCTTCATAAATTTTCTGCAATCAGTTAAATTTTAAACTGGAATTGTCTGCCGCTCTGGGTATAATTTCTCAGTGAGAAATTGAAAATAAGCGTTCCCGTAGTTTTCTATGAACTAAGCCTTAACAATCGTGGTCCACATTGGACGAACAGTGTAGACTAAAGACTAATACGTAGTGTCTTACGTGCTGTAGGAAATATATTTAGTATTTATATATATGGATATATATATACGATGGCTGATATAGTATATTTTTTACTACCGTGTTTGCCTGAATGTTAAACTTATTGGACTCAGAATTATCCTTCTACGTTTAAATCAGTAATTGGCAAGAGAGGGTGCTTCTCTATTATGAACATCGCAATGGATTTTAAAGGCATTGCAAAAACATGGAATAACGGTTCCATATAATTTTATATTAATATTTTCTAGCTACTTTATAGATGCAGGCAGATACGGTACCATTGATTACAAAGTGAAAATAATTGTAGGATCTGCTTGTGGTCTCTACCTACTGCCAGTGTCCACTTTCTTAAATTGATCCTTACATTTATACTATAAACCCACAATATTTCTTTAGATAAGTGGTAATTGGTATAAGAGTCGATCTCCAATAAGAAACCAATAAACATTTAGTTTTCATAGATCATATAATATACCTTCATTGACCATTGACATATATAGAATGTTTATCGATAAGGATACCAAAGCCCTTGGTATCAAGATGATGATTATATATTTGTGCCTAGAATTAAATGTCATTAAATATTTACAGTTTATGTGTAATAGAAGATTGAGTTCCTAGATCCCTATACAATGTAAAGAAAATCACATTCTATAGAGATGGAGAATATTCATCATTGTCTTACAGTTTGGTATCTTATTGTAGATTTTGCTCATTGTTGAATTTAAGCATTTTATACGTGCAGATGATAAGAATATTCTTTTTATAATTACGATATATGTGTATATATATATTTATGTATCTACATTCAGAAAGCAAATATAGTATTACAATCGACAAAAGATAAGCATCAAGTATTAGAATTATAAATACGTAGTCATAAATCATTTTCATTATCGTCGGAGTCCTTTCAAATATCATTTTGCGTTTAATAACTGATCTTTCTTTTTGTTACATTATAAGGAAGAAAAAAATAAATTTACTTATTGTCACAAAAAGATAGATTGCAATTTTACCCTGACAAAATAATAAGTATACATAATAAATACAGCTACATTATTGTAAAATTATGAAAAAAATAGTTCTTACATCAAGATGGCGCTACTATTAGTTCCCTGCACTTCTCGAATTACGTCGAAGGGATTATATCGCCTGTCTATCTCTGTCTTCGTTCTTCCTGTGTGGGTGAAACAGCTGCGCCGTGGTGCGCAGGTTGCACAAAATGTTTACGTTTTGCTGCGGACGATCTCCGGTAGCTTTTGACGACTATCCTGAGCGGACGATGCTGAAAATCGACAAGATACCTTGAATAACAAGCGGAAATAAAGTGACCGCGAGTGCCTTCGTTTCCGCAAGATGGGCAGTTATGTGAGCAGAATTGCCTCCGCTTCCAACATCGCGGTGAATTCCGTTTATCGCGGTCGCAAACGAAAATGCATTGAAGAAGATGATTTTGATTCTGAATCGGACTTCATCGACAAAACGCTTCAAACGCCGAAAAAGTGAGTGCCTTATATGAGACCTTTTTTAGCCTTCACGATGACGAGGAAATGAAACGCCATTAGTTCGAATGCTTTATTATTATTTTTTGCTGCACACCTATAGCTCTTTGTTGTTCATTTGGCGTCCACAGGCCTTGAACTGAATTTCGGCTAGGAACATGGAGAACATTTAATACTTTTCATAGGATGTATGACATATAAGTATGAATTATATTTCCTAAGGAAATAATCCTGTCGTACACGTATCTGATGGAAAAATTTATAATGAGGCATTGCCTGTGAACTTTCATAGGGAATATGATATTTAGACATTCTTCTTGGGCTGAAATAATATTTGACAATTCTGAATAGTTTTTCATTAATTTATTTCACGTACGATCGTTTATTTGCTAATCAGTGTGACGAGCGTTTCCTGCTAGGAATAAAGTCATATCTTTATCTTGTATGGTAGGATCTTTGAGGATGAAAGTATTTTTGTCTATAATTGGTACAGGGCATTTATTATGATATCCCAACACCATGTTTAGTGTGACCTACTTTACGTGCACATGGCCATCATTCAGCTTGTGTTTATATGTATCTATGCATTACACAATATACACACATAAATATTCAGGAGACTATACATTCCTACTTCTAAAAATATACCATTTTATAAATTTATATGGTGCCAAGATAATCATGTTTCATTATCTTTATGTATATTGCTGTTTGTATTTGAACATTTTACTTGAGCATAGCTTTCTTTTCTATAGCGATGACATCATACTTACCATCATCATCAGTATATATATAACCACAGTATACATAAGATATGTGAAAAAAATTGATAGGACATTATTAGTTACGTTACAACATAGTTGAATATTTCTGTGAGGTTGTATTATGATAGAATTTATTAGGATAATTTAAATTATTTAGAGATTAAACAATTTAATTATTTATTTTCAGGAGAAAATTACTTACAACTGCACAATATATTTATAAGACTTTATTTCAAGAAGAAAAGGGCAGTGATGTAACTGTTCTAATGCTTGGAAAAGCATGGCGATTGCACAAAGTCTATATCAGTCAAGTAATAATTGTTTTAAAACTTTTCATTAACTATTTTGCATGAAATATAAAATCAGTAAAGTTAAATTTCATGAAATATGTTCACAGAGCCCTTATTTTGCCAGTATGTTTTGTGGTTCCTGGAGGGAGGCAAATGAAAAGATCATCAATGTGGAAATAGCGGATCCAAACATAACACAGGACTGTAAGTATAATCTGTCAGTTCTTAATGAAACTAAGTAATTTGAGAAAATCGTGTTTTGATTTATCAATCATTCATCATAAGAGGTTTAACTCTGAACAGGACATAAAAGAGAAAGTTTCTGTGGGAGTTGGTCATTGTAGTTCCTCAGTGTAGGTGTATGACCGCTATATACCTACATATGAACAAGTCCAATGCCCTTTTAGGAATAACATTCGATGTCAAAAAACTTTCTGCCTGCACTGCACAAAGTCTCATGACGTTAAAAATTAGATATATTTCATTTCAAATGTATTTTTGACTAACTCTGCCAAATATCTTTCAGCTCTATTCACAGTTCTTGGCTCGTTTTACCATGACGAGCTCAGTTTGGAACCAAAGGATGTCATTTCCATTTTGGCCACTGCAACACTATTTCAATTACAAGGCCTGATTGATCAGTGCACAGATATCATGATTGAGACAACGAATATCAAAACTGTAGTTCCTTATTACAATGCTGCTGTCTCCTATGGTGTACCCACAGTTAGAACTGCAGCCAGGAGATGGCTCGAAGTAAACCTTCTGGGTTACGGATGGTTACATCCAACATTTTTAAAAGAGATCACCCCAGAATTAATGGTGGAACTAATCACAAGTCCTAACTTGGTCGTGATGCAGACGGAATTCTGCATATACATGATGCTGCGGATATGGCTATTCGTTCACATCCATAATGACGAGGACCCATTGCAGATAGACACATATTTTAAAAATCACACTTGGACGGAGCCATTTTTGGCAACTGACGAAGGAAAAGAATTTGCCGCACCTTTTAAGACATTGAGAATGAAATATTTACTTCTTCATGATCAGGATGTCCAAATTTTGTACTCCGATAATCTCATTCCCCCTGATTGGCTTCACAATGCATATAAGGAACAATGGTTACACCTGTTACGCATAGATGCACGAAAAGATAGAGGGTAAGTTTTTCTAATTTCTCAAATGAAATACAAACCTCAAGTACATCCTCTAACCTCCTAGATTCCTGGGCAACATCCCTGTCCTTGCATCTCTGTTTTCCTGTCGACTTAAAATTACTAGGTACCTAATCAGCTACCTGGATGATACAACATACCCAAAAAAGTGTAATCCTCCATTTCTTACGTAACAGGCCAAAACAGATGAGCGAAGAGGAGTTCGCCAAAGAATGCTTCAGGTGTGGAAGGTGTGTACAAAAAGCTGGTGAACACGTTTGGAGGTGGACAGCTTTCCATTTTGGTTTGGATTTGGTAGCTTACCTGGACACTACAACCTTCAGGATTCGAAGAAATAACAAACTGGATACAGATCACATAAAGGCTAATCATAGCAAACATAATATTATTATAAGGTATGTCTTTAGAACAACTATCTTAAACTTTGTATTAATCAAACACTGTCTAAACAATACTTTTTCACCTTTACAGAGTATCTCTTATTTCCTTGGATGAACAAAGGCAAGTGAAGCATATCCAAGACTCAGGAATACACAGAATTTCTTTGCACAGAAATGAAGATGTGAGTTTTTCATCCAAATATAGTTATTTATTTGAATAAAATTATACCCAAGTACTGATTATGTTGTTACCGTGTAATATGTTTCAGCAACAAGTGATGTCCCTCGATAAACAATTAACTTATCCTTTGTACATATCTGTCAATCTGCAAGTCGTCACGCCATTCTCGGACACTGATGAAACTAAATCACCTGACGTCACGACACTTTCGGATACTTAGCCCAACTGGTCTCCACCGACAATACTGTTAAGTAAATCTACATGGATGGTGCCTACTTGGTTACATGTATCTCGTTCGTATGATTTCCATAATTATGCTAGTCCAAAAAAATTCGCAACGACATATTATTTCTCAAATATTGATAATTTAAAGGCAACTACGTCGTTACGATCGTAACAATGAATTGTAGAAACATTAACTTTATCATACATTGTTTATTTTGAGGATAAAAAAATTATTCTGGTACTATGAACAAATTATAGTCGTAATTCTTTGGTGGATATTTTTATAAAAAAAAAAGGAAAATTGAAAAAAGGAATTCAGACCGCAAGTACGCCCTTGTTTAAGTTCTAGTCCTGCTTGTAGAATATCTTCGTTTTTCATGTGCTGGCACTTTCTCGAATTACGTAATAAGATCTTCTCTGTAGCTGCTTTAAAATTATAAAACCATGTGTATCCTTTCGGTTTGGTATTTTAATTAATTGCAATCAAAAAGAATTACTAATAATTATCTATTTTTGGCTCTTTCGGTCCCTAATTACGAATGGACATGTAATGATTAACGCTTTGCTTTAATAATTAATATATGCAGATAATTAATTAACCTCACATTCGTTATTTGAGCATAATACCGGAATCCAGTGAATAGAAATGGTGCTAATCCCTTGATCAATAAAAATTCATTGACAGTCATCAAGGTTCTCGTCATGATTCTAGGTGCATAGAAATTATGCAGGATTTATCATGAAATTTCCTTCTTTAATGAGTATTGATATAAAAAAATTTCATTATATTCGCTTTCATGTAGCGAATAACGGTAGTTAATAAGTATCGTATCATTCCATATATTAATTTATCTTCTTTTCCGTTAAAAATATTCGGTGATATTGAATTAAATGTCTTCTTTCTTTGATATTGTAAATTGTAAAGTAGAAGCGAAACAGACTTTTTAGAAATTTATTCAAATTCATTCTCATCATGTCCCAATAGTACTTCTTATCAATTTCTAGCAGTCGTTATCTTATTCAAGATAATAAGAAAAAGAATTTCCTTCAGAACAGGAAATGCAGTTTACGACTTCACTGTGGATTCAAAACATTTGTAATCTTAGAAAAAACAAAGTGCATTCCTTAATAGATGCATTGTGGCACAAACTCTGGAATTATATAATTATTCATATTGGGACGTGACATTGGTGCCTTTTCTTTTATATTGCGAATAATACTTTTCTTCCGAAACCAGGATCTGCTTGGAAAGTTGGAATAGCAACCGGCGGCGAGATTTATTTGTTTTATTTTTTTTAGAAATTTTGATAAGCTTTTACTTTCTTTTTATATATAGTGTTATATTGTATAATGCCGTGTACTTTCGGAAAGCGCCTTTTCCAATACGTTATATCCTCTGGACGACACTGCACAGAGGTCGACAGAGAATTAGAATGTTTTTTTGCGCGATTAGAGAAGGTTTAGACAGTGAACAATAAGGAGAATTAATTCTTATTTTTGATCGATCAATTAAATATAGAATTTTATTATATTATTTTTTGAATCGCCACCTTATTCGGCACTGTCTAATCTTTCTCTAGGCTGTGAATTAGTATTGTGTACCTGTACCGAAATGTATACTACACACTTTGTAATAAAGAGTTTATATAATTATAATAATTTGATTCAGTGTTCAAAATATTCAATCTATCCGTACGACTAGATGGATCACAAATGAAGGCTTTTACATTTGTATCTTGTTCTTCTCATTTTTTGTAACCGTTTAACACTTTATTGATACAATATTTTTCTATACAAGGTGTGTCTCTGTGTGTACAATATATCATTTTACAATAATTATTTATAAATAAATTCATAAATCTTGACTTGGACATTCTCTTGATACAATAGGAAGATCGAGGCTGCTTTGTCATTTACATTGGACAACAATGTCTCGTTTCAGTGAATACGTCTGACATATTTATTATTTTTTTGTATCCCGTTCTCTCTGCTCTTATTTTTTACTAGTTTCCTTTATAATTCCTATCTCCTCCTGGAATTGGAGTGGACGTTTTTATATATTTTTAGCGAAATATCACGCATTAGAGAAACAGCAGTTTTGCTCAAGGATAGGGCAGTGATGTGACGAGATGAGACTCTGTTATTGCTAGATGAACATTATGACCGATATGTTGTCAAAGGACCTTAAGAAATTGTACTGTCAAGTTGCCAGATCATTGACATTGAGAGACAATCATGACGATATAACTTCTCATCCGTATTGATATGTATTTCATTAAATAATCCACGATCCAAGAGGGAATTTTAACAATTTATAACATAAAGTTCAACATCCCGGCTCGTAGTACGACTGACGAATTCGTGCGCGACTTAAAAAGATTGATAACAGTAGTAACAATAAGAACGATAATAAATAATAATACAGATCTGTATCAAAAGAATGCGAGCCAGCAGTTAACAAGATTTGCGCTCCGTGTCGAGTGTCTGATCAGAGCAGTGTATTTAATTTGTTATTCTCTTTCTTTCTTTTTTCACGTGATATCGAGCATTCACGTTTATATCAATATACTTAGATTATCAGTTTTCATTTTCTGTACGCTAATTTGGGTGTGTACTCCTGGGACGATTCGAAGGAGAGTACTTCTTTTTTTTATTGCTCTCGAATTAGGACTTGCGTGTGTAAAGTGTTCATCTCGTTTAAGCGAACTACAAATTTGGTATTAATTCGCGATTAATTCTTTTGTAAATTTGCAAAATCTCCTTCACCCCTCTCTTCCCCCTCCCATCTTTTTCTCTTCGTATCACCATCCGGCTATTATCTCTATCTAAACGCATTTTATTTCAAAGTCCATCAAGGCGCGATATTTTATTTATAACTGGAGGTGTCGAGGGTTTGCACTTTTTTAAATTCCTTGCACAGAATCACTACTACCTACAGGTACGTGTTACACGTCAATGCTCTACGTGGAGAAGATGTATTCGCCTAATGTGGTTTAATTAATCTTTGTACGAATAACGCTTTAGGTCGTTTAATTAGACGTCATTGAAAGCATTATTGCCCTTTAATATTTAGACACTAATTAATTCACTTTGCGACGAACTCTAACAAGCCGCCTCCATTATGAAACGGCGCAAAGAACATCATTTAACGAACAAGGTGTGGACGTGTTCGTTCGATTCTTCTTTGTATTTATTGATTTCTGCTCCGTCCTCTTGTTGCACCACAGAATCAAAATTTTTTCAACAAAGCATAGGTCTTGGACATGACCTTATTATTAGTCTAATCAACCCTTTATCTTCGTTCTCTTCACGTGTTTTTGAATTAATATTCGACACCTCCTTCTCTACTTCTCGTTCACTAACTATACTATCACCTAATGTATTGCAAAAATGATAAGGTCTAGTATCTGGCAGTTTGTCTTACTACTTAATGTAATCGATTCTTGCATTCAATCTTAAATCCACTGCAGCAACTCCTTGTATTTCTTCAAATCATTCTCTGATCCCATAAAGTATACCGATTCAATTCGTACGATCAATTCCATCCGGTGTCCACGACTGTTTGAGCAAATAATAACGATTTTCTTGAATTAATTTTCATACATTTCTTGAACGCTTCAGCGTTATCGATTGATCTTTAGGATTTCAGTAGAAAACAATCAGAATCGATCGATGACTATGTGCAGAGCACTATTCCACTTGATATGTTTATTACAAGGGGTTGTTGTTCTGTGTTCCGCGTCAGCGTTCCAGCATCCTCATAAGTCCTCAAAAGAACGGATATTCCTGATCTCAGGATTATCGAGTCCCGGGGAGCAGCCTACAAACTGGAGCAAGTCTGTCAGTAGTATCGAATCAGCTACGGTCATTAGATCTTCCTAAGAGGCCACCCTCTAGATGGTTGTCCACGCCAAGATGATTCCCAGGACGGCTATCATTACTGCTGATGGTAGCTTTGGATCGGCTCCGTTACAAAGGTCTTCAGTACACGCACAGTAAAAGCCATGCACGTCGTGTGTTCCGCTTCTAACCAGACATTCGTGATTGTCTTTTACGTCCGTAATGTATCCGCATCCTCGTACAACCCTTGTTTTACCATATACTGAAAAATGATAAAATATTTAAGTCAGTCTCAAGAAAAAGATCAAATACATAATATAAATAAATATCAATGTAGGAACGATGTAGAAGTAAAAAATTTAAAAAAAATTTAAAAAAAATTCCAGTACTCATATCTTTGGACTCTTGAGACTCTGCTGATTCGAACTGGGAATTCTTCCCTTGTATACGGTTAGGAGGAGTACAATGAGGAGACCGCATTGCAGACCTACCCTACCTTACCACTCGCAAAATGCCAGTAATAGCAATCATTACTTCCGGTACCAATGGAAGTCACTATCCTCGTATCTGAGTCTATCTTCATTGTTAATCTAAATTCTAACAAGCTTTATCAGTATATGATTACAGAATGATAATAAAGTGTTATACCTTTCTGTGATATTTTCCTGCAGATAGTCGGCTCCAGATGCTTGAGACGTTCTAAACGGGGTTGAAAACTGCAGTTAACAGTGCCGAGGCTGTATGGATCAAAGGGATCACCACATCTTGGATCGTACTCGCTGTTACACTCGTAGCAAATTATTGCCTGGCCTAAAAAAAAAAGAATAGAACAGATCAATACTAAATTGTGAGGATTCCAGGTAAGTAAGGGAAGTGAAGGATCTGCGGCTATCGAACGGTAACTCCTAGTGGACGCGGAAGGTCATGAAGTTAGAAGAAGTCCTGGTAAGTATATATGCACGTGGATGGCATGCTCCTGGATTGATTGGGGGATGATTACCCAACCACCCAGGTTAACAGGAGTCTCCCTAGCGTCTCGTGAAAACTGGGGCAGTGGTACGTGACGTCATCAACCCCCTATCGACCCGCCATGCAATCCCAATGCTATTTCTAACCCTCAATGGGCCATTTATGCTCGCCTGCAGCTTACGTCACGCTGCATCCCTCTTAAGTCCCTTTCACCCTCTCTGGATCTACCCTTGTTTCCAGTATCCGTATTGCCTGAGAACGATATCTCTGAGCGGATGAACCATTAATGCTTCCTGGATACAATTATACAGGTGGCCTTGGGAATTTTACATTCTCTATTGAAAAAAAATTAATTTCTTATTTATCCACAATTTTCAACTTTACCAACCCCTTTCTATACCTAATTTTCCTGAGATATTCTCCAAAATTCTTAATCCACTGACATTTCATTGACATTTGAAATTTTATATGTATAATTGAGAACTGTCATAGAGCCGAGGACAAGGCAGTCCAGAATATATAATGTCATGTTGATATTTATACACTTATTATATAAGTATCATATTAAGAGGAAATATACGACGATAATGTGCCTGCTGAGAATAAGACGTGAATATAACGATACGACTGCACTAAATTTAAAACAAAAATGTCCTGTTGTTTAATCGTCTTACGATATCTGGTTAACTTGCGTTTCTCCATAGCTTTCTCCAACGAAAACGTTGGACTTAATTGGTACGTGATAATTTTGAGGTTAGGTAGCATTACGATAAACTGTTCCCATTAGGGTGGTACACGCAGTCGATAAGAAATTCTTAAAAGTCGAGCAGGTCCGCATGCGGAATCGATAATTCGCCAGGATTCGGTTATATATATATATATATATATATGTATATATATATATATAATACATGCACTAGGTATATGTAACAGATTCAACGAACTAACCTGCGGACCATAAGCCGCGCGAAAAAAGCCATTGAAGCAAAATCTATCGAGAGTCTTTGGGACGATTCTATAGCCATCTTTTTTTCTTCTCGATTTCATTTCTAATCTGCTCGACGTGAATCGCGCAAACAAAGCGTCAGCCGTGACAAAAGACTCTTCGTTCAGTCAATTCAATCGCCTAGGCTTTGACAATCCAAATGGACATGCGTAAGGAATTAAATTATTTTTTTATTTTGAAAAAGAAAAGAATTTTCAAAATCGTCATACTTCCTCTACGGAATAATAAGTATATCAGTTTGAAGTTACAAAGTATATTTTATTCTGTTGACTTCGTCTGTCTTTTATACATTTTTCATGTGATGTCACTGGTAACAATGTATACCTGAGTACTTTGTTATGTGCATCGTAGATGGCGCGCTAAAATTTGTATTTATTATTTATTCGAAACGGAACAAAGATGGCGTATGAAGTTATATACTATATAGATTATACTTTTTTATATATGAGCCGCTCAGTGCACACATCGATTAACTCCACTTTTTGAAAAATCTTAAATTTAAGTGTCAAAGCACTTGGTATAGTCATAACTTTTTATATTTATAATAACTTTCCTGAATAATAAAGATTAGCACCATTAAACGGCACAATTTTTTTGGCCATTGAATAATAAGTAATTTACAATATACATTACTTCATCGCATTTCTCAACTTTTTGTTTTATGGAGTTAATCGATGTGTGCACTGAACGGCTCATATATAGATATAATTTACGTGAACGCGTCCATTTACTGCTGGAGTCGCTCTACAAGTAAAATTTACAACAGACATTCGAATGAATTATTCTCTCTGCGATATACGAACGGCATTTATAATAACTTTCCTGAATAATAAAGATTAGCACCATTAAACGGCACAATTTTTTTGGCCATTGAATAATAAGTAATTTACAATATACATTACTTCATCGCATTTCTCAACTTTTTGTTTTATGGAGTTAATCGATGTGTGCACTGAACGGCTCATATAAAGAAGCAATTACTTACAATTTATCTTGCGCTTAAATTCTATATCTAACTAGTTTTCCCGTTGGCAGACTTGCAAGCCACTCCACGAGTCAAGTCGCTCCAGGTGTTGTTCTGGCCTTTGAGCTTTTTCAAACGAAACGCCCAGCCAGTCCTTCTTTACTAATAGCTATATTATTTACCTCTGTTTACCCTGATTCACCCACTATTATTACGGTATCACAGAATGTATATGAATGTATATGTATGTCCTATATACAGAGCGCAATATATGTTTTGTCGAAAAATATGGCGTGCACGAAATTTCATCAGAAGTAACGCTAACGAACAAGTCAAAAGTAAAGATAAATAAGATACTATTTTACGTAAAAGCCATCTTATCACGTGTCATGACCCTTAAGGAAGGCCTTCTCATATACGTGACACTCCTAGAAGTTAAAAAGCGTATGAGAACCTGAGAATAATATTTAAAAAGCCCTCAGACGTTGAAATTTCTTTTAAAAGTATCATATTTCCAAATGAAACTAGATAAAAGTAAAAAAAAATATTTTGAAACAATATGGCGATCGATATATCTTGTATTGGATGTAAAGGATCAATCGAAGAAGAGTGTGGATCTTTCCTTTTGTTTTTTGAAAACGTCATCTCTGTCTATGATAGGTGTATATAATGGAGAACAATAAAATACGTCCCATGTGTATACGGAGGCTCAGAAATGGTCTCAAAATGTCCTATTGTCCTGGGAGAAAAGATGACGTAGGATATATATATATATGTATGTAAGATATTTGTACAAGGTACTGTACGAGAAAGAGAAAGAGATAGAGGAGGAAAGACAGAGAGAAGAGTGAAAGTGGGTCGCTCGATATCCCTTGCGGGGGTTGGTTTGTGTATAACGAATCCTAAAATTTGAGTCAATTATAAAATTATTTGAAATCACTTATTAACGTAGTACCAGTCAAAGAGAACCCACTGCCATTAAAAGTTTCATCTAAAACCACTTGATCGATCTTTTCCACGAATGTCATATTAATTTATGTAAATTGATATAATTTATAATTTTACGTTTAACTCTGCTATTTTGATGAGCTGATCTGATTTTTCATTGAACAATATGGAAACGCAAAACTGATTATCCTCGGCCTTTCATAGGGATTAGTTATTTACATAGTAGACAAAGGGGAAGCCCCGAACTCTCCCTACGGACTACCAACGAAGTCAGCATGAAGTTAGGGGATTCCCCGCATGGAATAGATATTCTTTTTCTGATGGTTATAATGCGCAGACTTTCATTTCCGTGCATTCTCGCCAATGTTCATACGTATCACAGATAGAACTAAGGACCTTAAAGTTGGTGAATGTAAGTACCTCAGATGATAACCGTTATATCGATTTACCCAGGAACAACTTTGACCTTGAATTCCAGGAAAGCTCTGTGACTCTGACTCTAGTTCCAATTCAGTCTCTCTGTGTAAATAAGATACTATATACTATAAGTATATGTATACATATATACACGATTTTAGTGCGAAGAATTCTATATACATACACTGTTCTAGTCCGAAGTCAAGTCTACAACCTAGAATGAAGCAAAACCAAGGGAACCTGGACGTCACTGCATTATTTAGAAAATTAAAAAATTATACCAGAACTAGGTATACGTGCTGGAACCCTGTGCATCCTGGATAGTCCTTATTAAATATTCTATTTGAGATTGTCTCTTCAGAGACAATATTTCGGAACTGATCCAAGGAAGCAAGCTGTGATGAAGAATGGATTGTATGATTTAACTTTAATGGAGAATAAAATGGCTATCGATCTTCCTCGCAAGCTTCTACGTGTCCATGAGGTGTTGATTTAAGTATATTGATTACTCGAAGCGAGCAATCATTACTTTTTTATTGCTTGCTACACGTGGCTGTTTACTTGGGGG